CCTCAAAATTTAAGAAGGGGGGCCATTGGGCCTTCTTTAGCCAATTTCTCAAATAAACCCTGATCAAGACAAAAACTTTAGGAAATACATAATAATGAACTATAAATTTTCGCTCCAAAGAAACCTTATAAAATTTGTCCAAACAGGCAAAAAAAAAAAACAAAAAAAGAGTGAGAAAGGTTTATAAAACAAAATTGTGAAAAGTTACAAAGAAAGGACAAACATTTGATAGTATTTTTCTAAAGATGGAAACTGTGAGAAATAGACTACTTGCATTTAAATAACATAAAAGTTATAGTTACATCTAACCAAAAAAGAAACTATTTTCCAGATAATAAGAATGCACTGGCATCGTGATCACCATCTGAGTTTGGAGAACTTAATACCTTCTTAACAGAGTCTCTTAAACCAAACCTAACTAATCACCAATCAGAAAAACCTCAGATAAAATAGAACAAAGTAGCTTGTTAGAACTCAAACTGAGTGAAAAAAATAAATTATTGGGATAACCATGACTAAAAACTATGCATTGCCATGGCAGTTAAGCCTGTTTTGGTGCCAAACTGCTTCACCCAACTTGGCTGTGGTTTATTTTTAACTTCCCACTAACAATTGTTCTAGTAAGTTGAAATTACAACTCAGATGGCAAATCACTAAAAAATAGCAGAAGTGTTTGGCCACAGTGGATGAACAAATGTATTTTTTCTTAGTTCTTCTCTAGAGTTGTAATCCAACAGCTACATCAGTCAATCAATGAACTCAAATTAATCCACCACTCACAGACTTGATTATAATCACCATGGCACCACTTTCATTCAAAGCTGGGGATTTCCCCAAATGGAAGAATTTGGTACATTAGACAAAACCTAAAGCTTTCTATTACACTTTTGTCAAAGATTGTAAATGGTTAAGTGTTCAAAGATTGGAATGGGAAGCCCATGTAAAAAAAAAACAGTTGTTTTCTCAGAAATTGTTGTAATTAAAAGTAAATAATACTAGGACTTCTTGTTGTCCAATTCACTCAGTAACCATATTTAAGATTAACAAATCAGAATCCAGTTTTGCCATCATCCAGTTCTGTTAGTCACTTGTATGATTACAGACTGAATTTGATTCACCTATTACTATTGGCCCTGTTACCAATTCTTATTATTAATTAACAACTTGCGAGAGAAACAAGATTGTGATGAAAAGATTTTGTCTTTTCTTAATGACAGAAACTGTGAATATGCAAAAACACAAGTGAATAATGTTCACTTCAGATAGATGCTAAACACTAAGTAACTAAATGAAATTAAGAAACAGATAACTGAAAACTGAGCCTGCATAAGACCAATCAAAAAAAGATTTCCATGACTGATTACAAACATGGGCATGTGTAGCATACAAGGGCTATTTTTTTGGCTGGGCAGGTTGAGATGGGACACTTTGTGTTACTTTCAAATGGACAAAAAATATTGCATCACTTCACCTTAAGAGAAAGGAAAAAAAAAACAAATTTATCAACACTTATCAAATTAGCCCAAAATTTATGGTGCATGTCATTCTTTGTGCACAGCCACCTGATTCCATAACATCATTTGCAAGAAAGCTGTGATATGATTGGCACGAGATACATACCCTAATACAGCAATCTGATTGGGCAAGATACATACCCTTATGCAGCAATCTGATTGGTGTGAGCAACATACCACTATACCCACTAACATAGAGGTTTTTTTTTGTAAAAAAAATAACTAAAAAATTGAAGATTCTTTAAGTAAAGTTGTATGCATCACAATTAAAATGAAACACAAGCAACTACCAACCTTTAAGTTCTTGATGGCCTCTGCACACATTGCATCACCTCTCGCATTGTTTACATCTGTTGTGCCTACAAGCTACAAGAAATAAAGATAACAGCTATGAAACAATTGTACATATTGAAATGTACATCACCTTTTAACTGTTTACAAATTTGTATCATTGTTCTATCGCAGATCTGTTGAACGTTACTATACGTAAAATAATATAACACTGAAATTATAGTATGCTTCTAACCAACATCGAACTGATGCGTTGGCGATTCACAGTTTTAACTATTTGGTTTAAATCGTGAAGGAGAAGACATTGAGGAACTTACCTTGCACTTGAATTTTACTCCTTCTCCTCGGAATCGATGGTCGTTCAGCTGAGGTTCTTTACCTAGTTATTAAGAAAAAAGAAAAGAAAAACAGAGAGATAGATGGTATCGAATCGAAAAAGATATTTCAATCTTTCGCTAACGTTTTTCATAGACGTGGATCACGCAATTTGAGCGGGAGGGCGGTAAGACTGACTGGAATGTCATACATGGTTGAAAACAATAAATTTACATTTCATCCTGGTGAAGTTTAGATGTCTCTCAACAGCACTATTAAACAACAATTTACTTACCAATTGGCTCCAGGTTCATTATCTGATAACGAATTTCATAACAGACATAAAAAATGTCTTACCTTTTGTAGAATTGGCCTTTGGAGCAGCTTTCTTGCTCTTGCCTTTGGGAAGTTTCTCTCCGGAAGACATGATCGCAAAACCTGGAGTTGTAATAACCACAACTCAGCAGAAACTAACCAATATCTCGTAACATATGGCAACCATAAACCTCATGAGGACACGGCGGTGAAGAAATCAAAGGGAAAACTACTCATTAACTACATTCCTCCTCAATTCGCGGCCATTTCCACACTATTGCAGGCCAGTCGAATTGGCCTGTGGGGAGAGGTGCCAAGAGCTGAAAGGACGAATCAATAAGGAATGAAAGTTTGAGAATTGATTTGAAATATCGATAATGCAGAACCATACATAAGGTATATAACTTTGATTCAGAGGGAAGCAAAAATCAAAGGACTAAAAGATAACTAAATTAGTAGATCAATATTTTTTAAACTCCCTTCTCCACACCCCCACAAAAGAATTTTATGCCAACGGTAAATTTATGACGTGCAAGCGGTATTCCCCAAAAATCCAACATGGCGACTGGCGGGAAGGTTGATATCTCTCAACTTCGTAACCTTGTTCGACAATATATAGACATGCATTTGTACAAAACGGCTTTATTTTGGGCAGATAAAGCTGTATCCCTGTCTAATGGAGACATCCAAGATGTTTACTGGCTTGCCCAAACTTTATTTCTTACTGCTCAATTCCATCGAGCTTCGCACGTTTTAAGGAGCCGAGGAGGTGTTCTTCAAACGAGCCTCGCTTGCCGCTATCTGGCTGCCAAGTGCCATGCAGAATGTAAACAGTGGAAAGAAGCTCTGGAAGTCCTGGATATGGAGCAAAAAGAGCCGGCAGACAAGGATCTAGCGGAGATTTGCTTTGTCGGTGGAACGAAAAAGCTCGAAAGTGCAGTTTGTTTGTTGAAAGGAGTCGTGTATGAAGCTATGGATAACCGAGCTTTAGCCACAGATTGTTTCAAAGATGCGCTCAAAAATGACGTGCATTGTTTTGAAGCGTTTGATCTGCTTGTTTCTCATCACATGCTGACCGATAAGGAGGAACGAGAGTTGCTGTCTTGCCTGCCTTTCTCAGAGCAATGCATGCCTGAAGAGGTTGATTTGTTGAAGTTCTTGTACGAAGGCAAGGTGAAGAGGTACTGCAAACCTGTTGACCCAAAGCTACCTCCTGGTTTGGAAACCCTGTACGACAACCTGGATGTAGTTGCTGGAATGGCTGAGCGGCACTTTTACAACTGCAGTTACTATCAGTCATACAAGATGACATCTGCTGTCCTGACGTCTGATCCTTATCATGAGGCTTGCTTGCCCATTCATATCACCTGCCTGGTAGAACTGAAGAAAACGAATGAGCTATTCTACCTTGGACATAAGCTTGTTGATAACTATCCTCAAAAGGCTGTCGCTTGGTATGCAGTTGGCTGTTATTACTATGTCATTGAAAAGTATGAGCAGGCTAGGAGGTACTTTAGCAAAGCTACCAGTATAGAACGAGTTTATGGACCAGCATGGCTTGCATTTGGGCATGCTTTTGCAGCAGAAGGAGAGCATGATCAAGCAATGGCAGCTTACTTTGCAGCTTCTAAGCTAATGCCAAGATGCCATCTGCCTCTTCTCTATATTGGCCTGGAGTATGGAAAAACCAATAATGCAAAACTGGCTGAGAGATTTTTTGAACAGGCTTTAATTCTTTCACCAGATGATCCTTTTGTGAAGCAAGAGATGGGCGTGATTGCCTTTCAAAATGGAGATTATCTGTCTGCAGAAAAGAACTTCAAGGCAGCTCTCCAGAAAGCACAGATCACTAGCGGGGAAGTTCTCTCAGAAACTTGGGAGACACTGCTCAGTAACCTTGGCCATGCCTGCCGCAAGCTAGGGAGATACCAAGAAGCATTACGATACCACAAGCAAGCACTTGTTCTTGTTCCAAACAAGGCTTCCACTTTCTCTGCCCTTGGCTTTGTCAATAGCCTATTAGGAAATCACCATGAAGCAATAGGCTATTTCCATAAGGCACTTGGTATTCAACGAGAGGATACTTTTAGTGTTCACATGCTAGGTGAAACTCTTGAACAGCTAACAATTGAGGTCAACACAAAAGTGAAAGAAGACAATGATATTAGCATGGAAATGGATAACAGATCTGATGAGGAAAGTGACTGAGCAATATGGGGAAGAAGATTGTTTATCTAACAATACAACAATGAACTACTCAACCACTGGACCCACCCCCCTGACCTGCAAATAACTACCTACAAATTCATGTTGCTCACATGCAAGAACAAACTGTGTTTTACAGCAAAGAATATTCAGCTCATGAGTAGATGTCTTTCCCTATCAGTGGAAAATGGCAGATCACTTCTATAAGCTATTCGATTTGCAAATCTCAAAATACCTTATAATGAAGGCAAACTCCATGAACTATTGAACAAGACCATTCCAAAATATTCTGATTTGTTAGTAACACACCCATCCGTTGTTTGCCTCAGTCTTCCTCCATGGTAAATCATCAGTCTGCCATTAAGAATTCACTTTATTTTGCTTAACCATGTCCAAAAATTATTGATTTGTTGACGACATCTGAGTGGAGGATAACATTTATGGGAGCACTCCCAAAAAACAGAAGTCAACTATCAGGATTAAGCTTTGTCTTAAACAATAACCTCACTGAATACAAGGTAATCCAAGTTAGCAGTTACTAATAGAGGTGCTGTACACAGTTTATGAAATAAAACAAAAGGGTCTATCAAGGAAAAAAGTTGAGATTAAAGAAATGAAGATACTTTTCAATACCTCAAAAATAATAGAGGGCCTTTGTATATTTCACTGTCTTATTTTAACTCAGATTTCCATTAAATTTTTACAATCATAATAAACACAACTATTACCTTTCAGAACATTCAGTGGATACTATTTTGCTATGATTCTCTCAGCTGGCCTTAAACCCTAATATGCTGTACAATAAGTTCATGGAGAGAAAATTTCTGTCCTTTCAAGAGCTTCAAAGAAGAAAATAATTGTTGAAAGATATGTGGAGTTGATATATCAAACTTAAATGTCTCCCAGTTGGTTTTCATTTAGGGTGGGGTGGGTGGTACTCAACCAAAAACACCTAAGGATGTGGCCCCCTTAGATCCAAATCCTTATCCTTCATAGGCCACTTTTAATAAAAAAGATAGCCCTTTGATATAAAAAAAGAAGAAGAAACCCTCCAAACAGTGGTAAAAATTGAGTTACAGTAAGTTACATCCCTTTTATTCACATGACTGATGACTGGCTAATCCTCATTAACCAAACAGGTCAAGAGAATAAAAAAATTGGAGGGGGGATGGGGGATGGGGTGGTACTCAACCAAAGACACTTAACCCTTTCACTCCCAAGATCTAATTCTCCTTACTATCTGCCATACAATTCTTGTGATGTTAGTTCAGAGAATTTGATATTGGATCAACTTATCATCCCATGATTGACATTCTTCTCTATTCTCATCACTTGCCTGCTTGATATTGTATTGATATTGTAAGGAGAAATTCTGTCTTGGTCACTTGTGGGGGTGAAAGGGTTAAGGATGTGGTCTTTAAGATCCAAATCCTTATCCTTCATCGGCCACTTTAAACCATAAAGATAGCCCTTTGATTTAAAAAAAAAAGAAAATGGAGTTACAGTAAGTTACATCCCTTTTGTTCGCAAGACTGATAACTGGCTAATCCTCATTAACCAAACAGGTCAAGAGAATAACAAAAATTTTCTGGGATATCATTTGGATCTGACCCCCAAATAGTCAGGACTAGCCCAAATAGAAATTTATTGACACTGATTAGTTTGCTAAAGGCAGTTAAGGCTAAGCATCCCTGGGCAAGCATATTTAGAAACCACCCTCCCCTCCCCCTCAAATTCCACCCGTGGAAGGAGGGTTTTCCTGGACTACATACAAGAATATCAGCATGGGTCCTTTGCGCTATCTACGTGCTCATTTCAACGGTTCATTTTATATTTCTAACAATTCTTCGGCAGTGAGCAGTTTTCATTTCTTGCATTGCGTTTTCCAACTCTGAAGTAAGGTGAATCAAGTTCACTGGATCAGTTTGAAATATGTCTGCGGACTTCTTCTCTCCCTGTTTTGTATGCAACCTCATAAAGATCACAGGGTTTGTCTGATGCTGCAGTGACCTGCTGGCAAGCTCTACATCGAATCTCCATTCCAGGTCGTGGTAATGTGGGGTTCGCAAGCTCATCTCTCCCAAGATGTTCCTAATTTCTTTGCGATTTTCCAAATACATCTTCAACAATGCACCGATCATTTCTTCGGAGAAACCAAGTGTCATGATGGAATCTTGAAAATCAATTTCGCCGACCATCAAGCGAGAACTCTCTGTGAAGACATGCTGTAAACCACTAATTCCATTTTTCACGGTGTCCACTTCAACAGCGAGCTTTTGAGCGGCAGCTTGGAAGATTTTGGGATTCGAAGAGCCTTTGAGAATAGAATCCAGGGATATTCGGGCAAACTCAAGGACCACATCGAGTTCCAAAGATGTTAAGAACTTCAAATGTTCTTTTTGCTGCTCAGAAAGAATAAGAAGCATAATAATCCTGATAAGCGAGACAAGCAATGACAGAATCTGTATGGAGGAAAGGAGTGTAGACTGAAAGCAGGTTGAGGATTCCTGGAAACTAATCAACTTGGTAGCCAAGCTTTACATTCATTATGGCGGACGATGTCTAAAATTGCACTTGCTTTTCCGACGAAATGGCCTCGGTCAATACGTTATCAGAAGTGTTAGAAAACTTATCAATCGAAGCGAAAGAACTATATCTCAGTTCAGAGGTGTCAAGGCTTGGAAAACCTCCGACTCCCCTGGAATTTGTGAGGGACTGGGTGAGCCCTAATGTTCCAGTTATCATCAAAAACGCGTTCAATCATTGGCCAGCGCTTAAAAAATGGAATTGTGATTATTTGAGACAGAAAATTGGACACAAGACCGTAACTGTTGCGGTCACACCCAATGGATATGCTGATGCGGTAGTGGGAGATAGGTTTGTCTTACCAGAAGAACGGGAGATGGAATTCTCCAAGTTTGTAGATATTCTTGAAGGAAAATCTAAAGAAAGAGGGATATTTTATGTTCAGAAACAAAATTCCAACTTAACGAGCGATTTTAAAGAATTATGCGAAGAAGCAGCATGTGATGTACCTTGGGCAACCCAAGCATTTGGCAAAAATCCTGATGCAGTCAACTTTTGGATGGGAGACAAAAGGGCAGTCACCTCGATGCACAAAGATCACTATGAAAACTTGTATTGCGTGATTTCTGGTACTAAAGTTTTCACATTGTTACCACCAAGTGATCTGCCTTTGGTTCCTTATGAATTATATTCACCAGCCAGATATAAAGCTAACAATGATGGAGTATTTGAAATTGTTGATGAAGTTGATGAGAACTTAACAAAAACAGCACCAAAACAAAAAGTGCCCTGGATTGCTGTTGATCCACTGAATCCAGATCTGAATAAATATCCGAACTATGCTAAAGCTAACCCTGTCAATTGTGTAGTGAATGCAGGGGAGATGCTATATCTACCTTCCTTGTGGTTTCATCATGTTCAACAATCTCATGGGTGCATTGCAATCAATTTTTGGTATGATATGGACTATGATATCAAGTACAACTACTACAAATTTGTTGAGGCTGTGGCTGGCCTTGCCAACAATCATTCGTAAATTTTTTTTTCTGCTGGGAAGCAACGGCTCACTTTTGACAACTCATACAAATTCAGAGGCCCTTCATTGGAAATTATCCTATCATGATAGGTGAACATTTTTGTTGATTCTGCTCCAGCACAAGTCTGTCATCAGCATCAGTGGGCTGAAAAACAGATAGAGTTTGACTTCTTCTAGGTATTCTTTGAAACTTGGAAAATCTTGTTGAAATCAAAGTCAGTGTTTACTTACTTGTCTTAGATGCAGACTTGTCGAATGATCAAGTTGTGACAGAACTGTTTCTCACTGTAAGATAACCTCTCACAAATTGGTTGTTTGATTCAGGTCAACTCTTGCCATGCCATTAGTCCCACAGCTAAGCATATCATGTATAGCTACAGTGCATGATTTCTACAGGTAATCATGTCAAGTTTGCACACTTTTTATTGCTTGCTCATTTGTATATTTTTACAAGTTTAGAAGTAAATTATCAGTTCCACTTACTGTTGTGACCATTTTTTTTCATTCAATGTATAATAAAACAATTATTACATTCAGTTTTTGTGATATCCAGATTAAACAAGATCTTGTTATGGGTTACCAGCCAAAGACTTTGACTTGGGCTGTTGACCCCCACCTTGACCATTCTGGTTATCACAAAAGCGTCATCCAATAATTGTTTATCATTACCAAAGCTTATTCTGTGTGTAGTTCCCTCTGATCAAGGATGTGTTTCCAATGTAAACATAAGTTGTGAGTGATTGAAGAGCTACCTTCCTTATAAGATGCCTTTCCTGAGAACAGTTTAAGTGAGCCAGTGGCATTAGCTCACACCTGGAACTTACCAAGGTTAATTCAAGAGCACTAATTTACATTATTCCCTTTAAAATATTCAGTTGAGATTCTTTGATTTAACTTGACATAATTAATTTTTAACCATGAAATAGTAATGGGAAAAAAATGAAGTAAAATGATGAGGTAACGATGCTTGTTTTATCACTGTGTGAAGTTATTTCACATGTTCTCTACTTAATTGCACAGGAAACACTTGAACCTCGCATCAGAACTACCACCTCCACCACATAAAATTTAACCCTTGAACTCCTAAGATCTGACTGTTAATCCTCCCCTCTAGCTGCGACACATTTATTTGTCCAAGTCTGGTTTTTGATCAAGATGACAACATCTACCTGATGAGACCGAGTATTCTCATTACCTTTTTGCTGGATAATGTATGAATACTATGAGAAGAAGTTACATGTTGATCAACTATGATAGTTAGGGCATTAATTTAGTTTCTTCTTCCGATACAAATTAACAATTAGTCTATTGTTCAACCTGTTTCCCCTATTTTGAATGATACCATTTTGAGAAATAAAATTACTCCATATGGTTAATTCCATTCATTATACAATCCAGATGGTTTTCATGTAATTACACAAATTCTCAGTTCCCTTTTTAATCTGGGCTTTCAATGCAGGGAAGCACAAATGCCACAACACAATGAGGGAGGAAGCAAACTGTGACACAGTTGTTTCTCATCATTTTTTTTTTAATAAACAAGAAATTAAATTAGTTCTGGTAACTACAGCAAGAGTAACCACAGGAGATAGGCCTTTCCATGCTAGAAAAAGATTATAACAAATTTAACCCAGCAAAGAGCAAGAGAAGATTACCAGATAACAATTCAGTATTTCCACATTTTCCTCTAAAAAGAAATGATAAATGTATACCTAGATGATGAAGAGGCCTATTTTTTTTTCTGCAGGCTTCTTCACATGAAGCAATTTGATACACCACCTAAATCTCAGTCACACACCATTTAATTAGGTGTGCTTTGTGAAGATCTTTTCAGTCAATAAAAATGCCTAGATGCATCAGATTCAATTAAAGTTCATCCTTGGCTTTTGTTTCTTCTTCTTCATCTTCTGTTGCACTCTCTTCACTTTCTGTTTCTTCCTTTCCCTCCTCTGTTTCATCTTCTTTTACCTCCTCAGATTCTTTGCCTTCTTCTTCCTGCAGAAATAAAGAAAGCAAACAATTAAAGTAACCAATTTTTTATCAACATACTATGGACTTTTTTTTTTAGTGTACGTTATGAGCATTTGAAGCTAGGTATTTTTCCCCTAAAGACACATTTGGGCTTGAAAAGACAAGTCACTGTAGCATATTGAAATGAAATTAAAGTTTAATAATAATGAAAAAAGGTATAATTTTTAACTGTTCTAAATTTTTCCACTCCATCTCATCTTGATTATAAGACGCACCTCTTCCTCTTCCTCATCCTCTTCATCTTCTTCCTCTGCTTTCTTCTTGTCCTCCTCTTCTTTCCTCTTCTTTTCTTCTTCCTCTCTTTCTTTGCGTTCCTTTTCATCCTGCTCATCCTTCATTTTCTTTTCACCTTCCTTGGTTTTCTCAAAAGTTTCCTTTGCAAATTGTTCTGCATACTCCACAGAATCTGTTACAAGGATATTGTCAAAAATGGTTCCAGATTTAACCTGGAATAAGAAAAGGATTTAAAAAAAAAAAAGCTCTGTTAGACCCCACTCTTTGACAAGTCACAAGTAGTGAACAGAAAACAGTTATGGCTTACCTGCCACAGATCAAATCCAATGGCACCAATGTCATCATACTTGTAAAGTTTGTCATCAGGTTGGTATTCAGGGTTGTCAATTTCTGGGTGGATCCACTCTCCCTTGTAGTTAGGATTGTCAATCTGTTTGGGTTTCCATTCTCCCTAGAGGGGAAAAAAGGTAGAATAATTAAAACTGTTGAAATTAAAATGAGTACATATGATGATCAGGTCAGTTGCAAAACATCCCTTCAATTTTTGCGAACAGGGTTGTCCACCAACCTTGTAGTCTGGGTTGTCGATCATTGGAGGTTCCCATTCACCATCAATCTCATCATCCCAGTCATCAGGCTTCTTGGCATCAGGGTCAGGGATGTGCTGAGGCTTGTCCCAATCCTGAAGCAGAGAATTCTCACATTAAATTACACTGAGAACAAATGTGCTCAAAAAATAATTCGCTCTTCTTCCCAAAGTAAAAACCAAACTTCCTTCAACATGCAAATAACCTTAAGATTCTATGAATTCTTTTCTATATACCCTTGCAAGTCAGCTACAAAGTGGTAAAAAGATTTTACAAGTTCACAGGGTTACCAGATTAGACACTGAACTCACCTCAGTTAAACCTAACACACAACACTATTAAATTTACCTCAGGTTTCTTATCCTCTGGGTCATCAATCTTCTTTTTATCATCCCAGTCCTCTGGTTTCTTGGCCTCAGGATCTTTTATCTTCTTTGGTGGCAGGAAATCCCAGTCAGCTTCAAGCTCACCACTTTCAACCTTCTCTCCATCAATACGAACCTCATAGGTGTTATCAGACTTCACAATCAGTGTGTAGAGATGGGTGAACTCATCATCCTGAGAGAAAAATCTGCTGGTTAGGCAAGTATAAACTGTTGACTTGGAAGAGAGGTTTTTCGTGAATTTAATTAGCTTGGAAGCAAGTATTTTGAGATTCAATGCATTCGGTGGACAAATATCAAAGAAACTGAGATGAACCCACAACCCTTGACTAACCTTTGCACTTGCAACTTCATTCATACATGTAACACCCTTTATATCATGCAACTTGCAATTGGTTTGAACAGATATCTCACTTTTCATTTATCTTTCTCCCAGTTTCCCCACCACAAAATGTATTTTATCATATGTATTTATATGCTTTTTTTTTTTTTTGTATTTAGTTAACCTTTTCACCATCCTTATACATGTTAAAAGTTTCAATTCATTGAACTGACACTTGAATACTATTAAGTTCCTATCTTTTTCACTACTTCTCTATCCTAGCCTTAAAATGCTTTTTTTGTGTTTTGAGAATTTGGTGCCATATTAGAACAATAAGTCCAAGAGATAAATACTACCCCTCGATTATTTCAGAGTGGAAGGCCAACTAAAATTCTCACAAATGTGAGTTTGGTTGATATTTTTTTTATTTACCTTGCATCTGATGTCTTTCTTAGTCAGCAAGTTTTTCCCTTTGTAGTTAAAAATCACGTGTACTTTTTTGGTGCCAGGTCCACAGATATCAGGTCCTACAATCAGGCAAATCGATAAATACGTAAATTACACTTTAAATCAGTATGAAAGGATTAAACCTCCAAGGAAACTGTCTCTATGCTACGACTTTCTCGAGAAAAAATCCTTGCCAACAACTTACCGAACATAATGTGGTATGGAGTATCGCCATGAATGTTCTTCTGGTCCACTTTGCTGTCATAAACCTAAAAAGCAACGACGAAATGCGAAAAATCATTATAACGTATATGTACCCCCGATAAAATACTGATCCCAGCACATTCAAGAACATGTTGCTGTTGGTTTCACCGGGTCCAGCTATAAATGGGCAGACAAAATAATAAATGCTCTCTACAAAAACAATAAACTTCATTCTCCATAGAGAAATTAAAATTTACTTTAAATATGTACCTTTACGTAACCACCACCACAGTCGATGTTCTGTTCATGTTTCACTTGAAACTGGATCACAAAGGTCTTGTCTTCGTTTGAAAAACTTTCCTCAAACTTGGCCGAAATACCGTAAAATTTAGCATCTTGGCTGGTTTGAATACCTGTAAAAAAAATCAGATTTGTGTAATATGGTGCCTTGTTTACAAGTTATAAGATTGCTATTTTACGTAATTTAAAAGAATTTCTTTAAATCAGCTTTGCAGCTGAACTATCCAAAAGAAGTCATCTTTGAGTCACGAACATGCACTACGACTGCAAGTGAGGGATGTGCAGATTTGTCATATACCTTTGTCTAAATCTGCATCACCGTAGAATTTTCCAGCAGTCCAAGTAAATTTTCCAGCGTCACTTCCTTTGAAAGTGGATTCCACCCATCTGTCCTGATAACTTTGGTCTGATGAAAACAAAATTTCAGAATCGTTCAGGAATATTGTGTAGGAGCTACCTCCTGCAAAAGAAACGTAAACAACGAGAACCCACCTTCAAATTTCTCTACAAAATAGATTTTTGTCTCCTCTGCTAATACGCATGAGAATAGGGCTAGTACGAGTAAACAACCAAATGCCATGATTTTTTTAAAACCAGACTACAGAAAGTACAACTGAATCGATGACTTCAACTAAATTTCTAACTATGTCAAACGACCATGTGAACAAAACCGTTTTGGCCGGCCTTCTGCGTGGTGAGCTGTGATTGGTTAATTTTCACCATGTGGTACAAATTGTCCAACCAGAAAGCACCACACGTCTCGGCCTCCGTGACTAGATTTAGCTTCCGTGGAAGCGTCACAAGACGCGAATGTGCTTGGGGGACCGGGCAATTTGAAAGAGACAATAAGTAAAGATTATTTGACAAGGAAAAAATGTTAAAATCTTCATTGTAACTTTCGCGTAAATACTTGTGCGTTACGCACAATGAGGTTATGAGAAATTCAATGAAATGTTGTTGAAAGAGTATTTTGAGATAAAACTTTATCACCCTGAACACAGGGGGACTTTTGGCACATTTGCCTTATTTGTGTTTTGTATACGTGGAGGTTGAGGCCATTTTGAATATTTTATACAAGAACAAAGACTCTAGACAACACTTTGACAAGTATCTTGATCACGGTGATCACTAATTGCGCGCGAGACATAATGTTTTCGAACCCAGGCTTCTCTGCGCCTCCCGAATGTGAATGTAAAAAGCGTTTCTCTGAACTTTGGTGCAAACGTTCTTGAGGAACACACCCAATCAAAGATTGACTAATCTCTTCACGGGGTCGTCTTGAGGTGGTATTCATACATTACAGCGAAGACGAGTTAATATAAAACGCGTCTTTTAAATTATTACAAGCAGCCATTGACAAACGGCTCACGTGTAACGGTAGGTGGGCCGAGGTTGTGTCTGGACGTGAGAGGCCATTCAGAGAAGCGCTGACTGGCACCCGTTAAAAACAAAGGAAACACCATAATACATTCTACATGACAAAACTATCACTTCTCATCACCAAGAAAGCTTTTATCGATGATCTTCGATGCAGCGCAAAGTACACCTCAATAACAAGACTGTCGTCAACACTTAAGGGTAAGTCAACTGCGATTCCCTGACACACTTCTGGAACGCGTCTTTTGCCATTTACGTTTGGCTTGGTGCTCGATTATTTTTTCGTTTAGCTACAGTTTCCGCACTCAATAAAAAACTGAGTTTAAATCTATCAGAAGTTGAAGGAGACTGCGGAAGATCGAGATTAAATAAGTTCGCTCTAAATGAAATAAACACCAGGATTTAGAAGTGGACATTCCACGAGGTGGCTCTCCTTCTCCACTGTTTCCAGGTCGAGTGGGAATTTAGAGTGTTGGTTTTTGTGGAGGGAGGAACTGGAGTACCCTGAGAAAAACCCGACGAAAATAACAGAACCACGTACTAGTGAAAACAATAATTTATTCTTACTCCCAGAATTGACCCTTGTTTTTTACTTGATCTAACAAGTACCACACAGTCAGGATCTTCCATTACAAAAGATAGCGATAAAAGCCTGACGAAGTAGAGTAATAACTGTTCAAGACGATGCAAAATATCAAAAATTTTCAAAGCAGACGAAATTGATCAAAATTAAACTACCAGAAACATTGACATCTTCCTAACTAACGCAAGCCTTGAATATCTATATCAACCTAGACTACAATTTGGGTCAATTTTTCTTCCCCACCCCTGGTTAAGTCTGACAAACAAAAGTCGACAACAAGGGAAACTTATAAAAGTAAAAATTAAAGAGACGAAGAGTATGCTTGATAATCAAGTATTGCCATTTCACAATTTGGGGCAAAGAATAATGGACTTGTTCAGAAAGAAGGCAAATAAAAAAACGACAAATAGAACATTTAACTTTAAGTACCCTTTGTTCATGTCTAAAAATTTTAAGCTAAATGTAGTTATAGACAAGAAAATACCTATCAAAAATTTTTTTCTTACATAATTATAAATGCCCTGTTCGACGCAGAGCGTGAGGATCAATAATTTAAAATGACACACTGCTATTTACGATCCTGAAAAAAAATAATTTTACGAATTACCTTTCGGAACTAAATTCGATAGGAATGCAGCACGCAAACGTTAAAATTAGAAAAGTGTCTTTTGAACCTAAGCTATTGATACTTTCGCACTGTTTACCCTTTAACCCTTTAACACCCGAGATCTCATGAGCAATTCTCCCTACTGTCTAACATAAAATATTTATGATTTCAATTTAGAGAATTTAGTATTGGATCAACTTGTATTCCCCTAATTGAGTTTTCTTCTTTATTCTCCTCATTTGTTTGCTTGATTCTGTGTTGATATTGTAAGGAGAAATTCTGTCTTGGTCACTCAAGTTAAAGGGTTAAAACAAAAACGAGGACGATACAATTTCCGAGAGAAAAACATGTTGTCGGCTATACCAAGATTGCAATACAAATTGACGCTACAAGGTGGTGAACTAAAACTATTTCTTGTCAAAATAATTTTTGTTAAAAAAAATTACAGTTGTAATCCCTGTGTTTGAGGTAAATAGAGTAACACTGAAGTTTATAGGCAATAAAAAGGACACAACTAACTAAGAACAATAACTACGATATACCTTTGGAAGATATAACTACGATATACCTTTCCCTGTGAAGTTTGCCTTTATCAAATCCTTAGCAAAGTCTGATATAAGCAAAAAGTTTTTTTTGAGAAATCTAAGAGTTATTTAGCAGCGCGCCCTTGAGGGGAAATTTAAGGTTTGTATCTAATCCAGGGTTATAAATCAAAAAGTTTCTTTTGAGAGATCTAGGAGTTATTTAGAGGTGCGCTCTTGAGAGGAAATTTAAGGGTTGTATCCAATCCAGGGTTATGAATCTGAAGAGTGTTCACATGGTAATATTCCACCAAGTCCTTTAAAGTTGGGTAATTGGTGTAATTTGCAAAACCATATCCCCCTGGGCCTCTGTTTACTGCTATGTGTTTGACTTCACCTCCGTGCCTGAAACAAAGAACATTGATAACATCAACATTTACTTATATGAGCCATGAAGTCTTACATGGGAAGCAGAGTCAAATATTTGTTTCATTAATTCGATCAAGAATTCTCCGTAAAAGTAATCTCTCCCAATAAGATCATTCAAACAATCTACAACCGACGGCAAACTTTGACGGCTTGGGATTCCAAATTGACGGCTTGGGATTCAAGACTTCCCTTAGTTTTCTTAGTCAGTTCTGTGAGTCAGACTCCTAACAACCGGAACTTTTGCATGTTTTCGTTTTCGAAGGGAGATATGATTCTGGAGTTTTTCTTTTTACTGGTTTACAGTACGCTTTAGGAAAATAGTCTCAGCAAAGAACGCCCTCTTTCTGAGCAAGTATGCATCACTTCGCAATAGGAACGTCTGCTTGTTTCTGATGCATGAAAAGAATTGCGTAGAATGCCGCATGGAGAATGGAAATGCCTCTTCAAATCGAGGACGAGGAGCAAACCACCGAAAGAAAGATTAGAACCATGTTTGTCGACTAAAACAAACGTCAAATGCAAATTTTCCGTACCTTTACCGCATTTAAACACACGGCAAAAGAAAACAAAGTGCAAGCCTTTCATTGCCTTTTGGGTACTTGCGTTAAGTTGACTTACTTAAGACCCACAGCATACTCTCCTCGCCTTCGCGCACTTTCCCTTACGAGGAAAGTACCTTCTTCTTTGTCTATTAAAAGTGATTCTGCTTCTTCCCTGAAGAGCAAAACGAAAATCAAATATATTCCTAAGTAATTCAGTGGTATTATATACGATTGGAAGCACTCGTAAATAAAACTTTATTGACATATTTCATATCCATCCCGGTACAAAGGCTCGAAACGCAATAAAATAATGTTTGCTATAGACTGTAAGAGGCTAAGATGCGATCATCTCCTAAGGCGAAAATCAATTCCATAATAACATACTACGCTTAAAAATCGTTCAAAAGCTGTCCATACACTGTGAGTGCGAAACGTGATCTACGACCTAAGTGCAAGGCGCGTATCAAAAACAAACCCTCTTAAAACTCACGATAGAGAACTCAGCTGACCTTCATGGGAATTTTACATTATTGTTCATCTACCAGTCTCAGCGTGTACAGAGAAACACCTGCTTACAAATAACTACTACTAAGTACCTTTAAATTTCAACCATAAGGCGTACCGGTATTGTCTGCCAAATTTACTGGTAAAAGTAAAACAACTATCGACTGAAACACATTAGCGACACAAGAAGTCCCATGGGCAGCTTTTAAATCAGTGAACTCTTCATACCTGGTTAGAGTTCCATGTAACCATTGTTCTTCAGAAATGTCTACTTGAGGCCTAAAAACCAAAACAGTAACGATTTATAATCAATTATTGTTTCTCTCAGTCCAAGGTTATGAGGGAAAAGTCACATTTTATTACCTAATTCGTTCCCAGTTTTTGGAAACTCAAGCAGATTATTCTTTCCAAAATGATTTCCCATTCGAACTCAGTGCGAACTCAATGCCACTGACATAAATGATTAAATAGGTTTACCGGTCACAAGCCAAGTTTGAGAAAAATGGAAAATATTCATACAGAAAACATCATCTAAAGCCGTGCTGTCAGGTAACTCAAGCTGAGTATTATTCTCACATTCCTCCAAACCATACAATCTACGCAACTGACAACGAGATATGATTGTACTCAGAATACTGACTAATAAACTGGTTTGTCAGCAGTTGAAACCTAATTAATAAAACCTAGCTTTCACACGTCAAGAAAATCCCCGATGATCGGCATTTTCACTATTTTCCAGTCCCAGATTTTTCCGACAAATGAAAATTCGAAATCGTTGAGATTCGGCGAAAAATCGGGAACGTTTATATCATTTCCGATGCATCCTAGAATTCGGCGTTATCCACGATATATGGAAACTTCAATTTTCATTGAATTTTTTTGATAGCTCGCCACCAGTCCCCTAGTTGCTTAGCTACAGAACCCCGAGCCACTAATAAAATTGCATGCAGAAGAATCTAAGACAGACGTCTGTCGATATATCGGCAAAATCTACGACGTCCGGGAAACAATGAAATCGTCGATCGTCTGGAATTTCCCCAACAAATGAAAACCAGGCTTACTCTGATCCTCCTATAGCTGCAGGTAAAAACTGACCGTTGCTATGACACCCGACCCTAATTTAGTGCATTAAGTATCAAACAAAAAAACGTCAATCATAACTAACATATCGTAAATGTCTTCTTCAGGGTTTCCATTTGCCAGTCCACTGTTTAGAGAATAAAAATCGTGTCAGGCAAAATGCTGCCATCTTAACTATGCACGTTTAAGCAGGAACATACAGAAAACCGCCCAAAACGTGACACAACCGAGGAGAGGAGGGAAAGGAGGGAGAAAGGGAAGAAGGGAGGAAGAGAAGGAGGGAGGAAGAGAAGGAGGGAGGAAGAGAAGGAGGGAGGAAGGGAAGAAGGGAGGAAGAGCAGGAGGGAGGAAGAGAAGGAGGGAGGAAGAGAAGGAGGGAGGAAGAGAAGGAGGGAGAAAGGGAAGAAGGGAGGAAGAGAAGGAGGGAGGAAGAGAAGGAGGGAGGAAGGGAAGAAGGGAGAAAGAGCAGGAGGGAGGAAGAGAAGGAGGGAGGAAGAGCAGGAGGGAGGAAGAGAAGGAGGGAGGAAGAGAAGGAGGGAGGAAGGGAAGGAGGGAGAAAGGGAAGAAGGGAGGAAGAGAAGGAGGGAGGAAGAGAAGGAGGGAGGAAGGGAAGAAGGGAGGAAGAGCAGGAGGGAGGAAGAGAAGGAGGGAGGAAGAGAAGGAGGGAGGAAGAGAAGGAGGGAGAAAGGGAAGAAGGGAGGAAGAGAAGGAGGGAGGAAGAGAAGGAGGGAGGAAGAGAAGGAGGGAGGAAGGGAAGAAGGGAGGAAGAGCAGGAGGGAGGAAGAGAAGGAGGGAGGAAGAGAAGGAGGGAGGAAGAGAAGGAGGGAGGAAGGGAAGGAGGGAGAAAGGGAAGAAGGGAGGAAGAGAAGGAGGGAGGAAGGGAAGGAGGGAGAAAGGGAAAAAGGGAGGAAGAGAAGAAGGGAGGAAGAGAAGGAGGGAGGAGCGGGAGGGAGGAAGGGAAAGAGGGAGGGATGGAAGGAGGGAGGAAGAGAAGGAGGGAGAAAGGGAAGGAGGGAGTAAAGGAAGGAGGGAGGAAAGGAAGGAGAGAGGAAGAGAAGGAGGGAGAAAGGGAAGGAGGGAGTAAAGGAAGGAGGGAGGAAGGGAAGGAGGGAGAAAGGGAAGGAGAGAGTAAAGGAAGGAGGGAGGAAAGGAAGGAGAGAGGAAGAGAAAAGGAAGAGAAGGAGGGAGGAAGGGAAGGGTGGAGGAGGGGAAGGAGAGGGGAAAAATAAAAAATGAAAAATAAACTGAAATTTTGATCAAACAAACTTAAGTACTTACCTCCTCTCACTTCCTCTATGAGGAGAAAATAGAAATAATATGAAGTTAAGTAACACAAACAACTGGATAATCTTTGTTTTATGTTCAGTTAGTCTCTCCTGGTGTTTCTTCTTATTACTATTGTCTTAAAATATTACTATGAAGTGCTAGCAAATAGCAGAGTGATTTGTATATATATATATAGATGAGTCTCTTCAGGAAGTGAGAGCAGAAGAGCAATAACAAAAATGAATCTGATTGAACAAAAGCTTTACTCACTCTTCGCCAATCGCTAGTTTCAACCTCTCCACATCCATTTTCCATTCAGTTGTGAGGACACTACAAATGAAATATCTTTGAGTCACGCTACCGCTTAACGATAGGAAGTCTAAAAAGAACACTTAAAAAAAAAAGAGGAAAGGGATGATGTTCAACTTACAAGTAGTATTGTTGCTTGCTTCTCTGAAGCTTGATGATGTCTGGCTTGATGCCGTTCATGCGCTTGTTCAGAACGCGTGTTTTTTCGGTAATGTTTGTAAGTTCCTTTTCGAGTGTGATCACAATTCCCCTTGCTTCAAGCTTCTTATGCTTTAATAAATCAAAGTTCTGGCGAAGTCTGAAAAGAAAAGTAACTGTGAATCGCAATCGACCAAGAAGTCGAAGCTTGAGCCAAGTCGAAAGTAGCTTCGGTGTAAGGGTATGTCATCACAGTTTTTAACCTCCGTTACTTAAACTACATACACACACTGTTTACTCACATTGCCCTATTTTGTGGCGGAGCTTCCTTATGGTAAGACTCGTGAAGTACCATTTGATCCTCGATCATCTTCATGATTTCACGTTGCGCATCAAGTTCTTCATGATAGTCGGTAATTTTCTGTAAATAAGATGAGCCAACGAATAAGTTAAGAGAAACACCCCTGACTGTAGGCGATGTTCTTCCATAATATCAAATTAAACTATTTCCTAAATGATTTGACAAACTTCCGAATTTATGGCCGCATCCTTCGACTGGTTACGTGGTCAATACACTCTGAATACCACCACCCACACATGGATGTCATCGAATTTTAAACCCTCCATGCATTATCAACAAAGATTTTGGTTTGCGGAAAGTTTGTACCATCCACATAATCGTTTTCACATGTCCAAAGTTTTCTTTGGCGATTCAAACCATGTTGTGCTATCAGTCGTAATATAACTCATGCTCGCGCGCTTTTATCACTCGCAGAGTTCAAAGCGCCTCCTTGATCGATAAGCGAAATTGTTGACTACCATGAAGAAAAAAAAAAAAAGGAAGGAGCGAGATGGCCCGGTGTTTTAGCGTAGGTTGAGTTGTCAGCCCACTCCTTCGCCTATGCTCCCCTCAGGGGATTGGGGTAGGAGATGGCTGACACTTCTAGATGAAAATCGCATGGCATCAAGATGAATGCGAGTGGAACATCGATTTGCAAGACTAAATTCGCGCGAAAAAAAAAAACAGTAGAGTTGGGATGCATTCTCCCTCAAAGGAAACTATAATTCCTGACCTGTTCTAGCTCAACACATTCATTATGTATCTTTTCGTAGTTGTCTGATTTTTCCATATATTCCTCGTGCGCTCTTCTCAGTTTTTGTATATAAATATTATTATCCTTGAGAGAGCCTTCGTCATCTTCATCCTGAGGAAATGTAACAAATATCACCCCTCTACAGTAAGAAAAAGAATTCACAAACTAGAAGCTTTACTATCTAAGTTAGACCACTAACATAGAGATGTGATTGGATAGCAACTTCTCCTTAAACAGTGCAGCTCGAAGATAGGGGGGACATCGCAGCCTACATGTTGTACCATGCGCTTGTCCAGTACGCGTACGCGTCTGTTGACAGACTAGTCTAAAAACGCGTTTAGACGTATCGTATATGCCGCTGTTATTCATCACCATACTTAGCTTTGTATGCTACTGTTTTCAATGCACAAAAAAGGTAGATAATTTTGTCAGAGCGCCGGTTCGTAAGTACGAAATTCGCCAAACAATTTTGAAAACGTCCATAAAAATTATCGTATGTAAATTGTTTAATGGAAAAGTGGGTTAATTTGGAATCTGTTATTCTTTTCTCAACAGTTAACAAAGAAAAAGTTTGTAAGCGTTGATCACTTGCTGGAAGAGTACAGTGGGCATTTTGACCGACAGACTCGCTTGCTTCTCCGCAAATGACAAACTTCGATGAAAAGTGACACCAATAGACAATCCAGCAAATGGGCGAAAAGCATAGTCACAGCAAATTTCAAACAGATTAGTATACTAGAAGTCCCTATGAGATCAAGGAGTATGACTGATTTTCACTACACGCGTTTTCTCCATTCGTGCATTTTCATTTATAGAGAACATCTCTTCAAAAAAGGTAAAGAACATTAAATTAACCACAGTTAACCCTGAGTTACATGTACCTCGTATTTCTGGAGAGGTGTTTCGAGTTTGATATCGAGTTTCGGATTGTAAGAAGCCAATGATCTTGTCTTGTAATAATTGATGAGTTCAACCACAGACGAAAATGTAAGCGGCTCTGAGAAGCCATAAAAGCCATCTTTAAACAGGATACGAATCAGTTTGTTCATTCCTCCTTTCCTAAAATTAGAAAAAAAAACAAGGCGGTTAACCACTATCCGTAGATTCACTCCTGAGGTGATAAGAGATCTTAACCCTTAACCCTTTAAGCCCCACTAGTGACCTAGACAGAATTTCTCCTTACACTATCCGTACGATATCAAGAGTATTGTAAATGGAGGGAACTATATTCAAATTGAGCAAAATTCAATCGTCAAACCTCTCGCTAAATCAACCATACTGAAATCAATATATAACATAAATCACATGCCCAGAAATTTTTATTAGCCAACACAGCGATATATAAATTAATCCTTTTTGAATTAATAGTACAATGGGATTGCAAAATGGTGTCAATAGAAATAATTTACTAATTAAAAACGTACCTGAGCGTCAAGGTATATTCCCCAGGAGCCCGCCGCGAGTCACGGACAATAAATGTTCCATCTTCTTGGTCTTTTAACCTTTCACTGACAGTTTCCCTGAATTCAAAGAAATACAACGCAATTACCTTGTAGACCTCACTGAACAAATTGTTAACATCACTGAGGAAAATTGAAAATCTCACCTGTCTGTGTGTCCCCAGTACCAGGGACAGTCCTGAAGTTTTTCTTCTGAGCTGTGAGTAGGAGTTGTCAGCGACGATGGTCTGGGTGGTCTAGGTGGCACTGGAAACAAAAAATTACAAGATTGATGACATAAAGTAATATAATAATTTTTTGTCACTGATGACATGGACAACAAGGAGGATCCAAAACTGTTCATGATAATAATGACACAGCCCTAATAACCTTTAATTTTCCCATGTTTAACACTATCACTATCTCCAAAAAGTGGAAGGCCAGACAAGTGTGATAAAACACTAATAATTATTATAAATACCTTTTATTGACTTTGTACTGTACATAGATGAAAGGAAAGGAAGAGGCACTCTCCCCCTAGGGAGGAGGGGGAGGGGGTGCTAACTTTAAATCCTGATCAGTGGGACAGGTTTTGACTTGACAGGACCACTCATTTGAAGGGAGGGGTTCATTTCATGATTTGAAGTATCGCAAAGATTAAATGCCAATAATAATCATTTTCATGCACCTGGTGGTGTATTTTCCTTTGTCCATTCTCCATTGCTAATAAGGAAGTCAATAATGCTTACTGCTGTATCATGGTTTGCAACCATTGCCCTGTGTAACCAACATTTATATCATGAGAGCCATTCATTAAAAATTTATTGGAATTTTATGAAATGTCAAATAATAATCACTTTAAATCTACACAGAGAGTATATTTGTCATTTGTATGAAATTCCAGCATATTGAACCAATATACACATTTTGTTCATTTTTTTCAGTTTATCAACATCTACAAGAAACATTGCAGTATTATATTGGGTTGCAAATTTCAGCAATGGACTGATTTTTTACTATAAACTCTTAACCCTTTAACTCCCAAGATCTCATTTGTAATTCTCCTTAATGTCTACCATATAGTTCTTCTGATGTTAGTTTGGAGAATTTGGTATTGGATCAACTTATAATCCTCTAATTAAGATTTTTCTTTACTCTCATCACTTGTCTTCTTGATCTTGTATTGATATTGTAGGGAAAAATTCTCTCTTGATCACTCATGGGAGTTAAAGGATTAAAGTTGTTCACTTTTTGGATAAATTTTTTTCCACCAGCCAAGTACTCAAAAACAAACAAACTGCTTGTCAGGCTTAAATTGTGACCAAGTGGTTGTGTCTTCTCATAAAAAAAATTTCTTGCCAGACATTTAAAAACCCACAAGGTTAAAAAGATGTCATAACATTTCCGAGTGTTGGCTTTGGCACAATCATAATCAGTACAACTTACGTAATATGCTGTGGGTTTGGCCTCAACAAAATAGGAGCAAATAATGATGAAAGCTTTCTTGATGACATGTCATTCCACTCTACACTTTGGCTAACCCTAAAAGGACAGCCAATTAATTCATTTGTGTGACTAATTAAGTCTGCTGTGATAATTATCATTGTTATTATACTTTAGACTTTCTATGAAAAATCTGATTGGTAGAGAGAATTGACATGATAAATGCAATATTTTCAGCAGATATTGTATTTATCATATCAAGCTCTAAGTCCACCTAGTTTCCAAACTCCTGGTTTGTGTAGTGTTATCAAACTTTCACAAACCCAGAGAGGTGTCTTCTTTTGCAGATTGTTTAAAAAAATGTATAATGAAATTGTTGAATTCAGTTCTTGCACAATATGACAATACCATGCATCCAACAATTATTGCTTATTACATCTCATACATATCAACTAAAATTAAGTCTATCTACACACAAAATTAGCAGCTTCTCATTGGTCCCCAAACCTGGTAAATAAACCTAATTTTATGTACTTCACAGCCAACAAAAAATGTTTTGGGCGAAAGAAAAATTGCTAACTGAAGTCAAAAGTGTGGAACATTTAGAAGACACTGAGTCTCACATTGAATACCAACTACTTCCAAAAGGCCATTTACAGTTGTGTACTTAGTTGCCAAGCCTTTGATTTGGAGTGAGGCTGAAGTTGACCATGTTGTCATAGAGACCAGTATCTAGTTAGCATGATAAAAAGTCATTTACATTCGAAAAACAGCAAGGTTTGTATCATAACAAGGTCACCCCTTGCCTCACTCTTAGTCAAAGGCTTGGCAACTAAGCAGACAACTGTAAAATGGACTATTTTATAACTGGATCCCTCCAGATACCAAATGCATTAGAGACCTGATTGGGTTATCTATGGGTTAAAGGGAGTTAACATGAGGTTCAACCAGTAGTTATTTGCATGATCATGGGTAATAAAAGGGTAATGTGGTAGGTTAGTTGTTCATGCCTTCCACACTGATTTGAGATCTGGTCAGGTCATTGTATTGCATTTTTTGGGCAAGACACTTTAGTCTCATGGTGCCTCTCTCCAATCAGGAGAATAACTGGGAACCACCAAAGATACATCTGTGGCATTTAGAGTAAACTATGATGGACTAGCATGCCTTCTAGAGAGGGGTGGGGAAGAGATGATAAATGATAACTTGAAATATTCCTGGTTAGTTTATGCTACAGAAACTGCAAAAAGCATACGCAGAGTAGGGCAGTTGGCTCTTAAGCAGACTTAGTAAGTTCAGCAGCATTCTTACTTGTAAAGATGTCTCAATAAGTACATGAGAAGAGATTTGTTTTCTGGAGGAAGACTCTCAATTAGGTCCATGAAGAGTTTTCCAAGGGCATCTCGATTCTCATCTTAAAAGAAAAACAGACCAGAGAATATACCATGCAATTAAAAGTGTAGTGAACTCAACAAAAATTATCTTGCTGATCAAAATAGACAAGTGCAGATCTTGTCAAGGGGTTGCATATTGTTTTTTCTTCCATTAACTTTGGATTTAACCTCACACTGACAGAGCAAACTTCAGAAAATTCATGCTTGTAACCCAGGGCAGTAGCTAGCAAGATGAAACAATTGCCCCACCTGGTTTTGGCTGATTGACTTTTCTGAAGAAAAATGCCACGGGAAATGCTTAAAAGAGCCTTTTGAGCATCTAGATTTCAAATTTTTCTGGGGAGGCATGCCCCCAGCAGCTCATACCTTCAGAATTCAAAACTTGCCTCGTCTTGTTCTGAAGTCTGGCTACAACCCTGAGTAAACTCAATAATTTATTCTCTACTTCTAGGAACAGGTCTTTTAATCATATTTGGGATCTTGCTAAGGTCATAAGTAAAAGCTCTCTAAAATTGTTAGGTTGTAACTGTATGTTTCAGTTTTCTTAGTACTTCAAAAGTGACTACAAGTACATCCTTAGCAATTACTTACCTCTAAAAATTTTAATAAATGATAGATATTTCTCCTCAGTAAACACACACACTGGAAGCTCATTTAGATACATTTTCAAAACTGTAGCAACACAATGAGGATTCCTCCATTCTTCGTCATCCATGTTCACATCCTTGGCACCTGCAGCATGGTAATTTATGGGTGTGAGTTAAGCTTATTACAGTCAATTATCATAATTAATTTGTACCACAATGGCCACAAATTGAATGCCCTCTTTCTTAACATCACACAGAGCAGCACAAATAAATGTGAAATCAATAAAAACAATTTATCTTGACAAAAACATGCCAAAACAAACTCTAGCCATCCTATAAGATGTTCAATTAAGCCAGAGACCAAGACATGATTTCTCCTTTCAATAACAACACAATATTAAGTAGGCATGTGATGAGAATAAAGAAAAATATTAATTAGGGAATCATAAGTTAATCTACATTTATAACACCAAATTCTCAGAACTAAAATCATAAGAATTGTATGTCAGACAGAAAGGAGAATTACTAATGAAATCTTGGGAGTGAAAGGGATAAACCATGAACTTTTACACTGTAAGAAAGATTGAAAAAAATTAACATTTTATATGGTCTCACTTTGATTCAAAGCAGTCTTAAGAGCATTCTTTTCACTTCCTGACGGCACAATACTGTAGATTCCCATTTTCCTTATTCTGTCTCCTTTTTCAATGGCCTGAACACATTTCATGACAACAATTGGTGCTGGTCTATCAGTTGGTCGAAACTGTGCACCTAGCTCTGCTCCAAATACAGGAGCTGAAAAAGACAAAACAATTGAAAAATTAGCATCAGGAAACAGAACACAAACAGCAAACTAAAAATGAAATTTACAACAAGTTAAAAAATATGTAATATATTTCTAACTATTCTGTAACATACAGCAGGGGCGCTTTATTGATTTAACTATTTCAATATGATATCTACACTCTTCATCTATCAAAAAAGTGTAGGACCTCTTGGCTCAAACAATGAAAGATGATATAAGTAAGCCCAAACATGTCCTGCAAACTGAAAAATATTTTTTTTCCATACTTGAATGTCATACATTACTAGCTAATTAAGTAAAACTTCAGTTCCTCCTTGTAGATGCTAGAAGTAAAAAATTAGTGTAGATTATATTCCTTGTAACTCTCAAAAAGGAATGGACAAAATATAAATACAAATTACAAAATTTGTATGGAGTCTCTGTTAATCCTTTCACTCCCACAAGTGACCAAGACAGAGTTTCTCCTTACAATATCACTACAATATCAAGCAGGTAAGTGCTGAGAATAGAGAAGAATATCAGTTATGGGATTATTAGTTGATCCAATACCAAATTCTCTGAACTAACATCATACCAATTGCATAGAAGATAGTAAGGAGAATTACTAATTAGATCGTGGGAGTGAAAGGGTTAAAAGAGCCTCACATGTAAGTTGATAAACAAAAGTATCCATATCTTACCATCAGCATCATTTTCTCTTCGTATTCTAACCCTTCTCCTTGGACATACTACAACACTATCAAACATACACTTCTTGTGACATTGAAAGCCACACTCCGAGCACAAAACTCCTTGTTTGAACAATCCCCACAGACACTTGCCACACTTGTCACACCAATGCAGAGATGTGAAGTTCTGTTCTTTTGGGAGATGATTTCCCTTTGTACCTATCCATGAAATAACATTCTACCAAAATCAGCATCCATCTGATTGATAAATTACTATGACAGCAAATAACTAACATTCAAGCAATAGGACAGTAGGACAAATTATCATTCAACCAGGCAATACTGTTTAGTTACACCTAAGAACTGGCCAACAAAGAAATGTTTAACTTTACCTTCTGTTCAGATTTTTGAACCAAACATTAAAAAGAATGATTATCACAAGTATTTCCTAACATGTTTCAAGTCAAATCTCATTACTGACATCAAGACATCAAGACATTAAGACATCACAAAACATTAGAGCTGGGAATTTTGCATTACGCTCAGTGCTCTTGACATCTTTTACCCCAATCACTTGAAAAATTCAACTTTCCAATGTGTTAATTTCATTAATGAGACAAAAAATAAATGGACTGTTGCATCTGATTTACTGAAAGGGTGTTGCAAGTTTCCTCCAGCAATCAGAGAGCAAAGTACAGGAAAACTGAGGCAATCAAAGATTGCCATTCACATTCAACTGAAAGTTGCTCCATCTGAACATGAATGACATACTTAAGATAGGATTAAACTGACCTCTTTGGGCTGACTGAAAACCACTAAATACTTCTGATTTTTTCTGTGAAAAAAAAATTATTGTTAGTACTGACATGATAGAGTAGTCAAAATAACCATATTACTATATTACTTGATTGTAAAGAGATGATTATTTATCATTTATTTAATAATTAACTTTGTTATGCACCATGATATGCTGTTAAGTAGTATTCAACACCACAAAGATCACTCTCATATTCATTTATAATCCACAGTTCCAATCTATTGCCATTTTGAATTTGTACATTCATCCTTTCAGAAATGATTTCATTCCAAAGAAACCAAATTTAATAGCAGCAAGAAAGTTTGCCCCTCTTTGGCCTGAAAGAGATAAACAAGCATGCAAGAAGCTCAAATCACTTGTGATGTATATGTACTTAGTGCTATAAGTACATTGTAATATACAATTGCTCAGTTAACACTCACAGTCTCTGATTCTCCAGTGAACAATTCTTGGATAGCAAGCAGTATAGATTGCTTATGAAAGTTATCTGAGATATTCATCTGGTTGAGTGATGTGTCCGTCAAGTGCCGCAGTTTAGTTCCTGTTATTTCATTTTCTCTGAAAACCTCAGCATAGAGGAAATGATTGGTTGCAGCAAGCCACACCAAAACATCATTAACATCCCATTCATCTGGGTTCTAAAATAAGATAAAGGTGATTATGCTACAATATTATTACTCTTCCTTTCTTCTTTTCTTCTTTTTGTGTGAAAATCTTTCATAGAAACATTATTAATTCAAACCAGAGAATTGAAAAGAACTCAGTTGAGTCTCATTGCCAATTACATCAGAAATGAAAAAACAGCAGCTTAAGTGGCTTAAAATTAGTTAACTTTGCAATTTTCCAGAACATGTTTCAAAATAGACAAAATATTTAATATAAAAATATTTAAATGTAAAAAAATGTCTTTCTTACAGAAAGTTTTGATTACTTTGCAAAGAAGAATAGATGATTATGCCATATTGAGTTCTATATTGAAATTAACCAGTAATCTGCTTTGAAACTGAGTTGTGTTCATTGACAGAGAATGTAACAGCTTAGTATTTCCCCAACTTGATAGGATTTTTAGGCCATACTGAGTGTGACCAACTAGTTGTAACTGATTTGCAAACTTTTGTTAGAGAAATCATTGCAATATCTAAACATGTAAGATAAAGCTCAGCAAAAAGTAGCATTAAAACTTTTACATAGAATGTACTTACAGCAACAAATCTGATATAATCTTCTTCTGCTTCTTCTGAGTCTTTTTTGAGAATCTTACAAGGAAACTTAGATAATTCCACTGCACATTGGGGATGCCAAGCTAAATCACATACTACAAACAATACAACATTGGAACATTACTAGTAACATTAAGTTTTGAATTGCAATATCAATATTAACATTTCTTAAGCTACTCAATTATATTCCAATACTGCTAAGTACCCATTGAGAGAAGAAGAGGGAGAATAAGAGAGAGATAAACTTAGTATTAGTAAAGAGATAGTATGTTTAAATTAACACTTTTAAGTTAAGTATTTTTAATTGCATTGTAAACAGATGGAATTTGCTTTCATATTCAGTTTGATCAGTATCTAGTATTTCAAATTCTGAGTGTAGCTTCTCAAGGAACTTCTTCAAATATCAACCAAATTGGTCCAATTATAAAAAATTCATAGTTACATAGTTGACCATTTTTCATACTAGGTATTGAAACTTTCTTTTTTTAACAACTGATCAAGTTATTCCTAACAGTATGTTACGCTTTAGGCTCAGTTAAGTGGTTGTTCTGCATATTGGTTCTTCAACTCCTTTTCATTTCTCTTTTCTTAATTAGGTTATGGTATTTTACTTAGTCAAGTGCACATAATTGTAACAAACAAATCGTAAGAAATAAATACTCAAATATTTCATTTGGATTTTAATAACTATTACATACTTGCACATCTGTATAATTGACTTCCAGCTCCCCAAATGAAGTCTTCACCTGAAAATTAAAATGCAATAACAAAAATTAATTTGGAAATGGTCAATAGTAAAGAATGAATAAACTAGTTTCCCAAAGCTGGGGCTTGTTGAATTAAATTACAATTTACTTCCGTTTTTTCCTGGTCAATTTAATCAAATAAGGGTTGAAGTACCATGCAAAAAGCTCCTTGTCTTTATATACAAACCCTAAATTTTACATACATGTGTACATTAGAAAACATTTCGAGTTGAATGACAATTACATTTGACAAAATCAAGACCATTGTTGCTAAAAGTACACTTAATGTTGTTGTTTACAAATTAACTATTCACAAACCATATTTGCACTAAGCTATCGTTTAACAAAAGAGATTAACAACCTTGTTCCGAAAAAATCCCCTTGGAATTTATTCCACTGGAAAATTGATATTTTCATTGTGGATTTGACTCTTAACATGTATGCTACTCACATTGACAACACCACACAGGTTTCAAAGCAGACGTCTCAGTCAGTGAATGGTCACCAGTTTGATCTGTAAGGTACAGCAATGGTTTTTCAACTTTTTTTTTTTTTGGTTACTTATGAAAAAACCATGCTCATGAGAAACAAGAGGCCAGAAAGGCTTAGAAATTTAGATGCAATGCAACAGAGTGGCTCAGAGCTGCATTTCAAACCGGTGATAAGTTGACTTCTAGTGCCTGGTCCTTACAAAGAGTTTCTGGGAACTACCAGCTTCAGGTATTTATATATTTTGGAGCATGCATAGTTTCTGCTCAAAACAAGGAAATCGGCAAATGAATTATGATACATAAACAAACATTTATTGTAAGTTTTATGAAATATTAATGTAAATTATCTACTATCATTTTGTATTAAAAACCGATAAGTTCACCCCTAATTGATGCAACGTCATTATATATAGGGAAAGCCGAAATAATAGTAAAATAAATTAATACATCTCCTCGATATCCGCGAAAAAGATCACTTTGTAAGGAAGCTTTGATTTGCAATGATGCCTAACAGTTATGGTCCAGCTAAGATGCAATTCAGAGCTGAAAAAAAGCACCAATTTCTTATCGAGTGGGGTTACAAACACCACTATGATTTAAGCTACTATAATGAAAACGAAATAGTCAAACACTGTTGAAATAAATACACAAACAAGTTCCTGACTAACCGTTTGAATCAGTGCGTGTACTGTTATTTCCTCCCGCGTTCCGTCGTGCAGGTCGCGGTGGTCTTGGAGGTGGTGTTGGAGGCTTCTCCTCCTGAGGAAGTTCTTCAACGTCGCCGATATATTCCACATACGTAGCAGGGAACTCACCAACTTCTTTAGTGCGTGTGTTTTCGCCAGTAAGCCAGCCAGTTGGGTCGGACACAGGCTTTGCGACTACCATAATATCACCCTCTCTGATGGCTATGTCTCGCTCATCGCGAGGCTGATAAGAATAAATTACTCGAAACTGGGCCCAACCTGAATCCATGATCAGAAGTCTTAAAAATACAGACAACTCTTCGATTTCACCCCATTATTTCAGCAGGAAGGAACTCTAAGACCATACTTCAGATCGCTAACCTTCGTTAGGAGAGCAGTTCACTACTCCGTGACGTCACGGTCGTTGACAGCCTCAGCTCTCGATCAAGTGAGCCAGTGGATAGTTTGAAAAAGTGTACGCGCACGCGTCCAAAGTTGATACTGGAAGTTTCCGCTAACTTTATTTTATTCAGAGGTTCGTGAAGATGCCTTTTGGTCTTTCTACAGAAGACAAAGTAACAAAAGCTACTGAAGAGTATGGTCAACAACTACGCGATCTCTACAAGCATGAGTGTTATGGTTCCAAAAAGAAAGAGTGTAAGTTGGTTGGTTAGCACCAATAGTGGGTTACATAATGTGTAGATTCGATCATCGACTTCTTGGCAAGGTTGAAACTGTCCTCGGGTTAACGAAGATAATTGTGGGACTATGGAACTGCGGGAGATGCAATAAAAATCGCATATAGACAGGTGTTGCACAATCTAGCCAGTTACTGTTGTAAAATTGCGTGAAAAAAAAAAGATATGTGGATGTAGGAAAGAATAATTGAAGGAAACAAATACTGAAATGAGTGTTTTACTATGATTGTTACTTAGCAATTTATTACGAGACAGGTAGAGGGAGAGATTTTTTTTTCGCAGTAAGTCTTGCTATCAAGGCAATGGTCCTTTCATGTGACAAATTTAGAAGCCTTGATTGTGCTCTGTTCAGTTATAAAGTGCACAGGAAGCAGCTAGAGCACGGAAGAAGTGTGAGGAGATACACGAGATGAAGTTGAGTGCTCTAGCAGCTTCCTGCGTGCTTTACAGTAGAACCGAGTACAGTCAAGGCTTCTCTACTGGGCTTTTTAAGAAAGAATCTGTAAAATTCCCCTTGCATATATTACTTTCAATTTTCAAAACAAACTTTATTTCCAAAGCAAACAACTGTGTCATCAGCATGCACAATACTCTCTTAAAGTATGTTACAACAAGCCAATCAGAAAATGTTTCAAATAATCTGATTGGTTGAACAAGACTGAAGCTGTCAAAAATGTCAAACCATCAAAGTCCACAATCTGCAGTAGTTCACAAACTGTAATAATTCAGCAAGTTGAAATAAACACATCCTGCAAATTAGTTAGTGTTTTTACAGAATCTGAAAGTAAGTGGAAAGTTGTGGCTTGTAAAAACACATAAGCTTTTTCACATGATAAATAAACTGCCAAGGGGTGTGTTTTGTGAATAAACAACAGCCAAATTCACAGGAAGAGGAAAATTGCTCTGGATGACAGTGCTATAGAACTTGGCTGCTGTGACCAATGTGGCCTTCCACTCAATGATTTGGAAAGAATATCAGAGCAAGCTCTTAGTTGTTCACTTGAAGGGCAGCCAGTGTAATTTCTGAGGCTTTCTCAGCTGCGATGATTGCTATGAGGAGCTAGATGCAATGGACCTCAGCATGACTGCAGTCACACTGACACCATCATGATTTGATGAATCTTAACAGTTATGTTAGTTTGGCTATATTTTTCATCATTCCTGCTTTGTTCTGTTTAACATTTGAACAGAAAACTTTTATACTATGTGAGTGTTATCTCTGTTTGATTTTTATTAGCGTACATAAGCTTGTAATCTAACTGAGTGTGAAACTTTAAAATGCAGACTGTCCATTTTGTCTTCTCTTGAAGGATTTTTATCTCTATTCAAATTACAGTAACATCAATTACAGCACTTGGAATGTTTACAAACCTTTTTTTGTTCATCTATTCACTTTGTTGCAAAATTTGACTTTCAATTAATGAAAGAAAGCTAAAGAGAAGTCCAGGAAATGGTTGGACATAAGTAGTACAAATTGGCAGATGGTGTGACAGCTTTAGGTCAGCTCCATATTTTGTACTCTGATAGCACACACTCTTTCAACTAATGGTAGCATGCATTTATACAAACCTAACTATAATTATTGCTCTCTCAAATTCTATAGATACCTATTTTGTATTAAAGGTTTTTTATGACCTACGGAAGTCCAGTGCCCCCCACCCCCTCACCTCCCCTCCTCAAAAAGAAAAAGGAATCACCATAGGTTCCTTCCTTTTTTTTTCTTGCTTCAACAACTGTCAATTGGCTCACTGTATTATATGATAACCTCAACTAGTTTGATTTACAATCTTTTTGTCTCTCTGTGTGGGCACCTGTCAATGTGATATCACACATAATGTGTTTGTTTTTTTCAAGGTCTTTTCTTTTCTATTCATTGTAGCTTGCCACATACTTGCTGAGTTTTATGCTTCAATTGAAATGGATATTGATAAAGCAAAGGAACTCTATGAACACACTTGTAAAGAGCTTGATTTTAATGAAAGTTGCTTGGCCTTAGGAAATCTTTATTTGACCAACAAAAGTAAGTGGTTCAATTTTTCTTGAGGTTTACATTTAGATAACTTTGTCAGTAATTGTGTTTTGAAAAATTGCAATATTTGTTCAGTTTTAAGAGGCACTCGCTTAAAGAACACATCATTCACTTTATTGTGGCAAGTAAAAAAATGAAAATTTCAGTACAATTCTTGGGTATAAGATGCAACCTAAACAAAGGGTAAATATTTCTGTCAAGGTTTCTTTCCAATATACTTTTATTTTCAGACTCACTAATTATGGCCTCTTGATACATGTTAACAAAAGAAAAAATTTAGCACCCTTAGTCATAAAAGAAAAAAGTCACCTCTCAACAATATACAACTCAGACCTTGAAGGAAACAAACTTAAAGATCAGTGTGCACGTGTATAAACATCATTCACACCTTCATTGAATTTATATCTTTTTCTTTGCTTGAAAACATTCAACTGCTAGTTGCACCCTGAGGTTATAACATGTTGAGGATGAAAAAGTAAATTTTTTATGAAAAATCTTTTTCCTTATAGCCAAACAAATACAATACCTCCTTTCAGTAGTACTTACACTTCACATTACCTTCTTTATGAATCAGTACCCTCCACCATGTCATCACACCTTCTGATGTCACAGAACTCACCTTTAACAATTCTGATGAAGGAAACATTAACTTCTTCAATGGCAAATTGAAATTAAAGGAAATGTATTGTGTGTGTTAAATTTTATTCATTGAATTTTTTCCTTTTTTTTTCTTTTTTTTGTTTTCTTTTTTGTTACAAGAATTCAAAGATCCTGAAAAAGCAATGAGCTTGTTTCAAGAAAGTTGTGCGAAGAAGTCTCCAGGAGCTTGCAATAATGCTGGACTCATGTATCAAAAAGGAGTCAAAGGATCCACCATAGAAAAGGATTTGCCAAAGGCAATAGAACTCTTTACCAAAGCCTGTGACTATGGACATAGGAATGGTTGCTTCAATTTAAGTGCAATCTATCTCACTGGAAAAGATGGCATCCCAAAAGACATGAAAAAAGCTTTTGAACTATCCTTAAAAAGCTGTGAGATGTCACACCCATGGGGATGTGTCAACGTCAGTCGAATGTATACTTTGGGTGATGGGGTGGAGAAGAATCCACAAGAAGCAGAGAAATTTAAGAGACTTGCAAAGTTGTACTCTGGTCAAGACAGCACACCAGTTTCTTGAGACAAATTTTATTGCCAATGTAACTGCAGCAAACTTGTAATTTCTCCTCTACATCAATGCATTATCACAAGACTAAAACATCTGGGAGGACATTTTAAAAATGAATAAAAAGATGAATTATTAGAGGCTGGTTGTAAGAAAGTTGACCTGAATTACTTGCTAATGAAATGTTCAGTTACATGTAGAGTATTTCATCCAACCTTGCAAGTGACCACTACATTGTAGCAGCTAGAAGTCTTTTCAAACGTAATTACTAAATTAAGTGTTGCTACTGACAGTAAAGTGTCAATATCTCCAACCACAGTTATCTCATGCCTATCATTCATATCTTATACTAACCAATTTAAGGTCAGTACTGCAATTTACAAGAAACGTTTTTGTCCATGTGGATAACTCAGGCATGAAGTGCACAGGCTATAAATCCAGGCAGAAAAACAAGGTTCCATAACTAACAGCATGGATCAAGAAAATGAGGTTTACTCAGTAAGGAATTTATTTTACCTCTAGGTTAAAATCAAAAACTAAATTGCTAAATTGACCAATAGTTGCACTCACACTAAGAGGTAAAATAATTTGTTTTTGCATCTAACAAATGTACTCCAGTGGTGTGACTTTTTCCTTTGATATCTCCCTCCACAAATATGTTAAAACTCCCGATGAACCCCCCTCCAAAAAAAAAACAATTTCTTAAAGTAAATTTGACCCCTCAAGTGATATTTCACTTAAATTACAAAATAGTCACAACACAATAACATACCACTAAGTACTGATTCCATTGTCTTCTTGTGCTTAGTTTTGAATTTTCACTGTTAATAGGAATTGTTGATTTAACTAGTAAAAAAAATCATTCTCAACTAATGCATCACACCAACAGTGACAAGAGCAAAACATGGATTATTCAGTATGGAGGATCTGATGGTCTGACAATAATGGTTGCATCAATTTCAAAATTGCAGCAGCATTACAGACCATCACTTCTCTATTAAATATTTCTTGCATATTAGAGCTGGTTTTTTTCGGTTACATTAGTGGACCAAAGACCCATTTCTTGAAAATATTAGCTGAGGTTATATCTTAAAATCCAAATTTAAAGCATAGAGAAGCAGGTTCTGGCACCCTAAGCAGTCAAATTTTCAAAACTTTTAGAAACCCCATCTTGATTGAAAACAAAAAAGCTTAATATGAGCTGTCAGGCTAGCAGTACCTTGGTAAAACAAGCCCAGTACTGCATGAAGAATAATTTATTCTTACAGAATTATCATGATAGAATTTATTATCATTATTTTTTAGCCCCTGTAGTCTTTTTTTCCTTGAAGGGACTCACTGACCATTCCAAATTTAAAAATGTTATTTACAACAACACTGTAAAGCTAATGATTCTCTATGAATAAAGTTCAAGAGTTAGTATTCTTTTATAAGAAAACATTTTAATGTTAATGGTAGAGGAAGTTCCTGTATAAGGTCCCAATGACAAGCAAATTGTTTCCTCAGTGTAACTTTACATATCTGAATTAGCGGCTGTGGCATTTCTGCAACAAGGAGGCACAATATTATTCATTAGCAACTTTCTATAAATTCCCAGTCAAGAATAATTCTGCAGACTGAACAGACTTTCACAGGAAAGCTTGTTTGCTAATAAGCCAAAATGTCAAAAAAAGAAAATCATGATGAATTGTGATACATAAATAGTTTGACTTCACAATGATTGAAAATTCATCTGACTGTACTACTCTAAGAAGGGTAACAGGCAAAGGGTATGTACACATAGATTGTTAAGATAACATAGATTTTTGTGCTTTTCCCTGGAGGGCTTTTCAGAGTCATGTCAAGGATGACATCAGTGGCATTTTGATCAGTATTTCAATGTCTTTCAATTGAGCAATAAACGAAGACTTGTAGAAAAAAGAAGTTTGTAGGACTAAATCTTTGCAAAAAAGCAACACATGCTGCCAATGAAAATTACACCTGCATCAGTTAAAAAGTTAAAATTGCCCAACATTTCTTACCCAGAGCTATTTCCAACAATTCTAAACAGTAACTTTGCCCAGATAGCCTTGCTATATCAAGAGGCATGTCATCATCCCGTCCAAGAAGAGTTGGTGATGCTCCATACTGAAGGAGAATACTTGTTAACTGGACAGCAATGTCGTGGGCATGATTGGCTCGCAGTGTTAAGTGAAGAGGTGTGTCTCTAACTAAGTCAGTAGCATTGACCTTACTGCCTATATCCAAAAGCATTACAGCAACTTTCACTTTACCTAGAAGTGCAAAGAGTGTTTTTTATGCCTCCCTGGACTTTTAAAAAATGCCGCCAGAAATGTTGCTATGGAATGTCTAAATCACAACCTGGTATAGCATAATATTTCAAAAGAAAATATCAATGTACATATCATGTGTATATCAATAAAAACCCACAGATAAGCCACACCTTTTTTACAAAAATCGTTGCTCGAAATTGGGAGTGCAGCTTATCTGCGGGAACGTTTTCCATTTTCACGTCCGATCTAATGCCTGGTTACTAAGTTTCGAATGTTCCACTTACGGTCTTGTTGTAATGCAAAAACCTATGGAAAAACCGTGTTGAACTACGAAATTCCTATCAACAAATACCAGAAAAAGATCAATCATATGTCAAAGTTGGTAGTAACGATGTTCATTATCTTAAAGAGCTAAAATTGTGGGTAAGAATTTGAAGTATTTTCCGTTGCAATGTAAATGGTGAGTTTACATTCGATGAACAGTGGATGAAGGAGACTTCACAAGACTTGACTTTGGATTTCTTTTGATTTCTTTCAAAAAACTTTTTTTCCAAAATTTGAGCTGCTAAATTCAGGGTGCAGCTTATCTGCGGGTACGGCTTACCTGTGGGTGCGGCTTATCTGCGGGTTTTTATGGTATGTTGAATTTGTAGTAAAGCACCCTTATCTACTGCTATTTTTGGAGGAATTGCAACTTAACCCCACACACCCTAACATCATTATGCATATTCTCCATACTGTTCTCTGATATATATATATATACATATATATATATATATATATTGATCTCTATATATAAGAGAATTTGTAAAACCATGTAGAGTTTTTGTAGTTGGTGATCATTTCCTTTATTCACTTGATCTTAATGTTTGATTCTGGGATGATATGGTAAAGTCAGGGAAATTAGCCCCAAGTCACTCTTGGGGGTTAAAGGTCAGGTTAAGAGAAATTGCTACCTGATAGTAACAAAACTGGTAGAATCACATTATGGCAATGACAGGACACTTAAAGGGTTAGTTTAGGAAAAATATTTACTATCTTTATCCAAAGTTTTGCATCATTAATATTATGGTAAATTCAAAATCTTAATTGAATAAATAAGTAAAGAAACTTATAAACAGTTCAGTTATTAGATTGTTATATGTATTATGCACTTTCTTATTTTTTGTTAAAAGGGATAATTCCTTTAGGCAGGTAGTTTCTTTTAATTAGTAGCTGCTAGTTAAAGTCAACTCTTTCAAGGAAGTCACATCTTCAGGAGGAACTGTTTAATTTCATGTTACCTCTTTAGTTGGTATTTACTCACAACACCTTTCAGTTAAGTTAAAGCATCACTGATCACTGAATTCAGCCAAGTTTGCATGGCATGTTAATGATTTTTGAATAAAGAAAGACTGTTAGATGTATACCTTGCATACAAGCTTCATGAAGGGGACTCCTTCTTTGATTACTCTTGGCATGTGGGTCTGCACCCCGGATGAGAAGCTCACATAATACAGCATCATAACCTCTATATGCAGCCTCATGTAGAGGGGTATGCTTGCCAGCATTGACACTGTTCACATCAGCACCAGCCTGTATTAGTAACTTGACACAATCTAAGTGTCCCTGACGAACAGCAATATGAAGAGGTGACCAAGGTGCTCCACCAGAATCTACTTTCAAGCACAAAACAAATATAGCTCAAGTACAACAACAGGGTTGTAATTTGGAAATGTTAGCAACAGATATAGGATCTGAACTGAGAAGCCAGCTGAACTGAATTATACTCACGTAGCAAGAATGGCATGTTACAAACCAACAGGCCTTTGTAGGGGTTTGGGGAATAGGAAATTTGACTCTCTCTGAGACATAATTTCAAGTATTCTGGAACATATTAGACTAAGTATTTTTTTTTGTCAGACATTGATGTCGAGTCAGTTCAAAAATAATCCTTTTCCCTCTTTGATCAGAATTCACAAAGTAACCAGTGCAAATGTTCTGACAGCTGATAGGTTTCTAACCCTGAACAGGTTGCATGAAATTTGTAGTTAGATATATTCCTTTTGACCTTTCTCTTCATTTAATATGTTCTGGCCAGAAAATCTGTAATATTACCTGCTAGAACCTCATAAAACAACAGGTGAATAAAATGAGTCTTTATCTTATCTCATTATACTTCCCAAGAGGTCTATCAGTAAGCCCCCACTACCCACACTACACTCAGTTACCACTGATTGATTATGGTGATCGAAGCTTTATAGTGACCCTGTTTTTGAACAATCACTTACAGTGAGTGGGATTATTAACTGGTGCACCAGCCTCTATTAATACTTGTACCAGTTCTGCAAAACCAGCTTTACAGGCCTCATGAAGTGCATGCCAGTTGCCTTGAGAGGTCACAGACGCCCCAGCTTGAAGTAAAACTTTAACAATATCAACATATCTGCCAGTCACTGCCCACATAAGTGGTGATCGTCCAAATTTGTCCACATCATCTAAAGATGAACCAGCTTGTAAAAGAATCTTCACGATGTCAAGATGACCAGTTGAAGCAGCTACATGAATGGGGAGCTTCCTCCGATGCTCTGTTTATTAAAAAACATTTTATAAATTAGCTATGATTAAAGCAGTTTTTAATTAATAAATTCCACAAAAAGATAAATATCTACAGCTGTAAATCAGGAAAACTTGGCAAAGACTGCCCTAACAAGTTTTGTGTGATGAAAAAGAGGACAAGTAGTACAAAGTGGCTGCTTTCAAATAATTCATGGCACAATGCTCACTGCTCATTCTAGCTTGTTAGTATTAACATAACTACTTGGCTTTATATGAACTGAATCATAGCAAGTAAAATTAGAAGAAGCAATACATGATTTCAAGTGCAATTTGGTGTAAATATACGAGAAAATATTTCAAAGACAACAAAATTGCACAAGCCCATACTTGGCCAGTAAAAAAAGCGTCACAGAGAGTAAAAACAGACAAAATATTAATAGTGCACCCACTATTTGTAATTTGCACTTGTGTTACAACTTTGCACTGGTGTTATAACTTTACACTCGTGTTACATGAAAAATATCATTTTCAGCCAATTAGAAGACTGCATACTTTTTTCAATTTATCAATTTAAAAAAGTGCCCAAGAGAAACAAAAACTAGCTCAAGTCATTTAATTAGGCTTTTTTACAAGCAACATTCACAAACTAAAGAAATCAATTGGAGGAGAGGGGAGTTATAAAACAAACAAAAAAAACAGAAAAGCATCTGAATGTTACTAGTTAAGGCTCCAAGCTGATTACAGGTAACCCCTTGAATTAACTACAAGAAACAAAATCATACAGGAACCCTTTTAACCATTGCCTTATGGAGCACCATTCCACAACAAAAACTTAAGGTTACCTTTAACATTGACATCTGCTCCTGCATCAAGTAAGAATGTGACACATGCCATGTATCCACCCCTGGCAGCATGATGTAGAGCAGTCCCTCCTTGACTCCCTGTCACATTGGGATTTAGGTTCTTGGCATCAAAAATAGTCTTTGCCTGATAGAGCATTTGATAAAGATACAAATAACAATCTCAAAAGGATACAAATAGTACAGGTATCACTCTTACAGATATCCTAAAAATAATACACTCAGCACTAGTTGCCTATATAATCACAAGTACACATACATCTCAGAGGTCACTTCAACAAGTCACAAATATTCAATTCCTTTATTTCACTGAGTGTTAGGACTTAAGACCTCAGCCCCAAAAACAATAAATCCTGACTTGTGAAATATGTATTTGGTTTGCAAAGTCACGACTCCTTGGTTTAGTATAACTAAGTTTTGTATCAGTGGTGTGAAGTCAAAAATTGGCAAGATTCTTCTCAAATTTTACTTATTGGTTACTTCTCTCTTCTAACTTTTATTTTGGAGTTAAAAAAGACACACCATTAAAAATGTTCTTGTGGTTGCTATAAATCCAACTCTAAGTCAAAATCTAGATCTGTTTTCAGACCGAAACAGCTAAAAAGCTCCATCTGTGGGTTGCACTGTCCAAACCAACTCAAATAGGGGGAATACCCTCTCCCCTTCTAAAGGACAGGAGTAACGGTTTTGATGCGGGTCACACCATGTGATATGAGTCAAAATTAAAATCACACCTAAAGGCGTACCACGTATTTGTCTACCTAATATGAGTCATCTCGTAACACACCTCACTTTGAATATTTGTATTACTGTTGGTGCTAACCGAACAAGCTCTGGAAAGCTTTTAGGTGGCTAACTGTAAGCACGCTGAATTAAAGACACGATTCCCTGTTGCAGCATAACACCGAAAATATGATGCATTCTGATCCATGTGAGCTTATTGTCGACTTACTATCTGTTAGTACTGTTTCAAAATAAACAATGGACATAATGTTACACCCAGTGTTGAGATTCTTACTTCGTCCAAATTTCCCTCACGTATTGCTGCCAGAAATTCTAGAACTCCATTTTCTCGTGGATTTGCTAGCATAACATTAAGAGGTCGAGGGGGAGGAGGAGGCCTCATCAAATCGTCACCTTCTCCATCCATAATTTTCGAATTGAACTTCGTTCAAAGTTTCCGTTCGAAAGAAAAGAGTTTTATAATTCGTTTTAGATGTTATCCACCATTGCTTCAAATCGGTAATGTCATGCCCATATTAGGAAACATTTTTTTTATCCCGCTAGAATCTGTATTGCTTTGTCATTCACACCTCTGTTGGCTTTCCACTTAGAAAAATTCCTCTACTTTGTAAACAATTGTAGTAAAACTAAATTGCTGGATGACTTCACCCACAGACAAAGAGAACTACAAGGGAAATTATCCTTATTAGGAACAAGATTAAAGGTGTCTCAGTTTACTGCTGCATACATACAGAAATTGATGACAGCCTTTGTCATCCGCAGGCCAACATGTGGCTCATACTACCTAACTAAAGGCTTCCTTTGTGTAAGGCATATCTTAGAGGTCATTATTTGCCCCTTAGGCTTGAGAAATTGGGACTTACCCGAAAACTTTAGAAGGGTTAAAATAAAAGTCTTCCATTCCTTCTTCTTACTTTTTCTACCCTTTATTTTTTACTTTTCTCTAATCTCACTTCATTTCTACCAACGCGGTTCAATGAGTACCATGTTGAAGAAATTTGACCTTGATGTGATCTTTCAAACAACATACTACGATACTCGCTCAAAACTGATCTTGGAAATCTTTTGCTGACGTCATAACCGATCCAACTGGTGGTTGCTGGTGACAAAAAAAGTTTCTTATTTCCGGCTTCCAAGATTCAGCCTTGCGTTGAAACGTGGAAAATTATTTTCCCCTTTTAATTCGCCACAGACTTCCTTTGCGATATTTTTAAATTATTAGCACGTGTCTTTAAAACATCGCAAGAGAAGAAAGACATTTTGAAAGGGAAAGCAATGAAAATATTCGGTTTACAGCTGATCATGAGATGACAAGGACTGTAAAGCCGGTTCAATTCGGAAATTTTTTCCTCAGTAGTCCGTAAACAATATTTAAGTGTGGTTAAACGGCTATAAGCTATGGATTCAGGAATCGAAACAAACGATAGTATGAATGACAACGATAAAGTGTTAAAGGTAAGATTGCTTCACAAATGATGTATTATTTGAAAGTGTTCAGCCAGGGTAAGAAAAGGGCCAAAGCCTCGTTTAAACTGACATTATAATCCTTATTAATCTCTTCTTTTCTCCGTCGCCGTCTCAAGATATAATATGCGCGCTGTCCATTTTCCTCCCGACGATGTTGTACAGGTTTTAAGAAATAAATATATCCTGAGCCTAATGGTCGGGGACCTGTTCTATCTTACTTAATCTGGGCGTGTTAACAGATGAGTTTAGACTAATTGTATGGAAATTTGATTTTATACATTTACAAGAATTACGGAAATTAATACTTGGTACTAGCTAATCCTGGATAGCATTCTAGCAGTGCAAAAGCACTTTTGTAATTATTTATATACTAATTATACCGATAGCAATCTAGGAAGCGAGGGCCCGATGCAAAATGGACACACAAATTGCCAGTCTTCCTACGATTCGTGGTATTTACATAACAATGTTCTCCACTTGTTTGATAAATTAAATGCTGTTCGCTGAACAAGCCTTTAAACATATATACCTGTAGATAGTACTTTAGAATTCAGCTAGATATCACAGATGTTTACTCAATTTCATGCAAAAAAAGCATATATTTGTTGCAAGTTCCAATTGCATTGGAGGCTCACGGTGACATGTCGAAAATTTCCGAATTTGGTCAGTTTTTTTTTCTGAATGTCTACATTTAATTTCCCTCGCTGGCAATTCGGGTTAGGTTTAACTCTTAACCTGCGAGTTTACACTTCGTTTCCGTGTAAAAGTCAAGTTAAGCTTAGATTACCGTGAAGCATATTTTCACCTAAAATATTAACCGCCAAATGAGCAATTCGAACTAATTTAACAAACTCGTAGCTAATCTGAATGCAAATCCTTTTTTCTCCCCTACCAAAATTTATTAAAAACTTTGTATACAATGTAGGATTATTAGACAAATGCGTCCAGTAGGCATCTGATCGCGTAACCACCGTTTTTAACTATGGGTGTTAGCTGGTTTCTTGCGCGCGCTCAAAATTTCAAGCGCGCAAAACATGTGCGCTCACATCACACAATGACGGTTATACGTGCAATCTTTACGAGCCAATCACATTGCTGTATTAGCAGGTATCTTAGCAGTCCGTTGTGAAAATAAACAGCTTTATCCTCAAGAGAGCGCACAACTTATACGAATTCCCGCAGTGAAGATTTGATATATGTAATTGCTTTAAAATGTCAACGTTAGCAAAAAATTATGTCCAGCAGCCTGCAGTTTATAGAGGAGCTGTGGATCGATCATCGGTGAAGAAATCAAGAACAGCTAAAGACATCCCATTACCGGAAGTACCAAAAGTCATTGACAACGGAAATGGGAAACGCTACTTTCGCGGAAGATTGCTCGGCAAGGTAATCTATGTTTAAATGAAAATTATCTTGCTATCTTGCTTATAATAAAGCCAGATTTGCCTTGATTTCAACAAGACAAGAAAAGATTGGTACAGGCCTTCGGTATATTGACACAACACCTTAATTGACGATACTCTTCAACATAGCTCAGTCTTTATCTGTAAATTTTAGAATTTTAATGTAAAACTCTGCCTGATTTGCACACAAACTAAGCTGACCTAAATAGAAGCTTTGACATTCCTCGAATGAACACTTAAACCGTCTAGTAGTAGAATCGATGTTTCAATTACTTTTATTTGAAATTCGCAATCTGCAACTGTAACTTATCTCTCCGTCCATTTGTGTTCCATGTTTTTTGGCAGTTTTATTCAATACCATAAATTGTGACTGTCAATAAAGCTATTTTCTCATGTCTGTTTTTGAAAGGTGTTTTTTTTTTTCTATGAAGTACAGAATAACCAAATTTCAATAAATGATCACATCTGATGATATCTTAGTGGAAAAATTGTTACTCAGAATCTTTTCAACTTTATATCTTTGAATTCATCAGGCTTTCGTTACTCAACTTTAAAACAGGTTTGTATCAACATAAAACTGAACCTCATGGCGTTATATTCTTTTAAACACTCAGGGTGGATTCGCTCGTGTTTATGAAGTCACTGATATGTCAACAAACAAGGTGTATGCCCTAAAAGCCGTGCCAAAGGCTAAACTTACAAGGTCCGCTGACAAATATAACAAAGTGAGTGAACGCGTCCATTAATAACTAGTTGAAGTATTTGGACCACAATTTTATTTTTATCAAACCCTCTGTCCGTAGAGAAAGTTGTTGTGAAGAAGAGGAAGACACATGCTCCTTCTTTACTAACAAATGAACATTTATCGCAAGGCACAATGAATTGCAACACCTGGTGAATTGATGATTTTGTTCTTTTGATCACCAATTCTTGATGGAAAGTAGTCGCCACCCGTTTTTGTTTTTTACATAAAATTGGAAAGAAATTTTCCTAACCATTCCTCAACAAGATACGATCATTTCTCAAACAATCAGGTTACCATAGGAACATAACAATTAACTGAAAACACCCTTAATTTTTTACTTGAGGTAGAACTTTGGGTGACTCATCTCGTAAGATTTAAACTTGCACTGAAATTACAACAAAGTCAAGCGCATGTGATTGTTTTAACCTAGTTTCTAAAAAAGAAGTTAGAGGGAGAATTTTCTAAAATCGAAATATGTTTTTCAGATAGAAACGGAAATTGAACTTCACAAGAGTCTCAGGCAGAGACACGTTGTTGGCTTTCATGGACATTTTGAAGGTGATCAACATGTGTACATACTGCTGGAGCTTTGTAGCCGAAAGGTGATTGTAAATTATTCTCGATAATAGTAAAAAACTTTTGCCAGCATGAGATCCCTGAGTTTGGGTGCGATAACATATTATGCCTATTAGTTGATCATGGGCGTGACTCTTTTACGTGGTTGGCCCTGAGCGAGGAATGCATTTTAATAAAGAGAGGGTGAATTGAAATGATCCTCTCTTGTTTGTATTTATTTGGCGCAAGGTTCACACATGACATCGGGTGGAAATTGAGAAGAATACACATATTTTTCCTGAGCAATTAATTTATTACCAGTTGTCGCTTGATAAAGATAGGTAAGCCACCCGCGCAAAAAGCTGACGAATCTATCGCAAACCCTCAATTAGAGTGAATTGAGAACTCCTTTTATGGAATCCTAGTTTATTATCATATGAAACGTTTCCTTGCCTGCTGATGCAGCATAACAGCTTCTCCATAAATTAATATCTTTCCTGTGAAAATATTGCCGAGAGTACCTCAATCCCACGATGAGCCTTGAACAGGTGTACATATTCCTCCGAGTGACGCGGTGTTCTGTTTGTTAGCACCTCTTTCAATATATTCAAATTACGATTTTTTTTGCTTTATTATCTTCAGCCAATCAGCCTGACAGCATTGCGTTGAATAATATTCTAACATTTACGGCTCTTTACTTATTTTATTGTATTGTTTTTGTAGTCTTTGGTGCAGACACTCAAAAACCGTGGAAAATTAACAGAACCTGAGGTGCGATATCTAATGTATCAAGCCGTGCAGGCATGTTCATATTTGCACGCCCAACGGGTCATACATCGTGACATCAAAGTCGGTAACTTCTTTCTCAATGCTGACATGGAACTGAGGCTGGGAGATTTTGGCCTGGCAGTGAGACTGAAGGAAGGAGAGAATAAAATAAAGTAAGTAAAAGAATCCTGGCTAAAAACAGCCTCAAACCAAAATTATCCAATATGGCGTTTTAAGTTCTGAACGAAAAGAGCTCTTGATCTGAAGAAACGACCAACTCTTCCGGCGTTCAAAGAGATTGCTACACAAAAGGTGCACATGCTACATACGCACGAATATTTTCGTCGCACAGGCGTGCACGTGTATGGAGATACTCTACCTTCCTGCGAGTATCCAAATGTGCAAAATTGTAAGCCAGAGGCAAAAAGGGTTTTCTGGGCCTCAACTTTGGCACAAACTTTCAAGATTCTTTACTCTGGCGGGACTAAGTGCGATAAAAGACTGCTCGTATTTCACTTCGAATAACACTTCTTCTGCTTTTCTCGTGACCCAGATTTTTGCGAAGAGAAGCTCTTCCTTTATATCATACCATTGTCATGGGCTCTTGTGCGTTAAGGCTGAGAATTGCAGGCAAAAACTCTTCAATTTGCAAAACAACAATGCTGCGTGACAAGTTGCAAGAAAATGACATCATTATTACTTGGCCCTAATGTGTCACATAAACATTTAAAAATACCAATATACATGAAATTGTTGCTGGCTGTTCCTCTTTTGGTTTTCCTATCGACCATACTTCTTAGCCAATCTTAATTGGGAAGACTTTGATCCAGCCAGTGCATGTCATCATTTTCTTTTACTTTTAGAACAATGTGCGGTACACCAAACTACATCGCCCCTGAAGTTTTGTCCAAAGAGGGGCACAGCTACGAGGTGGACACTTGGGCTTTGGGTTGCGTTATGTAAGTCTTCTGAGAAGTAGCCGTAGTCAAAATTTACCGTTTCTCGGTGCATTTCTCAAATTCTAATGATGCAATGTATATATAAGAAAATAAATAATTTAAGCATGAGTAGGAGACGTACAACATTTGAAAAGTCGATGTATTTGACATGGAGTTTCGGTTTTGATATTAAATATGGGTCACCCCTAGTTGTATGAGGTATAAATCTCATAGCTATTCAAAAACTTTTATAGGCGGTCAGAAAAATATTATCATGAAGCATTTGACAGGCTTGCGCTGTCAAACTTTTTAAGTTGTGGGAGAAAATCAGAATCTAAAGCTCTTTATAATGAAAATACTTACTGATTCAGTCCAAATGTCTTTTGAGTAAACGGCGTTACCTCCTTCTTTTTAATACAGGTACACGTTGTTGATTGGACATCCCCCCTTTGAAACGAAGTCTCTCAAGGAAACCTACAGCCGAATACGGAACAACGAATACACGATTCCGCCTCGTATCTCCGACAGCGCCGCGAAGCTCATTCGGAAAATGCTTCAAGCGAACCCGGCTAACAGGCCCTCCCTTAACGACATTCTGTCTGACGAATTTTTCAAAAAGGGATTTTTTCCCAACAGACTTCCCGCATCAGTAGTAACAACTTCTCCAAGATGGTCTGAATACGAAAGAACAAGGGAGTCTAATCAGAATATATCAAAAGATGCCATCAAGAAAATAACATTGACTTTATCGCGCCAAATGAAACTTTCTACGGACGAGAAAGAAGAGTCGCTTGAAAAAGATTTAACAGAAATGGAAAGAAAAGGAGAAAAATGCAGTGTATCTTCTAGTAGTGAAAAAGACAGTGAGTTAAGTGGAAATTATGGAACTAGCTGTGCTCGAGACACTGGACAAGAAGGTGAAGATTTGTAAAGATCATGTCCTTGTCATGTTTAATATGTTTAAGCTTTACACCCTAACGTCAGTATGCATATTCCCCGTATTGTTCTCTATACATTTTTTATGGTACTAACAAAGAGAATTTGTCTAACAATCAGGAGATTCTGGAGTGCTCAATCATTTCCTTTATTTTCATAACTTAAACAATGTTTGATTCAAGAGTGATACTGTCGAGAGAAATTGGATGATTATCACTCTTAGAGGTTAGGGGTTAAAAGCAAATCAGATGGATAAAGTCGAGATTTGGTCGTTGCTTTCCTCGTTGTCGCATTTCTTGTTGAATGATGGTCGAGTACTATTATTTGGGTAAAATAAGACTTTTTAACTGAGCCTTAATTTCATCTCCGTTCACGTGTCTTCGTCACAAACCTTTGATTTGTACACTGAAATGGTCGATGTTTAGCAGTCGTAATCAGTCGTAATCAGTCGTAATCAGTCGTAATCAGTCGTGCAAATAATATCCCAGTGGTCACCTGATTCATGTGGAAACTTTGAATGTGTTTACAAAAGTAAATGATAATATGACAGGTTCTCGGTGATCGGGAATTTTGTAGCTAATAATAATATTCATATTCTTAGGGCAGGGAAGGCCAACATACTTTCCCCCCGAGGATTTGATGTCCAAACTTTCTAGCTGCCTGGAATGTCTCGAAGAACGTCCGCAAAAGACTCTGGCTGGAAAATCTTCAGGACCCTGTGCGAAAAAGGCCCCTCCTAACTTATTAGAGAATGTGCGAAAATCAGGGGGGATTCTACCTTCTGATGCTCCTAAGTCCTTGCTGGTTACCAAGTGGGTAGATTACAGTAACAAGTATGGATTCGGAGCCCAGATGTCAGATGGAGGTGTAACTGTTCGGTTCAACGACTGTAGTAAGATAGCGATCTCTCCCAATAAAAGGTGAGATGCAATCTGAGAAACATTCCAACAACTTCCATTTTATTGTATTCGATTCGGTTAAAACGTAAGTGATTAGGCCACCCAGTAAGTAGGTCCGTCGGTTAGTCAGCTAGTGAGTCAGTCAGTCTGTCAGTTAATCGCTCAGTTTGTCAGCCAGTCAATTAGTGAATTAGATAGTCAGTCAGTCGGTCAGTCGGTCAGTTGGTCACCCACTCACCCACTCACTCAATCAATTAGTCAGTTAGTCAGTCAGTCATTCAGTCGGTCGGTCTGTTTGTCCGTCAGTCTTTCTGTCTATCTAGAGGGGGAAATTTTCTGGTGGAGATGTATAGCAAGATAATTTTGTTTTATCAACTGACTTGATAATGCAAATTAGCCGCCGTAAAGAGTTCGCTCTAGCAAAGGGCTAATGTTCGAAACGTTAGCTTTGAAACTCTGTACGATTGGTTAATTTATATTTCCAACTCAGTCAATAAAACCAAATTATCTAGTCTGTCTGTCTGTCACTCATTCGGTCAGTCTGTATGTCTATTTGTCTACATGTCAGTTAGTCCGTCAGGCAGCCGGACAGACAGTACATGCAGTTAGTGAAGAAGCAAGTCAGTCTCTGCGGTCATTCAGTCAATGAGTTAGTCAGTCAGGCAGCCGGGTACGCAGTTGTTAATTAAAAAGCCAGCTTTTCAGTCAATCTATTGTGCATCTCTCTAATATACTAACCTTTTGTTATGGCTTTATCTGACAGTTTTGTACACTATTGTGACCAAGCAAACAATATACGTCAGTTCCGGTCCACCGCGGTGCCGACGAACTTACAGGCAAAGTTTATGCTGCTCACTTTCTTTGCGAACTACATGGAAAAACATCTCTTAAAGGTATGGCTCGGGGTACACTGCGTACACCCGGGTCCTCTATTCTTAAGATGCTTCTCTCTGATTAGGAGTATAAATGATTAAGAGAGGATAGCCGAGGATGGGTTAAGGAAATGAATAGTATAACAATGATTGATTTATACTTTTGCAGGCGACACATTAAGTCAAACATAAACGGTAAAACTAAGAGATGAAGAGTGTACATTCATCGATACTTTGTTCTATTAAAAAGAAGAAAGCAATCTTTTAACCAACAGGGAGGTGATTCAAAGGCCCTCACATCCACTGACCAACCGAGCTTTCCGTTTGTTGACATCTGGTTTCGCACTGATATTACCATGGTGATGTATCTTAGCAACGGAACTCTACAGGTATGTATGCTTAATTTGTTCGGTTTTCTTAATATTACAAAGATATCGAAACGCAAACGTGGAGGCCACAATAGGACTCGCCTTGTGATGGCCTCCTTTTCCGCGTCACTAAACCGTGGACAGAAAAGAACTGTGTGAAATATAGCATTACACTTTTGACATTACTCATCCTGGCAGCGTGCAGGACGGCTGTCACATAGAGATCAATGCGGTACACAACCTAACTCGACATCAGCTATGATCGACAGCTAAGTAATTCGACCAGTGATACACCTAATGATAAATGCGTTCCTATCAGTGATTCAAACTTTTTCCTTATTTTGAGAGATATTACCATGGGAAATAGTGCTAGCGATAATTGGCTAAACAGGGCGAGTGACCGACTTAATTTTTTCGGAACCATTGTCATCAGCAGCATCAGAAGCCCTCAGTTTGAAAATTGGCCAAATTAACATAAGTGTTTTCCCCGTTCTTAGCGCCAGTTACGTGATCGGGTTTCCCTACAAGTTAAACTAAGTATGTAATGATTGTTACAAGCTGTCAACGACACAGTTTTAAACTGTCTTAACTGAAATTCAATTAAGTACTTTTTTTTTACTTTACAGGTGAATTTTTTCAATGATCACACAAAAATCGTTCTTATTCCTGGACCTAGGGACGTGTTAGTGATTTACATCGACAGGCAGCGAGAGGGGACAACTTATGTTATGTCTGATATTAACATGCAAGGATGTGCTTCAGAATTGATAGAAAGACTTCGTTATTGCAAAAGAGTGCTCAAAAAAGTCTGCGATTTAGTAGAGGAGGAAAACAACCCTTGACACTCCTCTAAGAAACCTTAGGACGCTTTCGATCAGTTGAAACAGTGTTGGATAACATTTAGAACCGATGCATCATAGATTCTTTATAATTATTTGCTACGAAGATAATAGTTCAAAACCTTTAGAGAGAGTATAATTTAAAACAGTAAATTTGTATGTACACAACATGGATGGGAAACTGCAAGAGCGTCTGCAACAAAATTGGCTAGTGCTTAATTTAGGGTAACTCGAAAACGAGCTACCATGCATCAAAAGACTTTAGTAGCAAGAGCGAAACATAAGTTTTAATTTGCTGGTTAAAAAGAAGAAATAAAAGAGGGAAGTGTTTATTACTGCAGTCCTGCTGCTTCTTTTTTTTCACTTAACTGCAAATGGTGGTCAACAAGTAACGCCCGAGCTCACCAGAATCTGAAATATGACATCTTCGCCATCATCTTTTGCGCTATTAAACCATACAAGTTATTCTCGTTGTCTCTCTTTCCACCTGGAAAACTTGACTTAATTACAAAAACATTGATGCTGGTGGTAAACACGGACAAGAATTCCATCCGAGAGAGGAACTCATACTTGTCAAATGACCCATACGGCCCCGTGCCCATAATCCCCGAGAAATCCATAGTAAGAGCAGACGTATTTAGGAACGGACGGGTTGACGTGAGTCTTTCTGGCCACCGTAAGGAGTTAAAAAGTTGACGTTTCGAGCGTTAGCCCTTCGTCAGAGGAATTGTGGGTTGTGTGTGGGTTTGAAAGCAGAAAATAGAGCTAAGCTATTGGTGGGAATATGGTGTCAAGAAAACAAGAATAAATTAAAGAAAGATGTTTTTTTTTGTTCGTCTTGTCGCGAGCGTGGGACAAAGAAAAACTTCTGAGTCCCCATGAGGAATCGAACCTCAGACATTCGGATTCCGCGCTCCGATTCTCTACCGCTGAGCCACAGAGACTCCACGGTGAGCGAAGTCTATTACAAGTTCATATGACACATACTGCTAATGAGGATCAGCAGTGTCGATAGAAATAGGAGAGATGGTAAGTTTTGAGCTCCGAAAAGAAATAAAGAAAGTTTTTTTTAAAATTAGTTGAATAAATAGCGCTCGTTGATATCGTGGGGACTAAGAGTGCTGATTTGAGAGATACATTTTTGTTCTGTAGTTTTGCGGCTTTCCGAACTGCCTAGATGTAGGGAAAGGCCGCAAACTGCTTTAAATGACTAGGGAGATTGAAGTGTCTAGCGACTGGTTTAGATGCGTCTTTGTCGTTTCTTTTCACGTTGCGATAGTGTTCTCAGAATCGGTCATCTAGTCGTCTTCCTGTTCCACCAATGTATAACTTTTTGCAACGAGTGCAAGTTTTACAGTAGAAGACATTGGCAGAGGTGCACGTGAAGTGATCAGTGATCTTAATGGATCTCTTGGGTCCCGAAATTTTCTCTACGTTATAAATAAAACGACAAGTTCTGCGTCGTGATTGAGCGCATTTGAAAGTTCCAGGTTGGTCACTGGTTTGAAATGAATTTCTGAACAAAACGTTGTATACGTGAATCGAAAAACTAGAATAGTTTACAAACTGAAGTAGTTAGGCTTGTCGAATTTAACACGTTTGCCCAAGGTTTCTTTAGTTTCTAATACAGAATCTGAAAGTGAAATGTTCAGTGAAATCCGGCCGAATTATGGCTCATAAAATCACGCTAGTTTTTTCACATGACAGATAGAAAACAAACTGTTCAAGGCGTGTTCCATGAATGAACAACAGCCGAATTCACAGGAAGGGATATCAGAGCAGGCTCTTAGTTGTTCACTCGAAGGGCGGCCGATGTAACTGCGATGACCGGAGATCGCGAGGATGAACTAGCTGCGATGCACCTCAGCACAGTCGCTCTGACACCGTCATGGTTTGTATGAATTTTAACCGTTGTACCAGTGGCTATCTTTTTAATCATTCCTGTTCTGTTCCGTTTTATTTTTAAACACGAACCTATATATACAGTACGAGTGTTAGCTGTGTTTGATTTTTACTGCCGTACGTAAGCTCGCAACCATGTCTACAAACCTTTGTTTGGTTCTTCTGTTGCAACTTGCCGGCTCGCAAGTTCCGAAATTTCACTATCAATTAACAGAAAAAAGCTTGAAAGAAGTCCCGGAAAAAGGTCGGACATCGTTCAATTTGGCAGATGGCGTGACGTCTTCAGCTCAGCTCTACGCTTTGTACACTGATAGAGCATATTCTTTCAATCAATGATAACGCGCGTTGTATCCGAACTATACTATAAGAGAAAGATAAAGAACACCGGACAGGAAAACTTAAGAACCATTTTAATCCAAGCAATTATGGCAGTAACGATGAGATCTTTGGGTAAGCATAACTACGTGAACTCCACCACAAATAAAGATGTATTAGTCATCCATGAATAAATGAAGCTGAAATACGAGGGGAGGGGCAGATATTTCGTCCCACCAAGGGAACACAGCGGCAGGAAAGCATATTGAGCCCTTGCTCCTATATTCCTCTTCCAGGCTCTCTATTAATCCAAACTAAAAACGATGAATGTGACTGGACAACGTCTCTTAACTGCATTCAGTTGCAGATCTTCAAACTGGTTACATCACAAAATCTTTAATTCTGAAGCAACAAAATTGTACCAAGTTCGAACTCTGAATTTGGTGTCCACCCCAGCTTGTAAATGCTTATGTCATGATGTATCTTAGACTCTAACACAAGCGACATACACGCCAACTTTCTCTTTGCTCATGGCCAATGTTCCATAGCAAAGCGACTCGAGAAATTGCACTCCCATCTAATCGCGAGGAAGTTTGTAAGAATCAATTACAGTAGTTTATTCACTTTAACGCCTATGAATCTTGAGACTCAGACGAGTAGGATGATTGACCACACAATCATCTGGAAGAACATCATTGAAATAAAATCACTGAATACATTCTAATTACAGGGGTTTGGTACAATATAACACTTAGCAAGTCGAACAACCGCAAATAATAAAATAATAACACCATAATTATAATTGTATGCTTTACCATATCTAATAATAATAATTATGATAAGCAGTATTAGTTAGGCCGGTAAGATGGTCCACCTGCGAGAAAATGAACTTCCAATTTTAATAGAATGTTCTTTTCGGACATGCAAAACATCAGAGACTTTGTAATTTAACAGATCGGGAGAAAATCACGTCTTGGTTACGTTTAGTCATCCGCTTGGTTTAGTAGAAAGTTGGCAGCCAACGTCTCATTCTTTTCACAAGCAAAATAGGCTTGGATAACTAGAACTTCTGGAAATCCAAGTTGTTTTAGCTGTTGAGTCAGGAAAAGAACAGTTCCTGTTATTGTAGACTGTAAGTGAAAAGGATGAGAGCACAAAGGGGGAGTACTGGGGAGAGAATGGTGGAGGTTGAGACAGAACTGTCAGAGCAACAACAAAGAAAAAGGTGGGCCAAAAACAAAACGACAAAATGATTGTAGAGAGGCAGTTACAGATAGGAGAGGGTAAGAAACTACGCGTGCAAGTACAGGGGTCTAGCCGTAGAGAGGGAGGATAGAGAAGGACATGGGTTAACTAAGGTTAGGGAGGACAGAAAAGAATAGAAGAACTAAAAGTACTTTGGGTCAGAAGAGAAGCAAGAATGGGCAGATACAACAATCCCAACTCTTACCCTCTCAATAGCTTCTTTTTCTTGTGGTGTAACATTAACGTATCCTGCCTCAGCAGGTGGTGCTTCTAAGTCCTGTTCACCTCCTGAGCCAGGCTGGGGTGGCTGTGAACCCACTCCAGGGGCAGGACCAATATCGGGGCTGTTTAACATACCTATGAACTCCTCTTGATTTTGGCTAATAAGCTACAATAGGAAGATATATTTCAAACACTTTTTGATATAACCTTTACTCCAACACAAAGCCTTTTTTTAAATCATAAAACACCAAGTTATGTGATTTGAATAGCTAAGGAAAACTGATAACTATAAAGCTTGTAATAGTATTGTGACAGAAAAGACAATTGAAGTTCACCTCATGGCCGTTTGCCATTTCACATGTACAGCAGGTGTTTACCTGTTGTGGTTAGAGTCTTGACCCACAACACTAATACAACTACTAACCTGCAGGAGTTGTGGGTTTTCCTGTCCCATTTGCTGAAGTAAAAGTGTCAATGATTGAGGGTTTCGTTGAACCTGCTGCCTCAAGCTAAGGAATGCAGGGTGCGAGCGCAGGAAATCCAGGTTACCTTTTATACAGAAAACATAACAATAGCGGTTTGCTTGTCCCATTTGCTGAAGTAAAACTGTTACTTATTAAGGGTGTCACTGAACCCATTGTCTCAAAATACGGAATTCAGGGAGTGAGCACAGGAAGTTCAAGCTACCAGTACTTTATGTTAGGAAAAGGTATTGATGTTCAACACAATTGATCATTTGAAGAGTATATGGCTCAGCTCACTCCTACATGCACATGCATCCATTCCCTCTACATCAGTGGTAGAGAAATTGTTCAATAACCTGCAGTACTCAACTATTTTCCAACTCTGTCCCATACATGCACTGATGATTCATGCTGAGTTCTTTGATGAGAGGGCTCCCCCGTGAATAATATTGATATCAAAATCATCATCATTACTATTACGGTTATCATAACCATCATAATTCTTCACCTCCAGAGGCTGGTGCATCGTCTCCACCCTCTCCTTGTTGTTCGTCTTGTTCTTGGGACTGGGGCATCTCTGGTATACCCTAAAATTATCACAAAATAACAAATTTGTCTCTGAGTAAATGCTTAAAAGATAATGCCCAATTTCAAAAAAAAAGCTCAACTTTTTTGTCCATGGGTCACCTAAATACATTGGCTACTGACAAGTTAGTCACATATCCACAAATAGAACTCCAAATTTTTTCAATCACGTACAATCTTGAAATGATTGTCAGATGTTTATCATCTCCTGCTGTTTTCTGTAGTTCACTTCAAGAACTGGAAATGTAATGGTGTCTATAGGCCAGAAACACCAAAGGAAAGAGCTCAACTGTGTATCAAGTGCAAATGTTGAACAACAAACAATAAGTAACACCAGGAAACATTGGGCCAAAATTGGGTCAAGATAGGAATTCTATTGTTACACTCACTAACTCATCCCAGTGACGTATGTAATTTCCCCTCCTTTAGGAGGCAGTAGCCACAAAAATGAAATGCCTACAGAAAAAGACACTTACACTCATCAAGTACTCCACAGCTCTGTCTGGATTGTTAAAACTTGCTCGGAGAGCTCGGTTAACCTGCCATTGAAAAACAAATAAATAAAAACATTAACAAATAAATGAAGGGATGATGAATGCTACAACAAAGTACACATAGAACCATACAAACAGCTGTTCTAAGAGAGTTTGTCAGGGGAAAGCATGAAAATACACATGAGAACCCTAGAAAGGAATGTGGGTAATTTTCAGGTTAAGTTTCCTTTGCCTCAAATTTCACAGAAATCTGAGAAAACGTTACTGTATGGACGAGGCATCCAAGTTTGGAGAATTTATTTGTTTCACTTATTGAAATTTATTGATAACTGGATACCCAAATAACCTTTTGAGGTTGTTGTGCCCAATTTTTTTGACAACCTTTCTGAAAACAGCTGTATGCACTGAGAACTCCATATTGATATAAAAAGATTTGAAATTATTCCCAATTGTGATACCAACAGGCTAATCAAAATTTATGCCTTGCGACTAGACTCATAGTGGTATACTCAGTAAATGATTTTAAGACTCACCTTTTCCCTCTCGAATCCCATTGCACTTATTTCATCCACCATTCTGTCATAGTCCTGCCCAGTAACTGCAAGTGCAAAGGAAACATCAGCAGAGCGTAAGAATTTTAGTTGGTGATCATTTCCTCTATTCTTGTGGGCTTAATGTTTGATTTAAAGGTAATTTTTAAGTATAAATTGGATGCTTGTCTCTCTTAGTAGTTAACCCTTTCACTCCCAAGATCTAATTAGTAATTCTCCTCACTATCTGCCACACTATTCTTATGATGTTAGTTCAGAGAATTTGGTATTGGATCAACTAATAATCCCATGATTGATATTCTTCTCTATTCTCACCACCTGCCTGCTTGATATTGTATTGATATTGTTAGGAGAAATTCTGTCTTGGTCACTTATGGGAGTGAAAGGGTTAAAGGGTTTAGAGTTCACCACCAAAGCAGGTCTGTGGTAAGTGCTCACCCACTTCAATCGCTATGAATTAATCCATTCAGGTTCAGGTTAGCCATACATTTCAATAGTCCCAAATCAAATACAAATGGACATAAGTTCTAAATAATAAAATAATTAATTCTATGATACATCTTTTTGAAGTACTGGCTGCTTTCATGAATTATAACTTTGACCAAGATTTGAAAAGCAACAAACTTTTAAATTACAGGTGTTGGTGTTCTAAAATTAGTGCCTGGACCCTTCAAACTCAAATTTTGAGAACTGAGATCTAAGTTTTACAGTCAAAGAACTGAGGTGCAAGGGAATTTCATCTTAAATCCTAGTTATACATTTGGTCCTCTTTCTAACTGGCGTACCAAGAGTTGATTCAGCGGTGGACAAAACTTGATCCGAGCTAGATGATGGAGCAGCAGTAGAAACAGCTGGACTTGTTGTTGATTCAGGCTCATCTGTAACTTTGGGTTTATCAGCGTCAGAGCTAAAGAGAGTTCCATCACAAAAAAAAAAGGGTCAGAGAAAGACATTTTACACACAACAACAATAAAGAAGAATTAACAAGGTGAGTGTGCTGACCATAGAGCATGACAGTCTAGATGGATGTGTATGGAGTAGTTCAACAGAAGTGTATCGTGGCCACCTGGGAACCCACCTAATCCCTCCCCTTAAAATAAACTGATACAACAGCTGGCATGTATTGTCTCAAGTTTGACAGCCAACTCAAAATGCATAGAGTCCCTGGACAAAACAGGCAAGAACAATAAATCTAACCATATTGACAAACACAGCTTACAAATTACTACAATGTCAATAAATATTATAATTCAATAAAATTTCAGTACTTCAGTACAAACTGCAAGGCACGTCTCACCCAAAGAAAGATACCCTCACCTTTCAGGCTTAGACTCATCTGCAGGTCTTGCTGTACTTTCTGTGACTGTTGCAGCAGTGGGCTATCAAGGTCATAAACGCAAATAAATATCAGACAAAAAGCTTTTGAACTTTGCAATAACTAGGAAAGATGCTTCTTCATCAAGGTATCAGGCAGACAATGATTACAAATTCAATGCAAAGGGAAACTAAACCTAGAATAAAGTACATATTCATATCTGGATAAATCAAGAGCTATACTTGCTAAGAAAACACCCAAGCACAATTGTCACTAAACACTCCCAGTGGCAATGCTTCTCATTGCCATGCCATGCAGAATAAAATTTGGCCCTTATATTGCTGTAAAAACCAATCACTAATTTGTTAGGGTGGTCATGTTTCAAGCTGTACAATAACACTGGTTATTTATCAAGGCCTTTCTGGATTTTGTGGTGAGTTAAACATTTATAGAAAAATATCCTCTACACTCCATTCAGTTCCTATGTCTAGGTTGGCATTATCACTTTAATTAGCAAAGTAGTATGCCTTTTAATATTTGATTTACATGTACATTGTTGTAGAACAGCTAGGCAGTCATTTTGTTGACTATTTTGAGGACAAGTTGTAGAGTCTGCATTGTGGCCCATTAAGTAACAATACAAAAACTATCATTTTCTCCTTTTTCGGTGAACAATATTCCATCTCTATCAATAACTTAAGGTTGCCAAACTGGCACAAAGAAAACATTGAACTTCAAGCAGGGGACAAGTACTTCTTGGTACATAAAACTCTTGAAAAGAGGCAATTCCTGGGAGAGAACAAAATCCTACCTGAGGTGTTGTTACAGGTTGGCTTGGAGCTGGAGCGGGTGCAGCCTTTGGCTAAAATATGAGGTGGAACAGAATCGGTTTGTCTGACTTACTCACTGCATGTGCTATATCTAAGCACTCTCTCAAAAACTTTTCAGCCATTTGCATTTTTCATAATTTTGCACTATGGCTGAATAGCTTGTTTTGAGGGGGCCTCTAAAGCAAAAAGCCCATTAACTCTTTAAACCCTAAGAGTGAGTATCAAAGTAATTAATTACCGCAATAGCAGGTACAAAAATAATTATATCAAGGATAAAACAAATATATTATATATCTAATAGTTTCACCAGCAATACAGGCACAAATGAAAGTATAACTACGTTTACAATGTCTTATCAAAGCACGTTGAGTAATACAACATACATATATAGCACATTACATATAACTAAAATGACCCATTTTCTTTCAACACAATTTCAATTACATACAAAAACTCTGTGAACAAAATATACATGTGCAGGGGTTTCAAAATGATTTGAAGTAGGTGTCAGACTCTGCACAAGTAGGTGTCTGTGAAAAGTTCATTACCGCATTTATCTGTGTATAAGCCAAACCCGTGTATAAGTCGACCCCCCATTTTCAACATCAAAAATCTGATTTTTCATCATTTCTAGTTAAAGAAAAATTCAGACCAATAGAAAGTTCCCAAATGTTTGATCTCTTATTTCTAGGAATGTATTGAAAACACGGTGAATTAAAAAAAAACTGCAGAGCAAAATGTAACTGTGTACTGTGAAGTTTCGTAGAACTTGTTTATATCACCACAATTCATGATTTAAGCATACACGAGCACCTCGAGAGGAGATTTAGTAGACCAAAGGAACACCGAAGAGCTTCAAAGGATCACTTGATGAAAACACCGCCATCTTGGAAACTACAAATTTGAGGAGCACTGGTAACTAAGATAACCTGTACTTACAATCTCATTGGTCCTTTTCTGGTTGCTAACAACAAGAAAACAATATTCGCGCAACAAGCCTTACAAGCCTTTGGTTACAATAACATAATTGGTCCATGTGCGTGACAAACAAGACCGTGTGAGAAAACAGCAATTGCCAGGTCACTAAGCTGCTGCAATCATTCAATGAAAACGAGAGTTCAGTACTGTAAACAGCAGCGAAGCTGTAACGAAAAATGTCTGCTCTACAGATCAGAAGATACAATAGAAATCAGCTCCAGTAGGTTTCTGTTTAAGCCACATAAAATTTATTACTTCAAACTTTTTTGTTGATGAAGGATGCACTGAAAATTGACAAAACTCAAACACAATTAGAACTGGTTTTGTAAACTAGGTTTTACTAATGGACTTCAGGCAATTGTTATGCTAATTTCTTGGGTTGCTTGGGTCAGGTCGTGTATAAGTCAAGGGTGATTTTTTGAGCTGATTTTTCAGTAATAAAAGGTTGACTTATACACAGATAAATACGGTAATTTACATCCAAAAGGTAATTATTTTGACCAGAAAAACAATGACATGTCCTCAAGTTGCCAGCTGAACTCCCAGCTGTCACCAGCTTGTTTTGAAACCCCTGAAACAGCACCTTTTGGATGTTTTAGAGAAGAGACTGGTGCTCACCTTTGTTACCATAATGACAACAAAACCCTTTTCATCAATTTTGTACTCTGATACTGGCTGGTCATCATTTAATATTTTCCCTGAAAAAAAAAGAAGATATTTCAATGAAAAAACAATTAAGTTTAAACACACAGGCTGATAAGTTTCTGCTGAAGGGGATCAAGGAAAGATAGTCCTGGTTAGTATTTTGCCATGCAGACCATTTCCATGAAAACTGTTATATGCTGTGTATTCCGGATTTTACAACAGCTAGCAAATTCAATATAAAGAAGTGGTCCAAGTGAGTTTTTTTTAATACTGACCTTTCTATGCTCGGCCTGTACTGTCACTAACTTGGGCCAATATTCCTCAGTACAGCCCTTGTGCTTGGTTAGCAAGAAGTTATCAGTTTAATGTAATTGGATGATACCAGCAATATCAATCACACACATGAAAGAGTTATCAACTGATATAAGTTGACCACTTGATATTTATCATGATTTTCCACTGCCAAGTCTTATGATTTTTTTGAGAATCAACTAGCAGTCATAATAATAATATACAGAATTCTTTACCAGCATATATAAGTCTGATGCTAGCCTTGGGATAAGCATCCTTTCCTTTCTCAGTTTCCAGTTGGTTTTTGAGATCTGCCACCTGAAAGCAACGAGGTTGTTAGATAAATTTCCACATGACAACAACGTAGAAGTTGACTATAGTATAAACTGTGGAGTACAAATGCCTTATTATAAGTGTTGCACAGGACTACTGAAATACGTGGGAGGAGGGTGGCCTCTGAACCAGTTAACTCTCACAAGTGACCAGGAGAGAGTTTCTCCTTACAATATCAATACAATATCCAATATCAAGCAGTAAAGTGATGAGATTAAGAAAAATATAAATTACTGGATTATTAGAGCATCCAATGCCAGATTCTCAGAACTAACATCATAATAGTTTTATAGTAGAAAGGAGAATTAATTACGAGAGCTTGGGAGTGAAAGGATGGACCATTTTTTGACAAAGAATCAGATCAATATCTCAATAGAGCAGCCAGCCAAAGTACAAAGAATGTGTGGATTTCCACAGCTGTCAACTACCTTTGGTAGCTCTAAGAAGACTGCAGCTCTTGTCAGAAACAACTGATAGAATTCTTACATATTGAAAGCTTTGGTTTACAAAAATAAAAATATCCATTGATCCCATAGGAAAGTACTAGCAGATTCTAGAAAGGACAGTAACCAAAATAAATTCCTCTTGTGAAATTCAAATATGTTTCACAGCAAAAAATTTTAATGGCAAGCCTTTTTTAAACCCATGTTTTACTACAGGCTTGAATAAATAATATAAAAGATTTATATGGGGCCATTTCTACAAAGTATCCAACAGCACTCTATAATACTGAAAGTTAAATAATGAAATAACAAATGCATCTAAAAAAGAAAGGCCTAAAACACATTATTTAAATTATATACATCTATTAAACCAATGTATATAAACTAGAAGTTCTCTCAAAAAGAAAGGACTTCAGCTTAGATTTAAAAGTGTTCAACAAGTTGTACCTCTCCATATCCTATTGAAGAAAATTCTTTATTCTTTTTTCTCAGAGGGAAGAGGCAGATTTTCCTATCTCTGCTCACGGGCACAGCAATGCTTTTGTGAGTTGCTAAGAGCATCACTAGCTTCTTTGTCATTTTTCATAAATACACTTTGTTTTGCCAACTGGCCAGCACTTTCAAGCAAAGTATTTCTAAGCAAATCAAGCAGAATTATAACTTATCAATCTTCTCTTTGCTCTCTCTTAAATCACTTTGATTGTCAGCAAAAATTGTTTAGGAAATAAATTTGTAACTTAAATTGCATAGCAAGAACCAAAGGAATTCAATGAGAAAAAGCTGCATTAAATTCTCCTTGGGCCTAATGAACATGTCTCATTTCACTTTAGTTTTTTTGGTGGAAAAATTTGCATATGCCATAACAACACACAAACGAGCAAGCTCACACAGCTTCAAAACCTATCATTGAATTTACACACAAATACTTTCCTTGCCATTTCCTGACGGAGCAGAGGTATCCTTTATACATTAATCATTGATGGAAGTAAATAATTCTTACCGTAAGATCATTAAATGTTGTTGAGGAAAATATTGTTTGATAGTCATTGAACTTTAGTTTGTTGGCCAAAACCAGTAACATTTTTTTTTTCAATAGTGTACATGCACTTTTTTTTCTAAAGCACTCTCTAATTGACAGTTGTCTGATTGTGACAGATACTTGTAAAAAAAATGTTTCAAAGTTTGTTTGGAAGCCTTTTAAATCGCATTTATTGTTACACAAATAAAAATCTTTCAGTGAAGCCTCTCTCTTTAATTTGCATTACCTGTGTTTTAAGCCTACATGTAGATTTGTCTGTATTGGGAAAAACTGTGCCCGAGGTCTTGAGTACCGCCTGAGGCCCTAGGGTGAGGGTGGTACTCAAGACAGACCAACTCCAAAGAATAATTAAAGCATACCTCTTGCTCTCTCTTAAATTTGCATTTCCTATGTTCTAAGCCTAGGTTAGTCCATATTGGGAAAAACTGTGACCTTTGTCTTGAGTACCACTCTCAGCCTATAGCCTTGGGTGGGACTTTGTACCTTGGGCACAGTTTTTTTCCAATATGAACCTCCCAGCGGGCAAATAATGTATTAATACTGGTGCAGTAAATGAAAAAGCCTATGACTGTACATCTTAAGATTACAACTTAGTATTTCAAGAAAATATTTCCTAGAGGGGCACAATGTTCTCGGAGGAATTAATCTGAATAATTCTTTTAAATTCTCATACATCTAGCTGTACATTTGATCTTGTTGCACATACAAAGTGTGGTCTGAGAGATTAAAAAAAATTGTATTAAAGTATTTTTCAAAAGACTTCCACGTACGAACTTACACAGGAAGCAGTTCATACCCAACTCTCATGACTTTCCAGGCTTGGATAACACTACTGTATGATTCAATTACTTTCCAGGTGTTCAATGATATGTGCTTACATTAAGAACATGCTGAAAACTAGAGTGAACTTCAAAAATTGCAATCAAAGTTAGGTGTGTTTTCACATGCCTGACAGTTCTACTGAATATTCCCCACAATTGTTACAAAAGGACAGATGGTGAAGATTCCAACATATGTTATTGTCATGGCAGGCAATCAAAAGATTGTCAGGTTAATGATCTTCACTTACTCATTTTCAACACTCTTCACATTACATGATCAAAAAAATTAGTCAACCTAACACACAAGTTTCCAAAAAAATTAACCCGACTATTTTACAAAGTTCATGTATTTCGGTGATAATTAAGTGATTACAAGGGCATGAAACAAGAGAGAAAAGCAAAATAGATGTAATCCATAGGAAAATGTACAATTTATAAGTTGAAATATCTAATCCATAGCCTGCCGGCCAGTTCCCATTCATTTCTGGCAGGAAGTTAAAAATTCTTTGATTTCATACCATTGCGACTTGTATAATGAAAGGTGAAAGAATTTTCAGTAAACAAATATTATCAATTACTCAATCACACGTGTTATAGAGACAAAAGCCTACTTCTAGAGCAGGACCTCTTAATGCTCAACTTAAATTGTACTTGGTCTAGAAAAAGAGTCGACACTTTGAGTAAGTGGTTAAGAAATATGTCGAGAGCTTATTTCGATATTTGAAAAAGTAATTTACTCTTCAAGTAACCAAATGCACTGAAAGATAGGATAATAGAAACACAGTAGACATAGCAAACACTACAAACAAAAATAACGAGAAAAGATAGAAAAATGCTATAATCGATGTAAATGTCTGAAAATTGAATAAAAGACCGAGACCTGCTCGTGATCGATCAGGTTGTCAAACGTACCGTTGCAGACTCGTCTATTTCAAGCTTGAAAGTTTGTTGTTGGAGAGTTTTAAACGTTATCTGCATGGTTCTTCTCTAATATTGCAACAGATTTAGATCCCCGACGGTAAAATACAACGGCTGAGAGCAAGGAAATCGAAGAAATTTGGAATACTGCACTACAAGCATTTGTAGCGTGTAATCCTTAGAAAGAACCAGCAACATGACGTCATCACGTTGGCTACGCGTACCTCGCATGCGCCATTGGGGGCCCGTAGGGTTATGGGTAGTTTTTGGTAGACTGGGCACGAGGTTGGGTGTAGTCGGAAAAGACTAGCACTAGAAGGAAGACCCGGAGCAAAGTTATCATCGAATATCTATTGCCAAAATTGTGGACAAATGAAATTCGTCTGTGAACTTGCAATAAGTATTCTTGCAGCCAAATGTGTGTTGTAGAGATTGAAGTGACCGAAGTCACGAGGTTCGTTCCGTCTAACTTCGTGACTTTGCTCGAAAGCTTCCGGAAATTCACGGAGGAATCCAGAATGATGGTAACCATCCAAATCCGAAGAATAATCAAAGCATACCTCAGGCGATCTACAAATACAGTAAAAAAATATTATCCTGCGTTTATCAAATTTCCTTTAGCAAAATTCATCAAATTTAGACGCTGTGATCAAAATCTTTCGGTTATGTGACCGCAAGTATTTTCACTGATTGAAATTAAAGATATGTGGTAGTAAACTACTCGTGTTTTCTTTTGGTCAGAAAAGTACAGGGTTATTTTCATCCGCCAAAGTGTTACTGATCGATCCAGTCGCCAAAGTTTACGAAAGATAATTGAATTTAATCAACCAGCCAATAAATTTAGACTGTTCCCACATTAGATCGTAAACAATCGAAGCGATTTACCATATTGGGTTGTGTTTTAACTAAATATGTTTTGTTCACTCGAAAGGTGGTATTTGAAGCAACAATGCTAAGTATAAACTGTAACAAACCTGGCTATCGTTTATGCGCGGTTACTATTCTAGGACGATGGCGTTAGGCCCGTGTCTACATCTTAATGAGTAAGTGACTGACTCATTTGCATATTGGAGTCACCATAACAACTTATTTCTACGCTTTGCGTTAAGTTAAAGACGAGGCACTCCACTCCCAGGCCCGTCTGTTTGTGGACAACAATTTAGTTACATTTGTGGAGTAAAGCTGGAATTCCAGTTTTTCCTTCATCCTCTTACTGATCAGTAGTTCGTTACCACCCTTACATATTCCCATTTCTTATATGGACGGGAGTGTTTTACCTCAGTAAAACTATAACACTCGTAGAATCAAAACGACCACTATACATCGGAGTGTATGCAACACGAGTGGTCACATTAAGCAACTATGTCACAACCCGCCTTTTAAAACTTTTCTTTTCAATCTACCACGTATTTATTGCCTATATGATAACAAGAAACATTACTCGTTAGCTCGAAGATATGAATTTTATTTTCTCTCATCTTCTCACAACCGTATAATATCCTCAACATAGCTATCCCCTCCGATCAGCTCCTTGTCAACAACGACAAAAAAATTTATTTTTCTCGTTGTTGACAATCATTGTTGTCGTTGTTGAAATAAAAAAATTTATATAAAAGCTTCTAAATATGGCCAGCTGCCCCCAAATAAAACTTAAAAACTATTATATCATTATGCAGCTGCCTGTAAGATGAAAAGAAAATATATGACAGATTCATCCCTCGACCATGAGAATCTGTTCGATGACCTTTACATTTTTCTTTTTCTGGCCTATAGCTTATGTAGGCACACAGGGAAATGTTTTAATTCCTTCTCTGGTCCAGTTATAAGCGGGCTAAATAAAAACTACCATAACACATATAACATGATCGCTATAAAAAAAAAAAAGATCGCCCGACTGCTTTGCTCGTGGCTCATAATGGCAGGAGCCCATCCTGATGATGGTCGATTCCATTAAAGCAATAAATGGCAATTAAAGAAATATATATTACTTTTGAATACATTGAGAATCCTCCTTTAAAAAAAATAATTTTCTTTAGTAAAAATTTATTTGCCTGTCATATAAAATTTTTAGACAGCCTAGTGGTGTTTTTTTTATTAAAAAATATAAATCCCTAAAACACTGACACACAGGGAAAATTGAGAACTATGACCGGACGCATATGGAATTTGTGAGAAAAACAGCAATTCTTGGCCCAATTGAAGTGAAAGGATAACACTGGGTTTATCACAGGCGGCCCAAGCTCCAGCTGTGAGATGATCATCTTGCACAATAACAGTCACAGCGGAATGGGCTTTTCTTATGTAAGTTGAAAATCTCGAAATGGAAAACTCGCTAAAATGGGTACTTTTCATCAAAATAAACGGTCGGATAACAAGCGATACGCTGTGAAAGTAAGGTGAGGTATTTTCATTGAGAATTTGACGTATTGTTTCATTCCTTAGAGCAGTCGTAAATATTCTCATACAAACTCTTATAATTCCGCCATGACTGTTATTGTGCAAGATGATCATCTTACAGCTGGAGCTTGGGCCGCCTGTGGGTTTATAAGCGAAATATTGGTAAAAGCTTGCTAAAGACAGCATTGGTAAAAGCTTTCTAAAGACAGCATGTTTCTTTTTCATTAACAAAAGGTTGTTTCCATGGAGATGGGCTCACAGGAACATCTGTCATCAAGACCTTTATGGATCAGTTCAATCTCCTGTTGTGGTTTGTTGTTTAAGAAAAGCAAAAACACAGTCTCACTTTACGAATTTCTCACCCACTATTAAGCTATCATCCTGAAACGAAGGGCTAAGGTTAATTTTGCTTTGAGAGTCAAAAATTAGAGAAGGAGACCTCTGCTGCGAAGTTTTACTTTGAACGGAAGGTTAATTGAAGCTGAACTGATTCGTTGATGAAGGACTAGGGATAAATTAGTAAGCTGATTCTATATTTTAAGCTTCACAATGCAAAAAGCCAGATTTCATGGTCAGCACTTTGGGATCTTTGAGAAAAGCTTGCGAACTGACGATTCCACGAAAAACACTACAACAGAACAGAGAACCCCTCGCATAAACGAGACAGAAGATATGGAGGAACACCTTGGAAAGAAAACACAACAACACAATATGGCGAATACAGTCGAAGGAAAGCGGAGACAGAGCGTATTTTACACGCACGAAATCAAGAAAATAATGGACGAAATTTTGAAGGAGAAACTATCCACTCAATTATATGACGCCAATACCTGTAGGGTTCTCTGCATTAGTTTGTCAGAGGATATTAAAAGCCGAGTAAAGAATCTAGGAATGGAGAGATTCCGTTTGATATGTAGCGTCAGTATAGGATCGAACTGTGGCCAAGGTATTTTGATGGCTAGTCGGTTTCTTTGGAATGACTTCAGAGATAATTTTTCGACTTCTTCTTTTCAAAATGCGTCTTTATTTGCTGTAGCTATCGTTTTCGGAGTTCTAAAAGAGTGAAGTGACATTTGGAGCGATGAAGAACACTGTAGAAGTCAGGCTGAATGGATTAAAGCTTTAAACAGCAAGTGATGATCATGACTCTATGTAACCGTACCGAAGTCTCAAGCCAAATGAAATAGATAGATGGCAAATTTTCTTCTATGATTTTACCCTTTTAAAGGTTATCTCCATGCTGGGTCGTAAAAAAATATCAAAATTATCATATTAAAATCGGTGAAAATGATAAAACATCCCTTGCAATCAAGTTTCGGTGAACGAAGCCGTAAATTTAAATAACAAAGATAGTTTTGAATTTCATGACTGAACTGTTCTTTTTAATGAATTAAGGCAAATTTTGTTGTCTCCGCTGTTCTTATGGTGACATTTCATTAATTTTTCTGTTTTCCTCTGTCAGGAACTAAAATATATTAAACAATATGAATTATTGACTCCAACGTTTAATTTGTTGACTTTTTTATTGAAATAAGCAATTTGGAATGAAAATAATCACGGTGAAAACCTTTCAATCTACATGAATCAAATATCACGCCTACGTCCTCTGTAAATAATACCAAATAGGTATAAGATTTGAATTTTCTTCGCGCTCTACTGGGGAAAAAAGTCCAGCATCGCTTTAGTATGATTATTTCACATCATATAATTTGAGTTTTTCAAGCGTTGCGCGAATTACACACTCGAATGAGAATTCTCACGGCCGTCTGCCATTCTGGAACCCAGACCTCTTACAGTCACACAGCTGGCTAACAACAAGAAGTCTCTAGGGTAGAGTAAGAATGAAATATTTACAAACGCAGTTAGTTATTACAGATTCTTCAAGTTTTGAACTCAGACCATGGTCGCTTATTCGAATTCGTCAGCTAAGGTTGACACGGGCATAAATAATATGTACTATAAAAAAAAAACGGGCGGGAGATATTTTCCAAATGAATTCGCACAACTTTCAAATAACTGAGTAGAGAAACCGTATCGCATATGGCATACAGTACTCCATTATATAAATGATATCTCACGATAAACACAGTATTTAGCTGGTGTGTACAGAAAAGGTTAGGGGCCCGCTTGTCTACCCAACCTATAGTTTTCTTGAAACTCAAAAAACTCTTTCTCCAAACTTGGCGAGTTAGATTTTTAATTTTAATGTCTTTGTCGGTCATAGATATCAATATCTATGAATCAAGTACCGATTAAAGGATTTCGTGAAAAGTCAGGCGGTGTGCGCACTCTGATTTCTGCATGAATAATATCAAAGACAGAAATAATATTCCCAGACGCGAGTTATTTAACAGGGATTCTACCCTTGACGTGCAAACGCACTGCAAAGAGACAAGAGATCTTCTTATACACGAACTTTTTTCAAGTCATCCACCAGTCTTAAATATACGGTAAATATAGGATTCGTAAAAAGAGAAACGCTACCCCTCCTGAGAACGAATTCATCACGCTCCACGTTTAATAAAAACGTACAGAAGTTCTAAGTAAGCTTAAAGAATCGAGGATACTCAGGTGAAAGTTTTGAGAAACGTATCTCTTGAGTTATTTTCTGCGGGAGAGAAAGGTTACTTAAATACAAAGTAAATAGTGTACAGGAGAAAATATTGCCTTTTCTAACAACTTAGCAACTTCTCTGCTCGCAAAGTGATCATTTATCAATTTAAAAAGTAAAATCGTCCACAATTACATACAACGCTAAACCGGAGATCGCTTTATTTCTTCTAATTTTCCTATTTATTGCTTTCTTCATTTATTTTCGAAAACACTGATTCCTTTCAAAATTTCTAACCGCCGCCCCCTGACGCGCATGACGTCCTTATTCTAACTAAAGATCAGAGCTTGCCGATGTTAACTTTCGACCCGACTGATGCCAGTTGGTGTTACGGCGTCGCTCTTCTTTCATAGAAGCCGGTCCAGCTGCTCTTCATACAAGCCGGTCTAGCAGGATAAATGTCATAATTTAGTATTTTCAGTGTTGCGTGAAGGCAGGCGAAACGGCTTGCACAATATCTGCACCATTCCGGTTGCCATTGTCACTTGTCACCATTCCTGGTGACAAGTTATGTTAGCAATCCCAGACACAACGTACAATCCTAACCACAAAGAGTAGATAATGAACCACAATTTCTTTGAACTTCTGACCTTCCTATATTTATAATCTCTTGACCCAGACGTTTATTAAATCCTTAAAAAAATGTAAAGGATGCTCAGCTACGTCATCAAGTTATTATATTGCTTCTTCAAGAGCCTTTCGTTGTCAATCAAATTCTCCTCGTCTGTCATAAGGTTAATGAAAAACCAAAAAGGAAACAAATTATGAGCTAATCAAAAGACTGATATCGGTATTTGAAGCTCGCAAAATCGTGTAAGTTTTCGCCTTGTTTCATCACGTTTCTAATTGGAGGGAAATCTTTGGATAATGAGTAACAAGACTGGGACAAGAAGTCCAGCGGCAAGATTAAGAAGTCTGGCTTTGAGTAGGTCTGTTGGTAGACCAAAACTACGAAAAGCTTTGTCGGTAAACAGCGAAAGTGAGCTATTAAAGGCAGTCGCTGGGACTTCACTTACGACAGGCAAAGATTTCGGCGTGAGCAAAACCCCGCCTTTACAAAGGAAAGCACTAAGTGCCTCTGAAAATGTACTTTCAATCAAGTTACAAGCCAGTTCATTTAAGGAATACGACAGAGAAATCACGACTTCAAGCAACCATGCGGAAAACGTCGGTAAACAGCCAAGGAGTGGCAAAGAGTATCAAAAAACAAACAGTTTGGATCGTAAGGATTTAAACTCGAAAATACAAGAGATAATTCGCCAGAGTTTGTCTGCGCACCTCGAAAGTATGGAATACAATCACGAAATCTGCGGCAGCAAGTGTAGAACTATAAGCCAATCAATAGAGAAAGGTGTCAAATCTCTTTACAATACTCAATACAAAATTACAGCTCTGGTTTACATCGGCGCTATTCGAGACCGAGGAATTGAAATCTCTAGCCAATGTGTTTGGAATCCGAAGACAGATAACTTTGCGATGGCAACACTTGACACCAATTCGCTGTTTGCAACAGGGATTGTTTTTGCTACGTTATTCAATGATGACTAGATGTTTGCCCGCCGATTTTTAGTTCGTGAGGGAATCTTGGCTCTCCCGCAGGAGATGTTATTATTTTTTCACTTCAAAAATATCAACAATAGAAAGAAACAGTGGGAGACAAGTTGAAAGAGTTATTCATTGATAGGGAGATAATTGATGGTGCGATTAAAATTAAAAATGAGAATGCTGTTGTAAATTGTTTGAAAATAGGCAGCGAGGCGCTTCATTAATCTTAATTGTTTCTCAAGGTTCAATATCTCAGGAGAACAAAGAACTAAGTTCTCGAGTCCTTTCTTTCAAAGAAAGTCATGAAGTGTAAATGGTCAGAACTTTTAATTTCAGTTTTAAGTTTTCAATGTCAGTATTTCGAGACTGCGTAGAACCAACAGGAGTTTTACAGTTTATCGTATCAAACTCAATAAACAAATTAAGGCCATATTCTAAAGCCAAAATGCATTTGTGCAACCTATTTGGATAATTTATTCACGTTGAATCCACTGTTTGACTTTTTCGAAAGCGAGACTCATCCACTGTGAAAAGATTGAAAGTTTATTCAGTTGACTCTTCATGGTCCTTAGTGAGTGGTTCTTTTAAAGACAAAACAAATGATGGACAGGCAGACAAAGAATCGCAAACATCTCGGATTTACTTCATGTAAGTCAGATATCGTACATTTTTGTTCTTGGACATTATCTGTTCCTCAAAGCTCACAAGTTTCCTCGAGCTTCGCTCTCAGAACTGACTGTTCGCATCTTGTTTTGGATAATGTCCGCGGACAAACCGCCGCGCATGTTAAATGGAGGCTATTGTTTATATTTCCCAATAGGCAATATTTCTTCGAAACCAGAGGAAAACTCAAACGAACTGAAAAACAGGAAAAAGTCTAACAGAACCCAGTTGTTCAAAGGAGAGATAATTCTATTCAACGGATAAATCGCTATCCAACGAACAAGTTGTAAACAAAACGTACTGCGTTATCCACTGAATAGAGATTGATCAAGCACCATTCACCTCCAATTCGGTGAATAATTACTAGTTCTTCCATTGATAGGACTTTTCCTACCCTATATCAGCAATTGGTGCACCCGGGGGTGGAAGTAACGGAAACAGTTAAATAAATTTGTGTACCGCTTTCTCATGTCTGAAGCTCTATATGTGGCCACCGACAACCTGGCGCTGTATATTGGCTGGTCTCTGAGTTGTCTGCCAGATGCAGCTGGAGAGCAATTCAGCGCCCCCCTTCTCCAATAAGCTATCCCTTATAAGCGCCAAATTTGTCTTTGATGATAATTGCCCCTATTCTAATAAGCGCCCCTGTTGAGAAAGCATCCTCATTACAATGAGTGCCCTTATACAAATAGGCGCCCCTGTTCCAATAAACACCCCTAATCTGTTTCAGTAATAACACTGTTAGAGTACAATACATTAAGGTCAATTGATGTCCATCTTCCTTAAATTGCTCAATTAAAGCTTCACAACTTAAGAGTGGTCTTTGTCTCAGTCTCTCAACTATTCTTTCGCCGTGAGTGCACAGTTCCTTCAAACGAAAGATCCCGTCTTAAAATTTTACGACGATTGCTTGGTTAGTCGTTCTGGCAAGGAAGATTCCAGGGAAAACAAGTCCGTTTTGCGGTCTTTTCGATCCTAAGTCCTAAGTCCTAAGTCCTTTTCGATCCTAAGTAAACATAAAAGCTTTTCTGCTGTTTCTCAAAAGAGATTAAGCGCCCTGTTTCAGAAAAGCATTCCCCCCATGAGATACCAAAAGTAAATAAGTGCCTCGGAGCTTTCCAGAGGATACATACATCACTCTGTGTCGATGATATCTGGTGCTTCTGTTTTCTACTTGGCAAAGAGTTATTATAGTAATGGTAGTCTGGGCTCTGTTAACATAGCGATTAGTGAGATTACAGCTGCATTTTTAGATATATCTAACATACTAGGAGAGGAAGGAAGTTTTTGAGTTTCAGGGAGGCACCAGTTTTCACAGACATGAACGGTCGTCAAGTAAAGCATTCCAATAAATCAACAATGAAAGTAGAAACTCTTACCTAAGTAAGTGAAGGAAATCAAGGTGGAATGAATCAAAAGTTGCAGTTTCGTTTAAGTTTTTGACATATGTTAAGTTTGCAATGTTTCAGATATGCTTTTTACAACGGCTGCGGAATCGGCGGTTAAAATTCAGCTAACTATGCCGGTTCATCAGGAATGACAAAAGTTTTACATCACGCAGACTTTCTATACGTATAAAAAACTGAGATTCTAGGAGCGCACTAGAAAACCGATAGAAAATTGAGGTTTGCTTTTGTAAAAGCATTACACCGCACTTTCTATCGGCTTACCGGCGTAACAACCCACTTGAGCTGTTGGAAGGACATTCAAAAAGTTTTTAAAGCACTCACCTCTGGATCATGATTCCCATTACTTTCTCTTGCTTCTACCCCACTGCGACCCTGTTTCCATGGTCCTCTACTTCGACGAACGAAGTCAATTTTCTGTCTTCTTAACCTCAACCTCAAGCTTGCTTGATACTGACACATCTACAATCACGGACCTAGCGCGTCCTGAAAGCCGCGGTCACACAGTCACGGTTTTAGGTTTGTCTCAACTTAGTCGATGAAATGTCACTCCAAATGTTTTGAACAATCATTTCAATTTGTTATACGCAGGGGTGATATTGGCTAAAATAAAAGGCTGCTGCTCTGAATAATTCATGTATGACAGGCAGCTAACATTACACAACTTCCCGCTGTTTGTGTTCTTTCAAAATTTGCAGATTCTGATATTAACTCCAGATTTTAATTCACCTGCTTCTCTCATTTTGTTACCATAACAACAACTGCCAAAATCTATCTTCTCTCACTACAAATAATGAGCGGCAGAAAACGTTTCGTTCAGGATCATATTTCATCATTTTGCAATGGTTAGCGTTACAAGGAATGAATCTACTGAAATCCTGGCGAGGAAGTTTAACTGATATTTGTCTGATGGAATGCTAATTCATCAGTTTCGGAATATATTCTTAAAGTCATTCTGTGTTTTCTAATGGAATCAAATCGGCAAAATCGTCGAAATATGAAGGACAGTACGACAAGTAACCGAACTTAACTGCGGCAAAAAAAATCATGGCAGCTTTAGTTAAGGCTATCGAGCGGAAGAGATTCAAACAAGCCAAATTACTTTTGAAACTTGGCGACAATGTTAATCAACAGGAACAATTATCAGGAAAAACTCCTCTCTTAGCGCTTTGTTTCTTAGAGGACGAGAATCTAGCGTGTCGTATGACAAGGAAGCTACTTCTTAGAGGAGCAGACGTTTGCATGCAAGACGAACATGGAATGAGTCCACTCATGCAAGCTTGTAAGCTGGGTAAAGAGAAACTAGTCAAAGTACTTATTCAGAGCGAAGAGTGTGATTTTGCTGCTGCAGACAAAATGGGGAATACTGCGCTTATTTACTCCGTTGATGCTGGTAACGCTGTTATTACTAAAGCTCTCACAGAAGCAATGAATTCCTACGATATACGAGCTACTGATAAAGCCAACAATAACGGTGAAACTCCTCTGATTAGAGCGATGAAACTCAAACGAGATGACTGCAAGGAAGTGTTATTAAATGATGGGAAAGCGTCCCCTTCAGCCCGCGATTTTGATTTAAAACTAAACGCAAAAGAATGGGAGAGGTATCTAAAAGATATGGGCGAGGATGAAATAAAACCTGTAGAGGATAAGGCGAAAAGAGTCCGCTACAGGGAACAAAATAGAAGTTCATGTGTGAAGTCAAGGTTCTCATCCATAATTGATTATGGACAGGATGTGAAGAGTTCGACTAAGCTAGGAACACATTCAGTCAGCTCTAATCACAACTGTAACGATATAAATTCTACCAAGAGGTTTCCCCAAAGGACAAAGTCTGCTTCTTTGGTGAGTTGTATCAACACTAACAAACGCCAATCGACATCTAAGATTTTCCATTTGGAGTCAAGTGATGCTGTAAGGAAAATTACTGAAATGAATTTTTCAGAAAAGGGAAACAGTCGATGCTTTGAAAAACAGACGAACAAAGGCGAGATGATTTCAAACCAAAACAGTAAATCAATGAGAACCCCAGGAAGGTCATTCGAGCGTCATAAATTGAAGACATACCCAGTGAAGGAAATGCTTCCTTCGACTGCTGCTGTCACAAATAAACAAAAGATGGCATATGAAAAGACTGGTGAAGACAGTGGAGACGGGTTATCTTTTGGTCAAAGCCATATACCTCAGCTTTTTAATCTGATGACTCAGCAAAGGACCCATTCATTCCGGTCTTCGGCAAAGACACCAGCCCCCGGAGAACAGAGAAGCAAGTGGTCGGTCCGTGAAGGGAAAGAAAATAACAGGAGAATATTTTCTGGAAGGAACTCAACCGCGATGCAAAAGCAGTGTCTCTTAGGCAGAAGATGGTCCACAGCTGAGTCTTCCCTTATTGCGCTCGAACGATTTCCCTTGCTTTACAGTCGTTCGGATTTCCAGGCGTTAACTCCAGACAACCGCGTGACTTTGGAAAAATCAGCTTTGAAAACAAGACCAAACTCTGAACTATCAAGCCTAGAAGAGCTAGTTACAAAAGGAAAGAATTTAAACAGAAAATCAAAATCACCAACTATATCTCCTAATTTTTTGAGGCTAAGCATACCTCTCTCAGCATCCCTTCCTGACAGCAGTGGTCACGGACGGATAAAATCTTCCAGACCAAGATATACAAAGCGCAATAGTGACCCACTCCCAGCAGATAGAACCTTATTAAGTGGGTCGTTGAGGACAGTGACTGCAGGCCCAGTGATCGAGGAGATAGAGGAAGGAGGGGATAACGAGATATGAGAAAAATTAATGGAATGTGGATTATCGAGGATACGATAATCTGAAGGTCGTGAGAAATCGTAACTCCATCCGGAGTTAAAATTTCTTCGTACAGCTTGACTCTGTAAAGGAAAAAAAACCTCTTAACTTACCATGGTACTTGGTCAAAATTATGTGATAATATGCACTTACTATTTGAAAACCAAGTGTGAGCATGCAGAGAAGATAATCTATGCCCTCAATTAAAGTAGTTTTCGGAACGCATAGCACCTTGCCTTGCACAGCACGCTTAAACTGCGAGAAGACAGTAACTGTAAGAACAGTGTAGCATGTGCTGAAAGAAAGGATAAAGAAAAGTTGCGATTAAATGTTCAGCCACCGAAGTTTTTGTTGTGCTATCTTCATCTCACATTTTTTACTGAAGTAATCTTCATAAAAAAAAATGATTTAGGTTTTGTGTGTCAATTTCTGTAGCTGGCTGACATAAAATGGGGTAAATGAGTGCGGAAAAGGAAGGACGAAAACTTTTCTTGAATGGTAAGCCAAGCTACACGGATTGAAACACCTAAATTTATTTAGTCTGTGATAAATTGGTTAGACGATGAATCAAAGAGAAGCAGCTGACGGCAAGTGCTGAAATCATTTATAGCAGTAACTTTGAGAGACCGTCCAAAGATCGGAACAGTTTAGTGAAGTAACCTTTAGGGGATAAAAGTTCTGCTGATGTAAATCGGAAAGAAATGCTCTGAAAGTAATAGAAGTGCTTCAGGATAATCACTCACCTAAGACAGAGAGAGTAATGTGCAGATGTATCGGGGCCAGGGAGAAAAAAAATCGTGAATAACTCGAGATGGACTAAAGTGGAAAATCGCCTTGCTTTTGACTTGGTCTAGACACGGATACATTCTGCATCTCTCTATCAAACATGACTGATTTCTGTAGATCACAGGCTCCCTCGCTCTCTCGCCGGGCCTTAAACCTGTTAATTATCTATGTCTGAATCAGGGCCTACCTTTCATGGTCAGCAAAAAGGTCAAGTTTTGCGTTCAGGAAATGAAGACATTAATCAGAACAAATTTCACACATCAGTACAAATGGATCAAATGATTTTATACAAAGGATTGATTGACAGAAGTGCAATATTGAGAACTAATGACGAAGGCTTTCGTTGAGCGTTCCTCCTCTCTTCTTTACCTCGTGCATTGTCGTGAAAACCAGAAGTCTTTACTGCATCGAAACGTGACCGATTTTAAGTTTGACTGACGTAAGAGGCTTTAAACCTCATTTAGTAAGGTGTAATACGAGAGCACACCAAATGAAAGTCGCCAAAGATACATAACTCCCTGACTTAACAAGTTGTAGACAAAGCTCTTCATTCATATCGGAGAAATAAAATTTCCATGATTTTGTTGGAGCAAGAAACCTATTGCCCCAATCACACCAAACCTAAACATGTTTTAAATCTATTTTGGTCATCATAGTTCATCATCCAAACAAGCTGCATAAACCGATTTTTATCAACTTCAAATTTAGCACGTTGAAAATACAAGTTAATGAGTTCTTGAATCCTGTGGAAAATCCAGTTTTTCAGTTCTATGTTTGTGATCTTCATTTACTTGAACCCGGTTTAACGAAACAAGTTTTGCTGACGAATAGGATTGAGCAAGTCATACTTACGCCAGTTGTCTGCTTAAAAAAAAATCCACTCTTTAAAAAACCGGAAACTTGCTTCATGAAAACCGTCCCATTGTTGTTACTCTGCGTACAAAGCATAAACAGTTGCTTGAGCAAATAATGACGAATTCGTAAAGGAAACAGTAACGAAATCGTCAAAGTTCTCATTCCAGGCACATCTGCTTGTAATTCGTATTCCCTGACCTTTTTTCTCGCCAATGTGCACAACAACAACTAGTTTGTATCGCGGGCATAGCAAACTTTTTACCTTCTCTTTGATGAGCCGGCAAATATTCTGACTGTGGTCTTTGCACTTGGAACTATCATAATCTTCGTTCTTGAAGCGCTCTTTCAAAACATCTGCAATTATGGTTTCCACTGTTTTAGTTGGCATTGGCGTTTTGGCATCTGGCAACAATTTGTAAGTGTTTTCATAGAAATTTATCCCGCTTGAAAACTCGCTGTCGGCAACGGAGGCGTCATCGAGGCGATCTGTTAGATGAGTGTCGTTGCGATTCATTGCCGACTTCTGGGATGGAACTTCTTTGGAGTCCAGTTTAGAAGCAATTCCCAGTTTGAGCTTGGAGTGTGGTTGAGGACTTTTTCCTGAAAGGGTAACAATTCCTCGCTTAGTCCCAGATGCCGACATTTTAAAAATCTTACGGCAGATGTATAATAACTTTGGTTGCTTTTTGTTTTGAAGAAAACGAAAGCGTAATTTTGATTGTTTTCTCTCTCTACAATCAAACACTGCCATTGGAAATAATTAAACCTCAAACTATTCAATTCGGTAACAAAGCCATGTAAAGGGACTCAAAGAGCTCGATAATAAAGAGTTATAAGTATGTTAATCAAAATGGAAAGATCGTGACGCTAAATAAGTACGGGCTTTGTGTGATGAAAGTTCTCTTACAATTGGTTTTATAGGAAGATGAATGTTTGAGTGGAATTGAATAAGTTTTTAAACAATTCACTGATTGTATTGAATGCCGGCATTCCGTATAAAGTCGTTTAATTCCTTCTAAATAATCAAACGCCTGCATGGAAAAAATAATAAAGTAGGAAGGGAAATGTTATCATATAGGCATGTCTCCTAACATCATTCATCGGAATCCTTTAACTCAAATCATGATTTGCAGACTAGAATAATCCACCTTTAGGATAGATCATAGGAGGTTTATTTTTCTTTTTTCAGATCAGTTATTGTGTTGTGGACAGTAGAATAGTTTATTTAAGGAAGACACAGTAAGTGCTTTTGATAATACCCTCTTAGGTTGATATTTTTTCAAGGTAAATCTCATAAGCTCGTTTTACCTCATCAGTAGCAAGAAAGACTTCCACAATTATAAACTCAAAAAGGCGTGTAGAACCTGTCTCAATATTACAAGCAGTTATGGAAGTCAGCTGTTATCCGTGATTCCCTTTTAAGCTCTTAAGCCATTGTAGGATGAGCTTCTTGTGTTGTCTATAAATCTGTTTGGTGAAAATGAAATCAAATAAACCCAAAGTTATATATACCAATTGTATGTGAGTTTGGAGAGTTTAAAACAGAATTAGAGGCGAGACCTTTTTCTGCTTATGGTGTGTGGCTGAGGGGTTACGCTGTTTCAAGATATGATGACGTGCACATTGTCCTGAAAAATTACACGCTTTGTTCATACGTGTAAAATATATGCAGCCACATGATCAGATTTACTCATCATCTCAGAGCCCACTATCTCTTTTTGCTAAACAAGAAACGCGTGCTGGTGACCAAATGTCACAATGGCTGTGCAAATGGTATATAAAAACCCGGTTTAAAACGTTTTTGAGACGCGGACGGCAAGTGGGATTAAGATTAAAACTAACCTTGGTGCACTTTAACTACCATAAGGTCTTCGTTTTAGCAATTTAAACCAAACTGTGCGGACCAAAAAAGTGTCAGTAATGAGCACCAAGAATAAGTACTTTTAATTTCCACCTGCCGTCCGCGTCTCAAAAACGTTAGGTGCTTACTGAAGCTCCCTTTTTTTAATGGTAGAAATAGATGTCATGTGGTTTCTGGGGAATATTTCTCCTTTAAGATAGAAACTGACGGCCTCGTTAATAAATATTTTGAATCCTTTCTACCGTTAAAATGGATTAAGATCAAATGGATCTTTTTAAGTAGCAAAAATGGGCCAGTGACTCCTTCGTTCATTTTCTACAGCCCCCCCCCCCCCTGAGGTTCCTGTTGCCTGTTGGCTCTCGCATTTTATTAGTCTGTCACAGTTATGGTTTCATTGAAAAATGTGTGCCTGCGAATTGATAAATCAAGTATAGTGCGTTGTTCAACTCTTCTGAAAATACATTCTCTTACCCGCGGCATGCTGGTTTATAATGAAATTAAGCAAAAACTTCGTCTTTCATGTAGACGCACATGTCGGTAAATCTGGAGCAAAACGTGCAGCTTTACTTTTTACCAACCTTGTGGAAACAAGTATTTGGACTGTAAAGGGGAAGTTCAAGCTGAGTTCTGCACTTGGAATAAGTGATCCAAACTATTTGAGCTTACCTGAGTTTTCCCAGCATAAAGCAGTTAGGAGTATTGCCACTCCTCCCCATGGATGGGTGTTAGGCCATCCCAGGTATCCACATTTTGTCCACGGTACTCTGACGGTTAATTAACCAGCACCCATATTTATGCTCCCGGAAATGTTGATCATAACAAACACAACGCATTGACCCCGGTTTGAACTTCAACCCCAATGTTTTGACTCGGAGTCTGGGGCGCTAACCCTTAGACTGAGTCAGTGTTGAGTGTTTTAGAGTGTTGAGGCGTGGTCTAATTGCCTTGAGGAGACTATTATCCCATTCACACCAGCAAAACATGTTTAATCAAACCGAGTTACACTGAATGAAAATCAGGAAGAGAGTCGGAATTAAAAACTTAATTTTCCATTGGATTCAAGTATTTACCAGCTTGTATTTTCAATGTTCGACATTCTACTAAATACAGAGTCGACAACTATCGGTTTATGCAACTTCTATGAAGAAAACAGCTTAAAAACACGTTTTAGCTTTGGTGTGAAAGGGGTATAAGATTGTTGTTAAATAATTCGAAAATTTTTGTTCTAATTTTTGTGAATTTCTTGGAAAAGTTTGGAAAAAGTAGAATTAAGACATGGCGAGATTAGATATTCAATTAACAGTGACTTCCGCTCCTCACAATTCGTTCAGACATAATAGTTTATTGTTTAATATAGGTTTGGAATGGTGTCAAGCTCATTGAGCTGTTGACTGTGGAAATCTTAATTTTCATCGTCTACCTTGATTTTAAAGAGTACACTCGACCAAGAGCCGAGCTAAAAAATTTTTCCTCTAATTACTAAAGAGAATTGTTCACCAAAAAAGAAAATTAAGTTTTTTAGAGACATAAAAAGTTTATCACGAGGTAGCAGTCACGAGAAGCCTTAGGGAGGCTTTCAACTGATTACGGTAACCGCCAAGGTAGTCCTAAAAGTGTCTAAAATAGGGAAACGGAAGGAAACGGCCGACGTATAGTTCTAGCTAAGTAAGAAAGATTGCTTTGTAACAATGTACAATACAACAATTATTGCTACAGCTTTTGTTATTCCAATTATGGCACAAGCTTACAAAAAACTGTTTTTGTTCAGTTTTCTTAATTACGACAAGGACGCACTTACTGAATAGCTTAAAGACCTCCATAGAATTACGGCGTTTTCCATGTAATTAGAGGCTATTAGATGTCAATTCAACAGGCGTGGTATTCTGTTTCAAGTATCATCGATTATATTTGTTTTTCCTTTTTTATTTTGCAGTCACAGGAAGCTACAAGAAACTGTTTCTGAGTTGTAGTCGGGCAATTTTTATCAAAAGGCATCTGCCTGTCGGTTTCAATTTAAAATGAAAAAAAAAAGTCATGGCGTCTAATTAGGGAAACCATAATGACGGTGACTTTTTTGTTCAACTATAATTGCAAACCTCTTGTTAATACTTTTTGTCCTTCCACGATAATGGTTTTAAGCGAATCAGATAAAAACCGCTTAGCAATTTCCATTTAATTGAGGTATTCATAATATCTTTTGTCCATTGTTGAGTCGCCATCCTATTATTCACGTCTTTTGTCAGCCCTGAGTCCTTCACCCACGCTAAGTAAACATTGTTTGACCTGTTTTGCATTTGTCTTATTCCGAAACATGGGAAAGTTCTAGTTAAATGATAAAAATATCCAGGATAAACTGAACAGCATGGTGCACTTGGTCAATTACTACTACGATCTCTGAATAAGGTTTGTTTTTCACTTATTTTTGGATCAAAGGTAAAGCGATTAAAAGAGAAAGTAAGCCAGTCAAGTTCAGGACATCTGCACATTATGTATACATGTTACTTTATGCTCAATATTCACTGGATAGTTTGCTCAAGTTGAGTAAACATTCATTTAAAGAAAGGAAGAGTTGACTCTTCATTTGTATCGCTTAGCAACGGAAAGGAAAGTTTACATAGATAAAGCCGATAATCTTATCACAGTTTTAAGTGCTGACGAAAGATCAAAGAGGGTTGTCTTCGCTCGTCCTTGTGTCTCCAATCAACTTCTCGTAGTGAGCATAAATTGGAGATTTATAAATCCGCCTTTAAGGCGAAAAGGGTAGATTGACTTTTATAATAATCGAAGGGATGTTACATACCCCCCAAGTACTGCTGTGAACTAGATTTGTTGTCGATTTTATTGGTTTTAAAGTCATGGATTCACAAATCCACCGCATCAGCGCCGTAGAACATCGGCCACCTTCGTTGTCTGTATCTTCAGCGCAAGGAGAAACAGAGAGAAGGCGAAGATCGTCAACTAACGCGTCCCAAAATTCTGGTGTCAATACCTTTTCTCCTGACAGGAGCGACCGAAGAAAACCATCCAGTACAGCGACGCCATTCTTGTATTCCTCCAGCGGTCGCAAAGTATCTAGCAGTGTTTCTCCAAGGTTCGAGCCCATAGACACTGCAGCCTCGAAACACAAGCAAAGTGAAGTCTTACCGACCTATCGAATGGCACCGCAGGCCGACAGAAAATTCCGACCTCAAGTTGTCAAGAAAATTATGGATGAGGCTTTTGAAGAGAGCCTTGACGGACTGAACGGGTATGATTCAGTGAAATGTCGGGCGCTCACTACGCAAGTCTGCGAAGATATCAAACAAAGAGTAAAATGGCTTAATTTTGAGCGCTGTAAGCTAATTTGTGTGGTTCATATTGGCTCGGTGAACGGTCAAGGTATGAGAGTAGCAAGCCAGTGTCTGTGGGATCACACGGTGGATAATTTCGCTTCGACAACATATTGTAAGGGCGACATTTTTGCGGTTGCGTTGCTCTTTGGAGTTTACAAGGAGTAGTTCAGCGACCGCTGTTCTTTTCGTATAGGTTATTGTTCGTTTATAAACTGTTGTTGCTAAGATCAGGGGCTTTAACTGTAAAAGCGTTAATATACAGCTTAATATATACAGTACAGTCATAAAGAAAGGTTAGGAAGCGCTAGCTGATATCATTCGGCAGCCTACTGAGTAACTAAATAACACCTTCAGTGATAATTTCCGATATCTTTGAAAACCGCATCAAAATCCTTAGGCTAGAATAATTTCAATTCTTATTTAACCTTTATCGTTACTGCAATGAGCCCTTGTGCAAATTGGATTTGCAATGAAATGATTTCTTTTCCAATCTGATTTTTCCGAATTGCGTTTCAACATTCCATTGTTACACTCCTCACGTATTGACGGATTACAACCGAGCTACTTAGTGTAGAATAACATATTCAGCCCGTGCTATGGTTAGAACAATGGGTGCAAAGCACATTTCAAATCACTGTAAGAAGATAAATGATAAATATACGATATATAGATAAATAAACATCTGCGCATATCATAAAGAATCAAATTCTCCGATACACCAATTACAGGTTGAGATTCAAACACAAGGAAAGGCACCACTGGATGCAAAGAGGCGGAACCTTTTTTAGATTAACCTCTGGTAGCGCCGATAATCCTGACTATTTCCTTAATCGCGTTCAAGTTCTATGTAAAGATTCATTTTTCCTTTTACAAGTTACCTTCTTAAACAACGATTTCTCTGCAGACGGGTCAGCGGTACCTGGAAATAAAGGCAAGTTGCATGAGAGAAGTAAATGTTGCAAATTTACTTCGAACCTGGGAGAAAGAAATTTCCTAATCAATCAAGAGTATGCAAAGCCCAGAGAACTGAACATTGAAATTTGAACTGTTTTTCTGCCAACCATTTCCCTAAAAGACCCAAAAAGAAGACATGGGAAAAGAAATTTTCTTGAAAGTTTCTCAGGCCACAAGTTCCCCTAATGATTATGTATCTTTTGCCTTCTTTAACATGTGAGTTTCGCATGGATAACAATGAACAATTTGCTTATGCTGTTAGAGAGGAAAGAAATATGCCCATATGTGCAGAACAGTGCACATGCGGATAATAGCCTGAGTTCCTAGCCATATTAATACTAAAATAGACCATCAAGTTGACACTATAGTGTACACGTGGATACACTGTTCAGAATGTAATTAGATTACCGTACATCCTCCAGCATTTATTCAAAATAAAAAAGAAAGGGCGCTTATTGGAAGGAGGGTGCTTAATCGAGGGGGACCCTTATTAAGAAACTATGAAGCTGAACTGATGCCGTTGTCGTTGAAGCTTAAAAAAATTATGAAATGGCGATTGAAACAGGTTTTCCTTGTGTTCCTACTATTTAAGAAAGTGCAGGAAGAGGGGCGCTTGTTTGATACTATGGCCTAGGGGTTGGGTGCTTACTTGGGGGAGGGTACTTATTAGAGCGTCAGCGCTGGTTTAAGGAAATACGGTCTGTAAAGTCTCAAGTTGTACAAATAAATTATTAGGGTGTTTTAGATTCATGTTTGTTTCTGAATGCGTGTGACCGCAAACGTCTAGGAGTCACTTGACTAGACTCCAGAAGCTCACATGTTGACTTTTTTCAAGTGAAAGCCGACGTCGATCTAAAATCTGAAAGTCTCGAAACTCCTTATTACAAACTGCTGAAGGCGGTTTGACGTTAGCGGTGAACACACCAAACGTGGATCTAAAACTCTCTATTTATATTTAATTCCTACCGCCCTTGAAATGAGTAAGTTTTCTAAGGGGCAGCATCAGTAGTTTAAAGTTTGATTGACACGTTATTCCGCGTTTCACTTCCGGCACAAAATTTGACGTCATTCCTACAAATGTCGCATACCCCGTATTTAACAATCGGTCCGCCATCTTTAATAAGATGCATTCTCTCCCAAACTCCTGAGGCCATGCTTACGCCACGAAATTTGCATATCAGGTCTCCACATTATTCGCTCCTTTGCGTCGCATATCCACGAGTAAAAACGATAAATCTTGCATCTGGAAAAGGTGCGTTTCCGTCATGTTGTCTTAAAATGGCAAAATTAGATAATTGCTATACCCCTCTGAGACCTCTGAGTCTCGTTGAAAAAACAGATACCATTTGACAATGCCACATACTGGCATCTGACAGAGGCCGCGAGCGGTCTTTAACTCGTTGCGCCAGCCCTAATTGCTTTCAGCGCAGAAGGAAGCACCAATCCTGCGTTGCATGCCTGCTGTCTTCAACCGTAGGGGTTTCAGGGTCGGTTTTCAAAATGGAGGCGGGAGTATCAGATAATCTATAAGTTGGCATGGCAACTGACGGTGTGTACATATCCGTAAAGTCAGCAACAAATCACTAGAGACTGTTTATTTTTGGATGTTGGCAAAATGTTAAGAAACACAAAAACTCTCAATGGCCATCTTCACGCCAAGGACTTGCGAACTCATAAAGTCCGTATGCAGAAAGCCGATGGAGATTGGGGAAACTAGTGTGGAAATAACAGAGCATAGTAATATAAAGACAAATTTGCAGCTTCTTATCATAATGTCTCAATAAAGGCTTTGAACTTGAGTTTGTTTTGAATTATATACTTGTGAGGGTGCCTCAAGGTTTCCTGTGAAAATTCAACGGGCGTAACGACTAAAATAAGTAAAGTTACAATTTTTTTAGCATTACAATCCAGCTTTTATTTTGGTTCTCTTTTACCAAATATATTTGACCAGAAAAATTCGATTCAAAGTTGCTGTTTCTGTTAATCATCTTTCATGACGCTTAGTACAAGTGTTTCCTGTTACGTCTCTGACAGCAGGTATATTGTGAATTCTTCACCAGCTAAATTTAGTGGTTTTTCTTTCTGTTTTTGTACTCAAGCTTAGGAACTCCAAATGCATCCTTTTCGCTAGAATACAAGACAAGTTCATGGTTTAAAAGTTTTCTATTACTATTCATAATTTTATAGTATGGACAGTGAATTAGTTTCATTATGCAAATCCGCAATTGATGGGGTGGTTTCCTCTGAGAAGAAAACTAAACGAAGTGACTTCCGAAATTTGTGGCAGGAAATTCGTGCGCTTCAAGTTTGCTGTAATAAATTTTTTGGTTTTCTTTTTAAACAACAGCCTTAAAGCTAGAAAACGGAAAAATCGAAAAGCGCTAAGGTTTGTTGGTGTCATTAACTCTTTCAGAAATACTGTTTGAAATTAACCGAGCCACCTTAGGAGATCAACAACGGTTCAATAATTTGGTTTTTACTCCTAAAAGGCATTGTTATCATGAAAAGAGAATAGAAAAAAAAAACCCTCAAGAACCAGTTGCACGTCTCGTTCACAAAATTGGTATTATTTGCCGGTTTTATTTATGCGTTCCAGGGTAGAAATGGATCTTTGAGAAGAAGGTTGCAAGATTATACCGATTGTGTTTTGGAGGCAAACCACAACAAAAACATTTAGCACTTTTTGACACCTGCAGTAATAAATATTTCAGTAGTTTGTTTTTTAAGACAATAAGCGGTTTGCTAGCTTCTTTTTAAGACTTAAATGACCAAAATATTAGTTGAGCAGAATATAAATGAAAAGAAATGTTGAAAAATGAAGGAAACTTATCACGGCTTATGAATTTTTTTTGCAACCTTAACTGATTTAACACTTCACTTATTACTGAGTTAAAATCTCTATGTCCAGCCTTTTGTTTCTGTTTTTCGCAATAGGAACAAAAGTTCCTATTTTTCCTCAGGGTAAAAGACTGCTGTTTCCTGCAAACCTCCGATAAAAACAAAAGAATTTCCTTTCTACATATGTAATTCATTTTCTTGTTTCCCTCTAAAAATTAAACGTTTAAGGCAGCTTTCAAAGGATGAAAAATATTGCACTTATTTTGAGTCTTTTGATGTGCGCTGCGCCGGCTCCCAACTTTGTACTGACCTAACATAGCAGACAGACCACAGAAATATTATCAATTGTATATCTGTAGAAATTGCGGAAAAAAAGCTTCACCCAAATAGGAAATTAATATTCTCTTTGCCGAAAGATGTATATTTGCAACATTGATTTATGCTTGTCGGCAAGATAACAAATTTCAAGAACAGTTTTCATCACAGAAATATTCTAGAAGGAAATTAAGATGCGATATTTATTTAAGTTCCAGATGACAGGTGTCTGCTCTAAAACTGACAGACATAAAGCAACTCTTTTAACGGACGATTTGTGATCGTATATCACCACGAAACCTGTCATTTTACAAAGGAGCGTTAATGTCTTAAACTGTACTGTTGCGAACTAAATTGAAGCTGAATGGTTAGGGAACTTTCGGGATCTGACAAAACAGAGTGCGCAAAATGGATGTGATATAATAACAGTGATATTTGAGAGCGCACTACTTATCGAGTTTTGCTTTCTAACGTAACAGCTCCGATTTAAAATGAAGTTTATGCATTTTTTCCGTCTAATTTAGCGGCAGTCTACAGCCTATTGATTGCACTTTACTTTTGCTCTAAAGCTAGACTTCGATTTTGAATATGCTATATTTTTTCTACGTGAGATACATAAATTAGGCTAACAATTTATGAATGGTAATCCTTTTTTTTTCCTTCCTATGTTTTTCGTGAAACTAACTGTGTTGTCACAAATTCAATCATAAACAATACCACCGACCGGGAGCAAACCGGGGTTATCTGTTTTGTCAGCCTCTAAGTACCTATAAACGCTGGTTTCCTAATTTTCTTGAACAATATCTCACCATGCATTTAGCGCGGTTGTTTCGTGCAGACAATGAATTTCCAGTTTCCTTGAACATTTATACCGTGCTGATATGCAGATGGCAAAATTCGCCAAACAAATTTAATCCAAACTCATTTTCAATGGCGAAATGGGCAATAAGATACATACTTCATTATGAAATATTGCAGTTTGTAATTTTACGGTAAAAGCAAATTTGTTCAAATCGCAAAAGAATAACATTAACATAACCCTTCCAAACGCAAAAACTGTAATCATTAAAATATTTTTCTTCGTTTCAAGCACTCTTAAATGTTCCATTAATTTCATGTTCTTTGAACTTGTTTCCTTGTCAAAGGAAGAGAGGTATTTTCTATAACGTGAACAAATTCAATTTTCCCGGTGCATTATAACGGGGTCAATATTTTATTTGAAAGAAAACGGGGCTGTTCGTCGATTTTCTTGTGGTGTATTCTTTGTCGACCTTAATCAAGTGATTTTCGCGCTTATTCAGTATAAATGCAAAATGTGATGTCATTATTTTCTTATACCTACTGAGCATTTTCGTGTCTTATTGTTACAACATACTGTGTTCATTCAAATTTAATAAAGCTATGGTTCCTTAAAGTCGGCCAAGCTCATAACCAATCATAATGAACGCATTACAGCTCGCACGCTAGGAAGAAATCTCTCGCTCATGAACCTCAAAAGCTAAAATCTAAAAACAATTTAACCGATATCACAGCTTTAGCTCCACCGCCCGAACATGTGTTGGATTATGAAAGACTTTCGTTATATGGCCTTTCAAAACACTTTTATTTCGTGAGCCGAAAATGTCGTGGTAATAATTTTGCGAAACAATTTTGTTTCGATCTCGCATGTATTTCAGACAAATCCGACGAGTTTTTCCCGAACCCGTTAGTTCCCTTTGCGTGAGCAGTCAAGCGATCTGTCGATCAGTGCGATGGATGAAACTAAACACCAACTATTCATACCACTTAGGTTTCTATTTGGTGTGAAACTTTTCCAAAACAACCTTACATCATTTTGACTTGGCTGTCAAATCTTTCCGCCATGCGAAATCGATCGATTTCTAAACCCCCTGGTTTCAAATGTTGGTAGTCAATTACCTGATAAAATAAAATCATTTTGTTCTTTTTGTTTGAGCTGTAAATACGAAACTCTGACGCAAGAAGCTCCTTTGATTCAAGAGACTGAGCCAAAAACACTGCTCATCTATCAGCTTTGAGTTTTGATAATGAGATTCGATTTTGGTTAGTTTCGTGATCTCTGAAAGAAAGAAATATCAACAATAAGGAAGAAAGGAAGGGCACTTTCGTTTTATGTTATACTTTGACAAGGGCTTATAGACAGCTCTTACGACAAAAAAGAAAAAAAAACATGAAAGGCTGGAAAATAGACAAAGTACATCCTATTTGAATAAAATTCAAGTTGCTTTAGTCAACACGGACGGCATTTGAAAACAATTCAATTTTATTGCATGGATAATGTTTCGCATGGAGTTGGTTAATAACATTAGCACACTGTTTTATCAATTCAAGTTTTTAGCCCCTCTCCATCGCAAAGATTCGTTATCATAGAGGATCTATGTATTTCTCCGACATGAAGCATTGTCTTCAAACCCCAAAAGCCAAGCTTTAAATTTCAGAAGGCGCCCACTAAATGATTAAGATTATTTTCTTTAGCAATTTCCTTGTTTGCGGATTACGACTTCTGAATTTATTTTTTAATTTGGAATCACCCAAGCAACCATAAAGTTGGGTAGATTTAGAGGTAAAATGAAACATGGAGAAATCTTGTGTTAAGATTGATTTTTCTCAGCCCGAATTCGGTAGATTTTCTCGGCAAGAAATTCATGAATTTCTGTCGATTAAAAAATTAGCAACAGGATTAACCGACTTCATAGTCCGAGGTTAAGCATTATCGATGTCCTGTACACTTATTAATTTCATATATGTTAAAATTTTGACGCGCCGAATATAGTGGGCAATTTTTTGTTATACAATATTATTTTCTAAGTGTCTGTCAAATTCTTGTTAAATTTGGTCAAACCATAAACATGGGAGCATTCGCCCCACAAATTGCTGACAAAGTCAGCTTAGTTATATGAATATCTTTGAGCATCATCGGGCAATACAGGTTTATCCCATTTAAGAAACAATTTATGAAAGATGTTACAAAACCTCTAAAAAATACTATAACGCTCAAAGAAAGTGACAAGGAGCACGATACCTACTGTGGAATATTCCTTAAAAAACCTAAACAATCTACAATACTTAAATACGTTTTAATATCTCGTTCTATAATTTATATATCCAGATTATTTTACCACAATTTAGAGGCTGGAGTTTCTAAGCACTAGCCTTTTCATACCCGCCTTTCTCAAGTGCTGTTGTTCGTTATTCGCCAGCGGCGAGAAATCAAATGAGTTCGTCTGCCGCGTATAACCTTTTTTTCAGATTTGCATGTGCAGCAATAGTTCTTTATTCAAATGTTTTGAGTCAGTGGAGTGTTCTGCGGCGGCTGCTTTGCAGAGCTTTTATTTTTGGGGCAGTACTTGATGGTGTGCGACTGGTCCCCGGATGCTTTGCATAGAGGACATGTGTATGCTCTGAGTATTGGACATGTAGTGTTCCCCTCGGCATCCTTCAGAACATGGCTTGAATAGACTTTTTTGCTTTCTCCGTTATTTCTGCAAAATACACACACGTTCGCATTTCTGTTCTTCTTACTTTCGCGGTTCTTCCGGTTGCGATTGGCCACTTCGCTGTTGTTTTCGGCGTTCCGTTTGGAAACGTTTCTGGTTGGTGCGCCGGGCGCGAGAGATGAGCCTGGCGCTTTTGACGTTTCAATGCACAATTCAATGTCTGGATTTCCACCAGAACCCGAGCTCGTTAGAGAGTGATCCGATCCCACGCTGTCCACACGAGATCTTTTGGTGTAGGTGAAATCATACAAACTGTCTATCCCTGCAGTTCCTTTACCGTTCAACTCAGCGTTCTGTACAAGTCTTATGAGTCCAAAATAGTCCCTGAAAAGGCGAAATTCGCTCTTTTCGTCGAAACTTGCCTTCAGGTTCGCTACCTCCCGAGCGCTTATCTTACCGTGGCCGGCAAAAATATCTCCACTGTAAAACACGCTCAACATCTCGTCTCCCATTGTTTCAAAGAAGCGACTCGTGAGTCAGTTTTTAAATTAGTGTGAGGAATCTAGAGACTATATTTAACGAATTTACCCCGAGCTCTCCGAGTTCCAGTGACCGCGACCGCCAGTAGTGAAAATTTTGCACTTGTTTCGATCGGGGTGATTAACTTTGTGAATGAAGTGTACGGGTTCTGGCTCCAACAATAGCACGACGGCACCTGAGATTGGGAGACTTAAACTAATGCGTGCATGGATCCACAATTATACCCGCCAACCACCACCGACGGCAGCTGTCGCAAAGCTTTTCAAACGCAGTCTTGTCACTTATCATAGCCACTGTGAATAAGTTTGAAAGGCACATTGAAAAATTGCTTTAAGGAGAAGCTTTGAACATGTGGTCCGATTGTTCCTATTGAAAACGATCATTAAATTTAACCAATCATATAAGCGCTATTGACGCGGTTTAGAGTGGCACCGCGTGCGTTTCATAAGTCAGCATTTTAAAAAGAAAACGGGATCGTTTTACATCAATTTGATTGGCTGCTCAATATAAGTGCCGTCAAAAAGCAGCCTGATTTCACATGTAATTGTTTTTAAGGATGATCTAAAGTTGTCATTATGAATTCATTTTATAAGACAAAACAACAGAGTTGCACGTGGAATCCTGCTGAAAAACAGGCCTGTTAAAAATAGTCTCACAAATAATCTACGCTATTTTCATTACTATAAGGCTTACCAAAAGAGATTTTAAGAACCTATCAGTTCCAACTAAAAACGTCTATTAGTTTTTTTGCTGATAATCTATCGAAAAAAGAGGTTCAGGTTTCGGTTTCGAAACATTCAAGTTAGAAACGAAACAAAAAAGGCTTACAATTCGCTAATGAAAGTTTTGTAAACACTGAAACATGCTGCCCATTTCGATTCGCGCCTCAAATTAAATATGTAACCTTTGCTTCCAAGACGCTTTCGAAAGCGGTTGTGAGAGGTAAATATTTTCAAAGTTGGTTTGAAATCGTTGCATCTCTTTGGTGATCGAGGTTAGCGAAAATCTTGAGAATGGTGTTTTGCTTTGTTGTCTTTGCGATCTTTACGGGTGATCACTTTTAAGAACATGCAAAGATAGTGAGCTCTAGCGTTTGGCGTGGCTGAGAAATAAACATTAATATGGCAGGTGTTCCATATGCTAATTATATCATCACAAAGGACAGCTTTGGAATAAATTTTCCTCTTAAAACTCAATATTGCATTGTTTAAGATACTTTTTAATGGCTTTGTTTTCGGTACGCTGAGCCGCAAATGTGGCAAATTCATCGAAATCGGCACCGTACAAGCAGACGGCCCTTCCCAAAGCCGATTTTATTTCTGTTCTCGCTTTAAGTGGAGTTAAATTATGAAATATTGAAATAAAGTTAATCCGGTGTTCAAGGTTCCTTTAAATTTAAGCTCTATTTTAGAATTGCCTCTGTTGTGAATAGAGTCTCTGATTTATTATTAATAAAAAGCCCTGTCTCATTTTGTCTGTGTATACCTTAATTACAACCAACACTCGAAAGTCCATTATGTGTTTTTGTTTGAACATTTTCGGTGAGAGTTGAACATGAAACCAGGTAAGTTCTCAGCTTACTGGTGATCAATACAAAGTCTTTCTTTGAACTTCTAGAATGCCAACTTCTTGAGGAGCCGTGTCTGTCAAATCTAATTATCCCTTCAGGAAAGTAAAGAGTTAGAAAAACTTCCAATTCAATTTACCCGCTCAAAAACTAAAGACCGTCTCTCACCGTGGGGAATGAGTCATAAAATTGCTTACCCAAAGATGACAATTGCCCAGTATTTGCATTCGAATTTTTATCATAGCCAGGTGACCTTAAAACAACATCAATTCTAAAGCGGAAAAATTCGTGGATGCTAGAATGCTAACCTGGAAATAAGCCATACTCAAGGTGTCAGCTCTAAAGTTAGAGGTGGATGTGGGTCGCAAAGCCTTTCAGTGATTAGACAGCTCATACGGTCAGTTAGGGTAGCCTAAAAAACGATCCGCTTTCAAAATTTCCTTTTTATGCATATACATGTTGTTCAGTATGTATTAGATTGGCTTGGATTATTTTGGCAAAGGTTCGAAACTAATCTAAGTGTTCCGGAGCAAACATACTAAATTAATAGGTGCTTGCGGTCAATTGAGAAAGGACGGGAGGTTGATCGATAATATAAGTTCATTGAAAGACCGTGAAAGGCTTTCATTCGCGGAAAGTACCTCATTAATTTAACGTAAGAGAAGTACAATTTCCCTCAAAAGAAGGCGATAAGTTGCTGAGCTGCTTTATCGCATGGTCTTTTTTAACTCTAGTTACACTGAGGTGCCTAAAATGAAAGAGAATTTTTTGTACAAAGCATTCTGAAGTTGCACGTAAATAAATAAATCGTTACTTTGTGCTCACTGGTTTTGTCTTTGTCCTACGTTTTAATCGGCGCTCAGATGCAACGTTTGAAGTAAGAGACTTGTTCCTTATCCCACTTAGGACAAGCTAACTTGGGTAAGAATACATCAAAATAGCAACCTTAAATTACGTATGACATTGCCACTAATCCTAAAACCAATGGATCGGATATAGCGAGTGAATTTTACCTCAGTTTCACATAAATTGACCATACACCGCTCCTCATAATTCATAAATACCGACATAAACATTTACGAAACGGAGGAAAGCAAACTCTGTGTGCAGTTTTTTTTTTATGGAAGTTCATTGTGTCGATCGTTGACAGACAATAATTTTGTGGCAAATGTTATTTCTAATGATGAATGACGAAATAAATTTCTTTTAAATTTCTGTCAATCTTTAAATTTGCCCGCGCTTCACTTTGTTAGTTACTTCAGTTTATTTTACGCGCATCAGCTTTACAGTGACCAAATGTTTATTTATACGAAACAAGTTACACGAGATCGAAGGCATGTAAATACTAATATCACAACAAGTTTACCCTGGATCCATGTTTGAAATGGTATACGCTGTAAAAGCCACTTTTTGCTGAAGTTGTCACAATAGTTTGCGGGCTTTTTTATCGAAAAGTTTGCTTTGAACATCTAGAAAGTCGTTAAAAAAGGATAATTTCTGAACGCCATATTGTTAAACGTTTGGCGAATTAACCGCTAATGACATGGTTCGTTCCCTGAGTCCACGTGCGCTAATCTTTGTTTTTGATATCAAAAGCTCTGCAGGAGATAAGTTTGCAAGTCATTCAAAAATGGCATGCATTGTGAAGAACGAGCGCTTTGAAGGTAAATAATTCATTAAATGTGTATACTTTGAAACTGAACGATTCTGTAAGATTGAGTTATTGGGATGCATTTTATATAAGCTGAATGAAAAGATAAAATCCTTTACATCTCTTTTCAAGCGTCATTGATGGTAATTTAAAGATTAGCCGGTTTGGAGGCACTGAATCGTGTTTTTCATTCTGTAAATTAACTGTTAGCTTTAGAGGGTGAACAATAAGGGAAAGATTTTTCAATTTTCATTGTTCGGTTGTAATATATTCACAGGTAAAACTCTCTAGGTAATTACATGATTTATTCAAATTTCTTGAAGCAATTAGCACTTCGTTTACATCCTCTTCATCTTTTAACCGTTTTGAAACTTGTTTTCAAAAAATTAATTCAAACGGATTTGAAAATAAATTTCTTCGTGAAAAATGTGTTTTTATCGACAAAGTTCCCTAAAATATCTGACATTTACTTATGAAGTTAAAGTTCTGTTGGAAATTTTTTATTAGATGTTATTAATTCACTGCTTACCCAACATCTCGTAGATGATAAATGTTCGGGATGGTAACAAGAAGTACAGTTGAAGAAAACACATTGTCAACTCTAATCAAAAGCGACAGATTCGCAATGTTAGAACCATGAGCATAAGAACACCTTCAAACATGGGATAGAGAGACCTCGTTGCTCTACGAAAAAAAGGGAGACATGCATGCAATCACGAGCCAAGGTTTACAAAAGAATGACAAAGCACATTTGCATCCTGAAATAATTGTGTACACATCGTGCTCGTTGAAAGTATCACCAGGAGCTTCTGAAAATATTATTTGTTATAATATTCTGGTATTACTTAGCCATTTCAGTTTTTTTGGTCAGATTTTTTTGTTATCAGTAGCAGCTAATACTGCATTATTTTCTTGTCGTTTGAAACTTCACGTTGCAACGAGAATTGAAGCTTAGTAATTGCCCAAAAGTTTGGGTCAATGTCTCGCTTTAGATCCACCGCAGGCAATTATGCGCTTGAGCCTCTATGGGTCTTTTTTCATACCTTCACAGCCCTGCGTTCTGTGGTCTTCTTCGCAACCAATTTTTGCGAAGAAGCTTTGCGCAACATCCCGTAGAACGGCTGTAAAGAAGACGATGTGTTTAAATAATATATTTCAGTTTGTATTACATCAACCCAGAACTTACCTTTTGTTGTTATATATCTATTGAAACCAGTTTAAATTATGATAAAACGAAATCTTCACGCACCAATTTTTTCCACCGAAGTTCAGTTTTTGTGGCTACTGCATTCTGGGAATGCGTAGCCCTTATGTTATCGCCCTGTAAGTGCGTGCGTAAGTTAAATTTTCTGCAGGAAGCCCAGCTGAATATTTCCGCTAGTTCGTGAGATATTTTTTGTTTCCTATTTGGGATTCCTGTGCAACCACGCAAGCGTTCTAAAATAGCATGTTTGTAGCGGTATGAATGGTGTCAGAAAAGTTTTATATGCGGTATATTTGTTGACTAAGGTCAGTTTACTATATCATGTTTCTATGATGGCATAGGAAAAAGTATGGACTGGACCATTGGACCCTTGGACCATTGGACCCTTGGACCATTGGACCCTTGGACCATTGGACTATTTTTTGGACTCTTTTTGGGGCCATTTTTCGGACCATTTTTTGGACCATTTTTTTGGGACTATTTTATCGGGGGAGGCAGACCATAAGTACTTAGGGAGGGGTGGGATGCAGCTCATCAGTACTCAGGGAGGGGTTGTAGGCGGACTGTTGTTACTAAGGGAGGAGTCGAGTACGAACTATCAGTACGCAGCGAGGGGTGGGAGGTTGATGTATTAGTAACAGCTGCTAATTAATGGAGTTTTTACTAGATCATACAAATTATTTTGAGCGGTTTTTCGACTGACTGTTCGTATGTTAAAAATTTTTGCGCTGGGCCGTAGCGTTTCTTTATTTTATGTCGTGCGAATGCGAAACTGGCACCTAAACACTGGACTATAATTGTTATTGAAAATATCGCCAATTCCTGTTTTCGATCCTCCACTGTTAAGTCATGCGTGTGCCTGTTAAGTCGACTTGTACCAGTGTTAAATGATACTCATGAGTTAGCATGAATCAACCATCAGTTGCCTCACGTTTCCCTTTGCGCATACAGTAGATCATTAAATTGATCTACCTTCCTTTTGTCATTGATCTTTTCAGACGACAAAGATCACGGAATTCCCTGTCCTTAGCATAGTATTCACGAGCGTTATCGCAATTTTCACGTTTACACCTTTTCTAGAAAAACATTGTTGGTACAACCGTACAAAGCAATTTTCTTTCTTTTCAGATACACAGTTTTCCCCTATTAGATACACTCAACTCGCGCCTAAAGTTGAATGTCATGTCACGCATTTCACTTTCATAGCTTCAGCGTTAGATCATTTTTTAAATAACAGGTTTGCATTTATGGCTTAACATTTGGCGCAATTTTCCTTTCACATAGCCGTTGCATTGATTCATTAAATCCACACTGGTGCAAAATACAGAATTACCTTCCTCGAAAATTACGGATTTCTAATTCACTAATTACGAATTTCCTTTTCGCAAATTACCGATTTGAGTTAATCTCACAGATTACATTTTTTCATTCCGTTTCGTTCCGTAAATTACAATAAGCCCTCTCAGAGACAACAACATAGCGAATTCTGTGTTTCGCAATGACTTGAGAGAACATGAAATCTCTTTCCAATTTCTAAAACAGTCAAAGTTAATTAGTGTCTGCTAACTGCAGACCAGATCAAAGAATTATGCAGAAAAAGGAAAAAAAACCGACCTGTACAAAAAAGTTAAAGTGCGTAGGCTGTGGGGAAATGGGACTTTAAGCCGGAAAACTGTGTATCTGAAAAGAGGGAAGATTACTTTGAACGAAACTACCAATAATGTTTCATAGTAAAGGTGCAAAAGTTAAATTTGCGATAACGCTCATGAATACTATGCTGCTAAGTTAAGGGCCAAGGATCGGAAACTCCGAGTTCTCTGTCGTCTGGATAAGATCAATGACAAGAGGAAGATAGATAAATTTAGTAGTAATATGCTGTACACACAAAGGGAAACGTGAGGCATTCGATGGTGGCTTGTTACTAACAGTAACTTCCCTAGGGTCCTAATCACTCACCAAAAAACTGACCTTTAAATACTTTCAATCCGTCATCATCTTCAAAAGTTTCTTTGGCAGTAGCCTTCAAAATGAGCTCCTGAACTTGCATGTGCACTCTGAAGTCCTTCTTCAACAATGATGGAGAGCTTGACTCCTGCCCGTGTTAATTAAAACCCCTGGGGGACGAACTACGTAGAAAATTACATCACCCTATTTTTGTTGCTATTTAAAGCATGCCCGTGGGAAACTGAGGCTATTTATGCATTAAACCGCCGGATAATGAGATGAGGCTCATTTTTAGCGAAAAGAGTTCTTCGAAACATCGAAATACGAATTTTCCCGAATTTTTTACTCCAGTTCCAGTTGTTGCTGACATCGCGTCTGCCATTTAAATATGGCGTCGCCAAAAAATTAGTAAGACATCTGTTAGCGAAAAAGATCGAAATGGCGGGTGCAGAGTCGATGGGATTAACTTTTGTGGACGAAGATGGCTTACCTGTAGCATTTTTGCGAATCGCCCACGTGGATTCTGTCAATGAAGTGCCTTCCGATGTCAATAGCCGCGATGAAGAGGAACAAAACTACTCCGATATGAGATGGACATCTGTTATACAACCCCCAGAAGGCGTAAATTTTCGCGAAGAGGTTGGTATGAGAGTAGAAATGGACAATGACAATAATTGTTTAGATTACTTCCAACCTCTGTTTACTGATGATGTTTATCAGCTGATTTTACGTGAGACCAAACGGTTTGAGCATCAAAAACGGCAGCTTGAGGACAATTCTCTGGGTGGTCTCCACGATTTTACCCTTCTAGAGCTAAAGGCTTGGCTTGGGCTCACATTGGAAATGGGTCTTGTCAAAAAAAAACAATTTGAAAGCTCACTGGTCAACTGATTCGGTCACCAAAACTCCATTGTTTACTAACACCATGTCAAGAGACTACTACCTTCATATTCAGAGATATCTTCACTTTGTAAATAATTGCAATGCCCCAGACCAGACAGATCCTAACAGGGATAAACTGCGGAAAATGAGATCATTTTTAGATGCTCTTGTGCCCAGATACGCTGGAAAAGAGGGTCCAGCAGCAAGCAAGGATTTGGCTCAGCGAGTTGTTCTAATGCTAACAGAGCCTTATTTCAACAAAGCTTACAAATTGTTTGTTGTCAACTGGTATACCAGTGTACCACTCTTTCTAGAACTGGAAAAAAAAAGGAATTAGAGTCTGTGGAACAGTGAGGGGAAATAGAAAGTGCCTACCTCAGGATACTGTTGACCAGCGATGCGAGCAGGTCAAAAGCCTCGTCAGGGGAGAATCGCTTTTCCGTCAAAGCGGCAAGCTCATCTGTGTGACATGGAAGGACCGAAAGCTGGTACATTACTCTCAACTCTCCCTGGGGGTTTGGAAATTGGACAGGTAGAGAGAAGGGTGAAGTCACGAGGGCAATGGCAAAGGCAGAACATCGCACAGCCACAGTTGATTAACCTGTACAACTCCCATATGGAAGGAGTTGATTTGGGTGATCAACGCATGGCAATTTGCTGCAGGTTTATGTAAGGAAATATTTGGTATTAAAAAATTTACTTTCATATGCTTGAAGTTGCTGTGTTGAATGCCCACATCATGTATAGAAGAGCTGGCCATCCAAGAGTCACCCTTGTCAAATTCAAAGAGAATCTTGTGCGGGAACTGATAGGAGGAAACGCTTTCGACGGAACAACTTCTCTGGAGGCAATGTAGTAGCACAGGATGTCCGCTTCGAACTCCTGCAGTTTCAGCATCCTGTGGCAACTGACACTCATAGAAACTGTAAAATACATATTCAACGAGTGGAAACAGTCTATGAGTGCTCAGTTTGCCAAGTGCGTATGTGTCCAGGACCTTGCTTTGAGCGCTACCACACACTGCACAGTTATCTTTTTGATGACCAATAGAAATGGTCCCAAGAGACTCAAAGATGGTCGTGGCAGACCAAGAAATGGTCCAGGCAGACTACTTCAAAAGAGATCAAGATGATTTTATGTTTCCTTTGATCAAAACATTAATTTACTTAACGAGGTTTATGGTTGATTCAAGTGAACACTAAAATGATTTTGAGACCACTGATCGACATCAAGTTTGCAACTAAATATGGTTAAAAGAAAAACAATAGTGTTTTATTTTGTGCTAGGAAAAGCTTTCTGTGTATATAGAACTTGATATTGTGTACAGTTATTGTGTTGACAAAATTTTCACTTCAGTTCTGTTCTCTAATTCGAGGACGGTTTGGGAAAAATCCGTTTTATTACCTTTCTGGATTTTTCATATTTTTTCTGTAAGACACGTATTAGTTCATTGCACTAAATGAAAGTGCAAAATCTCCTCTTTCTAAAAATGTTAGCCTTATAGTTTTCTGCCGTATTAAAAAAATTGGTGGCCTAATTAGTAATGTCATGTCACAAATTGAGTCAAAAAACCCCCACCCCCTCAGTCCCCTAGGGGTAGGCCCAGATATCATACTGAATTCTTCCTCTAAGATGTTCTGCATGCGCAGTCTATATCACACTCGTCACAGGTTCTCTTAAGCTGACATATCCATCTTTAGCCCTTCGTCAATCGCTCGAACAAAGGGCTAACGCTGGAAATGTCAGCTTTAGAAACTTCTGACGTTAGCCAATTTACGTTATCAACTCAGTTGATAATCATCATGTACTACCTCCTAGCGACGCAGCACCGCAGTTTTTAAAGAAAAAAAAACTTCCCCCTTTTCACACTTTTAACAGTTCCCCTGTACAGTTTTGTTTCTATGTTTTCCAACTGAAATAGAAATACGAAAAGAAAGTTTGATACCGTGTATCCATATGCTCCAAGCTTGATCAGATCTCTTTTTACAATGACATTACATGAATTTGGATGTTTACTGGTATTTTACTCTCATCTTAGAGTGTTTTCATGGTCCATTTAGTGAACAAGTTGTCATGCTTATCGAGAAACATTTCGTAGACCGTCTTCGCATCGTGCTCTGCTCAATGTGGTAAGTGTTCCATTTCTCTCAGAAATGGGATATTTTCAAAAGATTAAAAGCAAACAATTAAGAAAATTAGGGGATTACTTAATTTTGAAACAAATTTCAAATATCAAATTTTTTTTTCTACGGTCTCACGTAAGCCAGTTTCTATATTCTATTCTCTTAAACAATGCCTTGGGCACCAATTGCGTTCGTGAATCACAATAATTACTAACACTCATGGGAACTGTTAAAAGATGATTGGTCGTTGCACAATGCACTATTCTCTTTGAAAGTAGTGAAGTAGTGAAGTTTTATTTAGTTGCGCGTAAGTGCGTGGAATCTTATTTTTCGTCAATTTTGCGGACCGTTTTGTTCTGCTTTGGAGCTGCACGTCTTAAATCATCTCGATTTTGTTGTAGATTACTCAAATACGAGAAGAAATTGTTGTGGCAGGTGCGTACGAGATGTTAACGCCCAGATCAGGGTTCTTGATATCTTGAAATCACAAGTCACTGCCTCTGCAGCCCACCATTTCTGACACTTTTCTTAAAGTTCACTTTCGATTAAAAGTTGATTTAATTCAAAGTCAACAACGTTCTCACATCTTCTTTATGATTTCCTCTCTGTCAAACAGGTTTACTCAATATTAAAGAGTGTGAAGAAATCAGTATCAAAGAGTGTGGAGCAAACTGTATTGAGACTACAAGCGTTTCAAATTGGCATGGAGCAGTCGTCCTTAAATCCAGCAACGTTGACGCCAGTGTCTTCGCCTAAGGAAGAAACGACCGGTTTGACCATAAGACAAGTGGCGAATGTAAAAATCTGGGCTCACAGGCGGCGGAAATCACTCTTCGTCCCACAGCGATGTGAAACAGACTATGGGAACGCTTTGTTGACGCATGCAGACTTTCCGAAAGCCAGGGCAAAGTCGCTTTCTGCGTTAAATCGTGACAGAAAGTTGCAATTCGACAAGCAAATGGCCTATAAAATGATGGAACAGGTGCTGAACATGGAGCTGTCGTTCAAATCCTACGATTTAAAAGAGTGTGAAATTGCGTCGAAAAAGATCGCCAAGACACTAAATGAAAAACTGAGCAGCACGTTTGACCTATCTGGCTGTAAAATGATCTGTTTGTGCTATATCACAAAGCGTGCCAAACCTTCCTTGGCGATAGACAGTGGCTGTGCGTGGGATGAAATGAAGAGCACTGTGGAAAAGGACGCGTTCGTGGATTACGTTTACAAAAATCAAACAATTGTTGCCGTTGCCTCCGTTTTTGTTATTTCTTGCCGCAGGTTTCCCACGAGGAAAGTGGTATTGGACAACCTCTACGCTCAAGGCACATCAGTACCTAAGGCAAGGAGTGCCGTCATGTCAGAGCCAGCTCGTAGAAGTCACGAATCAAGCGACAGAATGTTTGGCGTCCCACCTCCGAGGAAAGATGAATGGGTGGGTTAAGATTCATATTTCTGTGAATCGATGAGGAGAAACGGAATGGTTTTCGTGAGCATGCAAATGGAAGGAATATATTACACCATAGCATATCGAGGTTTTATCTTTATCACTACGAATGCATGGAGCTTATTTCTAAGACATCGCATCGTTGTATCAGTGCCTTTTCGAGACTTTGAAAGCCTCTGTTTAGATACTAAGCTCTTTAAGATATCTGGGCTCTTCATATATTGGTCATTAAAATAATATGAAAATCATTAACGATTTTTGCATTTTTATGAAGCATCAAGACAGAAAACGCAATCGCTTGCTGAAAAACGCAACGACGCTTTGTGGTGTTGTTTACTTTGTGTGTGGGCTTGTACGTGCCTCGATTATCATTAGAGTCCTTTATTCTCTTCACCATGAAAACGTGTTTTGTTATCAAGTGCCACTTAGGACTTAATTAGACGTCCCTCTGGGTAAATAGAAGAATCCACACTGAAATAGCCTCATCATTCAATAGTTTAATAACTTTATCTTCAGTGACGTCAAAGATATCTAAAATGGTTGCTGACTTTTCACTTGGGACTGTTTACATTTGTAAGGGTATTGCACAATTATGCATGTAAATAGGAATACATGAAGTGCTTAACGAAAAAGCGTTCTCCGCACATTGTGAGTATTCGAGACTATATTGACCAAATCTTAAACTTTAGTTTTGAGAACGAAAAGAACGATGGAAGGACCTTTATGAAATAACCATAGTCAAATAGTGCGGCTGAATTTCGTTCCAGTCATCACTAAAGCAAGAAGGAGTAAGAGGCGTACAAGCGAATCGAGAAAGCCGTTTCTTTTTCCACAGAAAACTTTTTATTTTGTTTTTTTGCTCAAGTTTTATTGAAAGCGTTTTACGTTTTCTTTCAATAAGGCAGGAAATATTTCTTTCTCTCGCTCTCTTGTACCTCAAAAATTGCATGTGTGAGTTATGTGCTGAAAGTTTTCGTAAATGCACGGTCCGTAGGCGAGTCAAACGTACTTCCTCGCGTACTTCCTCGATGCACACTTTTAACACCGGTTGGAAATTTTTTTTTTCCACTAGGTCATTTAATGAAATAATTGTGACAGAAAAACCAAATCCAGGGTCTTTCGCAATATTTTTAAGATCATCATTGTTAACTGACCAATCAGGATTGAGAAAATTTGTTAAGTATATAATAAAAGCCCTTTTGATGATCAATAAGTTAATTTTAATATTTTATTAAAAAATCCAAATAGGAAATTTTAAGTCAGAGATCGTTTGTCTTACTGCACTCGTGGGAATAGTAAAAATAGTAGATGATGTAGCTCTCAGCCTTTGGTAAATAGCTTAAAAAGTGCATGTGATACACAATGTTACTGAATTAAAATAAAGCTGGTCATTTAACATTTTTTAAAAGATTGGTTGCTCTTCCAAGCTCATTTTAGCGACTTCTCGATGATGTTTTCGGCGCAAACCATTTTGGAAACAAAATAACTAGTGTTTTCTTATCTCCAAATTTTTCCTTAACTTCCTGAGTGCGTTTTTGGGATCTTATTTCTAAATATGTTGATGCATCTTGATGTAAGAGCTCCTGTTGATATTTACGACTGAGAGAAGGGAATAAGACCATGAGCTCTTCGTGTTCTCTTGGTGTACAGCTTACTTAGACTTGACTCGCTGATAATGTCGAAAATAACCCACTGAGAGGCAAAGATTCGGGATGTAGTCCCCAATCAACTACAGCCATAACGCGGGCTCGATCACCGACATTTCGGTTCCTCTAAATGTTAATGTATTCAGAGGGTGGCAGGGGAGTACATTTGTGAACTGGCTCAGCCTGGTGCTTCTCGTGAGTAAAAGAATGCAATGGGGTATTTTTTGGTGATCATAGTAGTATTATTGTGTTTTAAATCAAAATGCCCCGATACTAAGGCTCTTACATCTAAGCCGACCTCCACTTCAGAGAATGATTATAACTTAAAGAAATATGGAAGAAGTAAATGACAAGGAAGCATTTCGTGAAAGTGCAAACTTCTCAGATGCTTGCTCTAAGAGATATATTTCATAGAAGAATTTTAAATCACAGATATATTTTTCATTTGTCAGTGCAGCACTCCTTTCCTACTTATTCATTTTTTTTCTAGCACTCTAAAATCAACTTCCCACCGACGACACGTTGCTATGAGCGAACACCTGTACGTCCTTCCATCTTCTTTCTCAATTTGTATAAAACTTTGTCTCGCCATTTGGTCTCTTCCGATGTGGACGCTATCGAGATTCACTTTAGACGTGACTTAATGGCAAGATAAAAGTTTGTACTTCACAACAAGTTCATTCACTACGATAAATTATCGGAACCTTGAGTTATTATTTTCTTTAATAAAAATAACATCTATGTCAGCGCATAGAGAGTAGTATATTTCTCGCACCAATCAGATCGTTTATGGTATGTGTCTCGTACAAATCAGATCGCCGCGTTTAGGGTATGTATCTCGCACTAATCAGAACGTCGTTTTTGTTCTTTGATTTGAGAAGTGTTCAAATCTCAACGACGTAATGGGGGATTCAAATTAACTATGGACGATTTTGTGTATGTTTTCGATGACTGGAGAAAGTGATCTTGTGGAGTTTTTTGTGTTTGGCGAAGGACGAATTCAGATACCATCGTTAGCATGTCTATTTGATTTTGTAATCTAGGACGATTGATTAACGGAGGTAAGTTAATATGATGTGATTAACTAACGTCGAAGGAACAGTTTTGGTCTAGGTCCGCATTTTTGACAACAAAATAAACACATACCACTTAAAAAGATTATAACACGGACCACGTGTAAAGCTGTCCATTGTTTCTCGAATATTGCGCGTGTTAAATATTCAAAACTGACATCTCATTTACATCTACATCTACTTTTATTACGTTGGTAAATCCTGTACAGACATCACACCAACCAACTCGCGTGCAAAGTGAGAAGACCATACGAAGGCTTGAAATTATATTAAGATCGATTTTGATCAAGAAATGGGCCAGGAATATTCCACAATGGTGCAAATAATCGTGAAAGTTGATCGCGGAAAAGCGATTGCGTGACGTTCGGTAAGTTATAACATGACATGTTATCACATGCCAGACGGAAAAACTCTTTAGATTCTCAGTCTGCATTTTGTGCCCACTCTGCGATCTGCAGTCTACATTTTATACCTAGTCTGCATTTTATATCTGGTCTGCAGTCTGCAGTCTGCATTTTGTACTAACAGGTAGACAGAGTACACTAACTGAAAACTATAGACATCTGTGGCACCGATACAGTTTATTTTTGGTTACAGTTAACAAGCTACCACAAAGTACCTGTGTGTGAGTTAATTCGATATCTTCGTTCTTTTCCACGTTAATATTCTTCTTTCCTTTCCTTTCCCGGAATCGAATGTAGTGTTGGTTACATCGGCACAAATGCTTCATTTTCATGCAGTCAAGCCGCAGCTTTCGAAGAATTTTTTTAGTTTAGAAATACATGCAGTTTAATGAGCTTTCTCGTGGACAATGTTTTGTTACATAGGGCTTTGATTTGATCCAATGGTTCCGCTCGGCTAAAAATATAGCCATCTGAACTGTTAATTATTAATTACATGCAAAGGCAACATTTGGTTAAAATATAAAATTGCACTTATCGATAAGGTAACGTTTCACCAGTATCCATGATTCTGGTATTGCTATATCTAAATAACTGTCCATGTTCAAAGTTACTTTTTAAGCTAGAGAGGTAAAAAAATTACTTTGTCATAGGAGGTACTGGAAGACCAGTTTTCGATAATAAATTCAGTAAACTCAGTTAAGCTCTTGGAAACATTTCAACATCGTTTCCTCTTCCTCCTCGAGACACGATTCCCCTGAGGCCGTCCGAATCATCCCTCTCCTTTACGTATGGCTGCGTCCTGTCGCCTGTTGATCGAGGATATCTTTCCGCCATAGCTTCGTGCGCTTGACCAACCAGCGAGAACACATCATTTCCTTCAAATTCGTGCCAGGTTGTATCAACAAAAGTCATGTCGACTTTTTGTTTGCCTTCTTGTTGAACTTTTTCCTTAAAAGCAGTAACAGCTGCCTGCGCTTGAAGATGTTGATAATCCTCCAAAGATGGAAACGCTTCGTCGAATTTATTTATGGCGACCAAATGCTGATAAGCGTTTCTGAGTATGTCGGAAGGATTTTGTTGCACTGTGGTAAAATACAGATCTGCTCGTCTCTTTCCTTGTTCTCGTGCCAGCTTTTCCATGTTTTCTTTAAATGCTTCAACTGCTGCTTCTGCTTCGAGTATTTTGTAGGTGAAAGGACTTGGCAATGAGCCGATTTCTCGCTGGAAACAGCATCTTTGGATGGAAATAACAAGGAAACCCCCTAGCAGAGAACAACCGAGGAGCAATAAAGCGGCTGTTTGTGAATTTTTCCCCGCATTTGCGTAATCTGCTTCGATTTTTAATTTCTCTTGAGGTGAAGCCGAAAGCAATTTTGCTTCTTTCGTTCCTCCGAGAGCTGCACATATAAAATAGTCTCGTTGTAACAATGCCCAGAAAATCCAAATGAAGCCAGACAAGGAACTCTGAAATATGATTTCCACGAGCTTTCTGCTGCATGGCCAGCGAGGGAAGAAGCAGCAACAGTAACGCTTTAATCCTCTTCTTTGTTGCTGTTCGTAAAAGCAACATCCACGCACAAGATCCCAGAATCCGCTATGAAGAAATATTGTCACGAGAAATAAAAACAAAGCTGGAATGATGAAGAAACAGCTTGCATACAAAGCAAAACCATCTGGCGGACATTGAAAAAAATCCTCGCTTTGAACAACGGCGTTGATTCCAAAAACTATCAGAGTTATAGTTGTGTTTCTGATTGCCCCTGAATGGCTCTGAAAAACTGACTGAAACGAGGTCACAAGCTTGGTTAGAGTGAACGCCATTTTGATTTTGTTTACGATCGCTAACGAAACGCTCCCACGGGATTACGCATATCATTAGTTATATTGGTCACGCTACGAGGTTCGTGTTCGAGAGCTGAGGTCAAGAGATGATTCCGAAGTGTGTCGATGACAGTCTCTAATCGTTAAGATGGATCTGTGCCTGCGGCCTGCTGATAATTTTTAGGGCATTAAGCAAGAATAATTTAGTATCTGACACATTTTTTTAATTTTCCCCGGGTATAAAAGGAAGGCCAAGATTTAAATGTGGGAATCCGCGCAAAAACATCGATATACGCTTAATGACCTTATCCTACGCAAGGGTCAATCGTACCCCCATCATGTGCTATGATACAAGCATCAATTGATTCAGGTGACAAGGCAAGCACGGAAAAACAAAGGATTGCGAGTGGCCAAGGAGCTCCCAGCTAGAACTGTAACACCATTGATTTTCTATTTAATTTATGCCGAATTTCAAGGACAAATGTTTCGTTCAATCATTCAAATCGCCTAAACTCATGCAAACACGCTGAGTTCCCTTTTTTAAGTTTGTCAAGTGCTGAGCATTTTGGCGAGAGTCGGTTTTTTCACACTGCTAAACTTATAAATATAACCTCAACTTATGCAAACTTGCTATGTTGAAGGATTCGGTGTATTTGACGGACATTGGTCAGATTCTTAAAAAAACCAACTCAACCCTAGAAATCAAAGAGCCAAGCGAACTTACGAAGTCTCCTTAAATTCGTTAAGTCCCTCTGTATTTGGTAAAGTACAAACTGGTAAATCAAGTTTAACTCAGTGATGTCCTGTACAGACAAATGCTATTTCAATAGATTTTGTAAAGCTAGTGACAAAATGATACGCAACGTGACTGACGATTCGCGGGTTGGCGTCGTTCGTTGTTCTTTCGTGACAGGATCCTTAGGTTTGGCGAAAATATGCCTCAAAGTCTGAAAAGGTTTTTGAGCAACTTTAACGTTGTGGCTATTCAAAATTCTCTTGATGGTTTCGGTAACACCTTGAATGTAAGGGATAACAGCAAAACTAGTAGCTGGTTCCCTTTCATCAAGAGCGTTACTATTTGTAACTGGTTTTTGGCAGTTACGGAGAAAGGTTTTTGTATAGCCATTTGCCTTTAGGACATTAGAAACATATTTCCTCTCCTCAGCCTTCGAATCGAGTGAAGATGGTAGACAGTCAACTCTCCAAAGTAAAGTTTTGGCAACAGACTTTTTATGGCAAATAGGGTGGTGAGAATCGAAAGCGAGGTATTTGTCGGTGTGGGTAGTTTTACGGTAGACACTTGTCTCTAAATTACCCTGAACCCATCTGGACACATTTAAATCAAGAAAGGGCAAATGTCTATCCTTTTCACGCTCAAGGATGAATTGGATCGAAGGCTCTACTGAATTCAAATGCGACAGGAGGTGTTCCGCTTCATTTCCGGTCTGGATACCGCAGATATAACATCATCGACGTATCGTTTCCAGAAAAAGGGTTTAACCGGTGAAGTGGCTAAGGCCCTTTGTTCCACGTCTCCATTACCATGTTAGCAATGACAGCAGAGACAGGCGAACCCATCGCTGTACCAAAAACTTGTTGATAGTAGGTGCCGTTATAAATTGCGTGGTTTTGAGGCAAAAAGACAGCAGATGAATAATATCCTCTACAGGCAAAGAAGTTCTTCGTCCTAGGGAGGCATCTTCTCTGAGTCTCTCCTCCGCAACCTTAACGGCAAGATCAACTGGAATTTTAGTGAAGAGCGAAACAACGTCGAAAGATACTAATTCTTCACAAGCGTTAAGAGTTTTATCTCTTATAAAATCCGCAAATTCGCAGGAATTTTTGACAGTGTAATCAGCATTCCCAACAACAGGCGACGAAATTCTCGCAAGATAACCAGAAATTGTATAAGTCGGAGAACTAACAAATGGGTCTCAAAGGGATTCCCGGTTTATGAATTTTAGGTATGCCATAAAAACGTGGACATAAGCCGTCACTACTGTATAACATTTTGTACGTAGAGTCACTAATTTTACCAGCTTTTTTCAAATCAAGCAACATTTTGTTTAAATTTCTTTGAGTTTTACTGGTAGGATCAGAGTTTAAGACAGCATACGTACTCTTGTCATTAAGCAGAGACAAAGCTTTGTCGTGATATTGCCGTTTGTCCATAACCACAACACAATTACCCTTGTCAGCAGATAATACGATCCTGTCCGTATCCTTTTTAAGAGTTATAAGCGCATTGAAAACATCCTTTTGAAGGTTTTTGGGAGGAGGTTTAGCACGCCTGAGTATGCTGCTTACTTTGGCTCTTACCAAATGCCTATGGTCGTCGTTGAGTTGAGAGATACTCTCCTCAACAGCGGCGACAATTTCGGCAGTCGGTATTTTGCGAGGGGCAATAGCAAACTTCAGACCCTTCTCTAAACCACTCCGTTCCAGCGCGGATAACTCCTTGGAGGAAAGGTTCATGACCCATTTATCTTTCAGAGATGAGCCTGAATTAACAGGAGACCTCTCACTGAGCAAATGACGGAATTTTCTGTCGTGTTTCCCTCTCTGTTTGGTAAACACGAAAGAACAACAAACCGACGCCATTTATTCTATTCCATGCAATGACTGTGACCACGAATACATCGGACAGACCAAACGTCAGTTTGGTACACGTTTGAAAGAGCATCAAAAAGCGGTTTTCTTTTGCAAAAAGGAAAATTCTGCTTTATCGGAGCACACATGCCTAACCAACCATACAATTGGGTGGGATAATTCTAAAACTATCACCACTAATCGGCATTACCACCAGTGCCTTTGTTTGGAGGCTTGGCATATTAACTCCGCCCACGCTCCTTTAAATCTTGACGATGGCGGTTTGCTTCCTGACGCCTATTAATACCTCGTCAGAAAAAAGACCGCTAATTAGTGATCATATAAAAGGACCTCTTGTTGCAGCGCTTAGATCACCCCTGATGAAGGCACTAGACAGGAGTGTCGAAACGTTGGATCTATGAATTGTAACTTTTCGGTTACATTCATTAAATCTGCAAACCAGAGTAGCATCAAACCATGTCTGATTGTCCACCTGGTTGCCGTGTGAACTTTAATATAACTTAAAGTATTCCTGTACAAACATTGACACTTGAAAAAAGTTGCTCCTTAATAAGTGTTATTAAAATCCATAGTGTCTGGTATAAGAGGACAAGCTGATCACATAATTGTTGCATTTAAAAAATAAGTAGTGATCCTCAAAATATCCTGTTAACAAGTTGTTAATACAATTCTGACTAACTTTTATGAACACTGTTGCAGGTTTATTGTTAGATTTATATTCTTAATCACCAACGAAGATTCGCTTTGGTGTATACTCATTTCGTTAAACTTCTGAAAATTCCTAAAAACAATAGAAGTTCTTGAGGTAAAGGCAGTCGGAGCCGCAATATCGGCATAAATAAACGAATCTTTAATAAGTCAGTTGATATTAACAATTTGGGGCCGCTTTTTGTAACTTGAGGGAGTAATTTCTTTATTTTTACGTTAGCCCTTAAACTGCGCAAACTTATATGAATTTCACTTTTAAAGTATTCAGGTTTTATCAGTCGGGCTACTTTTGGAGACTTGTAAATTTGTTTATAATGGAATAAGGCCACAAAGAAACGAACCAAGCAAACCAATGCCGTTGTGTGTTTAGTAATTCCTATTTTTCGAGTGTTCTCCCAATTGCAATCGCGTCGCGAACAGTCACGATGCGTATCATTTTGTCATTAGCTTTACAAAATCTATTGAAACAATATTTGTTTGTACAGGACATCACTGAGTTAAACTTGGTTTACCAGTTTGCACCTTTACCAGATAACATACATGTGATTTTTCGCCGACGTGTGTAATTCAGTTTTAAGCTTTTTCCTTTTCGCTTCGACTAGGAAATAAAATTATTTGATTAATAAACGAATGTCGAGTTAAATAAAAGGCCGAGCAAGCGATAGAAAGTGGGTCTATTTCTTAAGTCCTTGAGTTAGTAAAAAGTTCATAAGTGCAGTAAAAGGTTAGTTCTTGACCAATCAGGGTGCTCGGAGTATCTCAGTTATCTCATAACGTGACCTATATCACACTAGTTGATTTCCGCAGGAAGTGATCATGTTATTTATAGACATTTCCGTAGCTTTTTATCCCATACCGCCTCAGATGGACACCGCCTCAGTGTGAAACACGCAACATGATTGGACTATTCTATTGTGGGATAACGTTTGTGTACCGTTAATTGTGTTTGAAGACTTGTCACTAATACTGATGCAAGCGAAACGTGACCTATATCACACTAGTTGATTTCCGCAGGAAGTGATCATGTTATTTATAGACATTTCCATAGCTTTTTATCCCATACCGCCTCAAATGGACACCGCCTCAGTGTGAAACACGCAACATGATTGGACTATTCTATTGTGGGATAACGTTTGTGTACCGTTAAGAGCTATTATTACTGAAACACTTACAGTTGATCTCTTATGGTAAACGGTCCTAAGCTTTTCGTCTCACTTGAATCTACTTAAATTAGTTTTTTGAGCACCGCCGGGATTTGTTTCAATAGAGTCAATTATCATCATTCACATAACTTATGAAGCTCCTTCAAATTAAAAGTTACCACCATGCACACCCGAAACTCGTTAAGTAAGTCCGCACAGACTCCTCGTGTTGCGAAATTACAGGTAAAATTAACATTTTGTATTCGTGTAGTGATCTGTTTTGTTAATCCTTGCTTGTCTATTTCCTTTTGTTGTTCATTCTCCAAAGGAATATCGGCTTTCTAGGCGCACGAAACATGAATTATCATAACAAAGACGCCCACAGACTTTGAAATCTGTCTGCTCAAACATGTGTCAAAAATTGATCCGTCCAAATATTATTTATCGTATCCTTTTTCTTCTTTTTTTTCTTGGTGACAACACGAAGAATATGACACATTTTTGTTTGAAATATTTGCGCTTACATTGAACTCATGCGTCTTCTGGCACGATGAAAGATTTTGTCACGGGATAAGCAGCAATTCTATGTAGGAGACTCTGAACTGCTGTTAATATCTTTTTAATTACGGTATCTCACACCAACAATTGACTGACTTAGTGGACCGAAGAGAGCGATGTCAGCTTCCACAATCGAAATGCATTGATTACTTGTGACGGGGTCATAATTTTCGTTACTTGAAAAAATGTTATTTCACAAATTTAATTTTTTCGGTGAGGTAACGTAAACCAGTGAAGATAGCACTTGTTCGAGTGCCCTGGGGCTAACTTCAATGGATCATGACGGAATGTTGTTTACATTTGAAAGGACATAAACAAAGTGCGTATTGTGTTTGAAGACTTGTCACTAATACTGATGCAAGCGAAACGAAGGTTTGCGTGTTCTACTAAAATATTGCCGTGATGCGCGCTGATGACTTTTGAGATAGAAAGATACATAGAGGAGGATTAAAGCACACGAACAGGAAAAAAAGGATTCACTTTCGAAACTATAAGGAGAACAAGTCGGCGTCAAATGAGCGACGGCCCGAAAGAAGGCGTGAAGGAGGTGTGTATACTCGAGGCATGTACAAACTTTGACATGGAGTCAAATATATCCACATCAAAGATTGCTCAGGATTTTGAAGGAATAACTCTTGCAAAGAACACTGCTATGCGTAGAAGAAGGCATTCATTGTTCGAGACAAAAGAGTCGCCCAAGATACGAGAGGGAGACCATGGTGTCGCCGTCATGACACATGCTGATTATCCTTTGCGGAGTCGCTCGAAATCCCTTCCGTTCGAACCTGAAAAGCGAAAGATTCCAATTGGATTCGAGCAAGAAAACGTCAGAAAGCTTCTCCAAGAGGTTTTGGAGAGTAAACTTACAGGAAGAAGTTACGTAGCGAGCGAATGCGCAGCGTTAACACGAGAACTAGTAAACATTATGCGCGACAAAGTTGCAGCACTCGATTTGAACAAGTACAAATTTATTTGTACTTGCTGTATTACGCAGAAACTCAAACCGCCTCTTGCCATGCAAAGTGGCTGCGCCTGGGATGAAAGCACGATAGGGATTGATAAAGACGGTTTCGCTGAATTTGTTTACAAGAACGACGATCTCATCGCAGTTGCTACGGTCTATGGAGTTCACGCTCAGAAGAGGACGCAAAGACAGAGATGCATAAAGAGTATCAAGGGATCCATTTACTCGCCCATCCCAGAGTGAACCTTCCAAGGAAAATTTTGCTTGCAGGGAACAGGTGATATCAATTCCCATAAAGGACATTAAAAATATGAGACTGGCGAATGTAATAAACAACTGTTTCCTCGACAGTGCTGGTCTAACGATACTGATGTAAAATGTTTTTGTAACTGAAGTAGTTAAAATAACAAACTAGTTGACAAAAGTGACAAACGTTACGTCTTGAATTTTCGATTTGTTTTGGACAATCAATATCGTAAACGATGCGGATAATGGTCGAATAATAGAGTTCTTGCTATGATATGTATTAAATCATGTCGTAGTCTTCGCAAGACTAATCCAAAAAGGAACAAAAAACACCTACATTTCTAACATTTGATGCAAAAATTGTCTGTTACAAAAACGGTCGAAAAAAGTATATTTTGAATACATAATCAGAAAATAATGGATTTGAAGCTTCCGTACTTTGTTAGCTGACGAGTTGATGTAATAATAGATGATTGACGGCTCTCAAGGCTACGAACTAATTATGCCGTGATAACAACTCTTACGTCGGGGCATGTGATAAGTCTTACGTCGAGGCATGTCACGAAGTACGTGTCAAGCTCGATTAGTCCACTGTCTTTAAATAGCATCACCATGGCTCCTACAAAAGTATTTAAATACCTCTTAGCTCCATAGATCCATATATTTTTGCCACTTTTGGTATTTTTCCTCAACTGTCACCAGTGTACAGCTTTTTTACTTCAAGTACCAATCGCTTATTGACCGGCTGGCCTAATAAGGAAGACACTTATAATTATCCTATGAGCCGACTACTTGCTTATGTCAGTAAGTAAAGCGTGAAAAACGTTTCTGCATTGATGTGATGATATTTTACAACAGCTGGCTCACCAAAGTAGACATTCTTAAAGGCAAAGCCAATGCTGTTTAAGGTGGCTTTTACGTTTACTAATAGCTGGTTACCGACTTATTTACAAATATTTCGCTTAGCTGAATAATCGGTTAGTCAGCAATAGCAATGTTTCCTCATAATATACGTTACACCTTTGACTACAAGATTCAGATTGACATGGTTTACTAAGAGATTAGTACGCATACAAACGATTAAGAAAAAAGTTAATTTCAGTTATCAGATGTTTGTTTATAAGGATTTGATATTTTCATATCAGTTGATCTCAACTTCAGGGGGTTGAAATTAATACACGTAACTGTAACCTTAGTGTCACTCAGGTGGATGTTCAAAATTTTCCCATTAACCCTTTAACTCCCAGAAGTGATCAACATAAAACTTCTCCCTACAATATCCATACATTCTTCAGCAAACAGGTAATGAGAATATTCAAACTTATCAGGTAGAAGCTGCTATCTTGATCTAGCATCAAGTTCCCATAACTAATTTACAAGGAAATGTTTAGCAGCTACAGGGGAGAATTAACAATCAGATCTTGTGAGTTAAAGGGTTAATTGAAAGAAACAATCAGATTTACATGCATATGGTGGGTGGAAAGTTGAGATCATAAATTGTATTAACTAGAGTGCATCTCGAATGATTGTCATAAAACCCAAATCAAAGTAGTCGCAACAGCCAATCAGAACCAGGGAAAATATCGCAAGGAGCCAGTGAGAACGCAAAGTAATAAGAGACAAACTTTATAAAACGCGGGAAAACGCAACAGACAAAGGCGTGATTGCTTTCAGCTCTGAATCTAAAAACGTGGACAGAGTGGTACCAAACACCAGGTACAGTTGATCATGATTATTTTGGTTGCAATGAAGAGACTTACAGGTCCGCACTACTTATTATAGGTTGAACCGCGTTCGTTTATTTATTTGTCGCGTGTTACAATTTTTTTTACGATTTACGGGGACGCCATGTTGTGTCATTTTGGTGCTCATCCTAGGGGCACCAACATGACGGCCATGTTGTTTTGTTTCGCCATTTAAGTGATTAGCTATCAACTGTGAACTTGTGAACATTCATCTCAACACATTTCTTTATATTTCTGATGCTCAGGGAGCTTTTCGGGCCTATTTCAATCTCGAGCGACAAAGAATTACGAAATTAGAAATGGTTCTATTTTCAAGATGTAGAAACCCACGTTACTGAAACCTTTCCACAAGGCTAATGTTTAGGAAATCTTTCGTTCTGTAACAGCGATTTCGTGAAACTTTTGACGATAAAAACGAACGGCGAAACACAACGTTTTAACCAAACCTCGGTCATTTTCAAGTGAATAGTATGAATGTCACGAGGAATATTTATATGTGCGTGTAAGAAGTATAAAAAATTTTTGGAAGAGTAATTGGACAATAAGAACATGCAAAGAGAAGAAATTATTAGAAACTAATCAAAAACCAAATTCCAAACTGAATATAAATAAAAATTAACCGAACTTCGCAAGAGGCACTATCACGAAGTTCTAAATATCCAGAGAGGAGGACGTTGATGAACACATCATTAACATCTCCTTGTACAAGCTTTCCTTTTTCCAAAAGCTTGTGCTTTGTCGTGGTTTAAAATTTTCCATCCCTAAACACGTGTCCTCGATTGACATAAAGGCCAGCTTTGAGAAAGCTTAATGGAAACTCGAACCACATTTACCGGAAGAATTTCGTGACCTTGCAGCGCCTGCAAGATAGACCAAAGTGTAGAGGTAGACCACCAAAATACTATCATCCCTTGCTAAAAAAGGAGAAGGAACTAGAATCACTTTTTCGCCGAATGCTCCCCTCTGCAATTGCAAACTCTGTCCGTCCGTCAGGTTCCAGGCTGGCCCATCTTTATGGTTTGCCTAAAACGCACAAGAAAGACTAGCTATACGACCTATCTTGTCAGCTACTCAGACTTAAAATAATGCCCTCGCCAAATGGCTAGATGACAAAGTAAAACCTCTCGCCCTAAACCAACATACGATAAGCGACACCTTTGAGTTCGTGAATGAGGTCCACGAATTGACGATTGACAACGGATGTACCCTTGGAGGAGACCATACAACCAATCGCTGATAAGGATTTCACTGATAATTGGTTTAATGAAACACACCACCTTAACCTCAATAAGCTGGACCTTGTCGATCTTAGAGCGGCGACAAAAGACCAACTTTTCTTTTTTAACAGCCATTCATATGAACAAACAGACAGAATTGCTATGGGCTCCTGCCTTGGTCCTCTATTAGCCAACTTCTTTATGTGCAGCATTGAGGATACTTTGAAGCATGAGGGCAAGATGCCCACATACTACAAGAGATATGTGGATGACACACTGACTATCATGCCAGTCATAACATCAGCAGTCAATTTCCTCGAGATTTTAAACCAGTGCCATTCCTCTATTAAGTTTACCATGGAGATGGAGAGTAAAAGTATGCTGCCTTTTTTGGGCACCCAGCTGCTAAACAAACACACACATGTTGAGACTAAGGTGCACGTTAAACCCACAAATACTGGCCTTCTGCTGCATTACAAGAGCCATGTAGACGACCGATACAAACGCGGGTTACCAAAACCTATGCTTGATCGAGCATTGCGGCTTTCATCCAATTGCTGTTGCTTCTCTGAAGAATGTGATCGACTGAAATTATTGTTTTCTCGACTAAAATATCCTGACAAACTTGTCAACTCTACTTTTTCACGTTTTATTGCCGCCAAAGCATCGGATCAACCTGTTTCTTCGGCGACTGTCAGCGATCGAACAGACCCCATTCGCGTTGTCCTACAGTTTCAAGATCAGGCCTCAGCCGATATTGTACGTGTCCAACCTAAAGATTTGAGTCAGAAGATCCACACGACCGTCCAGCCTGCATTAGTCAGCCAGAAGATTGAATAAGATTTTAGATTACAAGAAGCGAACTGAGCCACCGGTTTTGAACCAACAGTGCCTTGTTTACAAATTTAAATGTGACCTGTGCGATGCAGGTTATGTCGGTTTTAGACGCGGCCATCTGCACCAACGTGTTCAAGAACACCGAAACTCGACTTCATCGATTGGCGAGCATTTTAGCGACAAGCATTCTTTGGCCCCGAGGGATCTTACGATGAATTTTAGTGTTTTAAAGAAGTCTACGAACAAATTTGACTGCCTACTTTTTGAAACTCTATTCGTGCAAAGATTTTTAATTAGCTATTTAATCTTTTTTTTTAATTTGGTTTTTAATTAGCTTCTAATTATTTCTTCTCTTTGCATGTTCCTTCTCTCCGTTATACTTCTCACACGCATATACACACTCAAAAATTCTCACTATTCACTCGAAAATGAATGAAGTTTGGTCGAAACGCTGTGTTTTGCAGTTCGTTTTTATCGTCAAAACTGTAATAGTCCTTCTTATTTTGGATTTTTAAGATGTCACGTGAAAACCAAGGATAGCTAAACACCATTCATTGCTTTAAAATGGCTCACTGGATCGTGGCTAAAAGAAGCAACAATATTTACATTTATGACATTACAAAAAGGAAGAGTGATTTCCATGCTTAATCAAGATACAGGGCTCCTCTGAATACCACTTTACAATATGGGCTACTTGTGTATTGCTACCAAAAGACAAATAATACAAAAAGCTTTTCATTTTCGTTAAAAGCACGAATTGTTATCATTTAGAGAACGTGCTATCTGGTTTATATTGTTTTTTCTTTAAAATGATTTCACCGGGACTCTAAGATGACAAGAGACCAAGTTAATATTTGTTTTCCTCGTTTGCAAACGGCTTTCATTTTCATTTAATTTACAAACTTGAATGACTCCTCGGTAACAAAAATTGAAACTGAAATCAAACTAATTGTTCTCTGGCTTAAAGCCGGTTCTTACATATGACCTAGAAGAGAAAAATACACTGTTCAATATTTAATTCGATATTTCTTGAATTTATAACAAAGCTTGACTTTTGGATGAAACTAGAAAAAAAAAGCTTGGACACTCAGTTAGGGGAAAGTTGTTGGATCTATACATGAAGGTATTTCATGCCTTTACTTCAAGGCGAGGGTTGGAGCGATAACCATGATATGATAATAATATTTTTATTAACCATTTTAACTAAAAGTTTTTGCTCTTGGTCTCGTTTTGAGTTTGAAGGTATTTACAACTCGCGAATGGCCTGTTCCTTAGGTTCAATAAGGAACAAGACCCCGAGCGCTAATTATTCTTCTATATTACGAGGCCGGAGATGTTTTGATATTAACCGTTAACTCTTAAAGACGCTTGTTTATTGAATTGATTTTAATATATAATGGTAGGTAATTAAAAACATATCAATTACTGGACGACAGTTTGCTATATAGGAAGATTTATCTAAGAATTAAAATTGACATCAAGAGTTCAACAAACTCAGGCAAAAGCAAATACTTATCTTCGAAGAATCCACTCAGTAAGCATATATCGGTAAAGCAAAACTTGGTTGAGAATTAAGCGTTAGAAAATGGTCCCCTAGAAGAAATTTCATACAAATATTTGACCTATTAGAATTTCTATCAATGATAAAGACGAATCAAGTCCGCCAAATGTTGGTATATATTGTATAAAAAGGTGCCATATAAATCTTTTAAGGATTAAAAATGGCCTTCAGCAGCTTACCTAAGGGCTTAAGAGACAATTTTTCCAATACCGTTTTCCTGCCCGCTGAGTGACATATCGTGGCCAAGAAAAATGACAGTCCACTCATTTTTATTTGCAAGTGGTTCTATTTTCACCTCGATCGTAAGCGAAAAATTTTAAGAATTGGAAAAAGAAGTTAGTCTTCACATTTAAGAAGCCTGATCTATCTAATACGTGATTTCTTGTTAAGTTTGTGCTTTGAATTTTTTTTTTTTTAATTGTCAAGAGCAACATCCCTATATAACTAAAAAACAAGTATATAACAAATAGGGATTGTTTCCGTGCGCAGTTTAACACAGCTGCAGTTTGGGACAGTTTGAGATGAACTTAAAATTCACTCGAAATTTTTCGTCTTAGTCTTGCTTTTGTTTCCTGTACAGAAATTAAGGTTGAGGGTCTTCTGCAAATCACTAACATAATACTTAACTGAAACAACTTCAAACCATTTTATTGCTTTATATCTATGCCACATAGTTCTGAAATAATTAAATGTTTACACAACGTCACATGCCCCACATTGTCACACAATGCTAAACTTCTGTTGGCTTATCGTTTCCATGGAGATCGCACGTTTAAGCCGTAAACTACGACGCACGAACTATCTCTCAATTGAGTCCCCACCAATAATTTTGTAAACAATATCTTGAAGATTGGTAATAACCAAACCTGAACATCATATCACACAGATGCCGTTGAGAATACGACAGACATGATCACCTACAAATGATACCAAGCATCTTCCTAACTCTCTCTATAATCTTAAATTAAATATCATGAAAATTAATGGTTTACTATTTTAATTGGCAGACCCCTCCGTTGGTCTTTTCTAATTTTCTTATTTTGAGACCAAGCTTTCTTGAAGACATTGTAAGTGAAAATTCTAAGTCACGCCATGAATGAAGAACATTATTACATAACTCGGAGTTGGAACGTGTCAACAATCACACATTTCTTTCAAAAATACCCTAACGGAGGATATCGAAACGTCTTCGGTGATTCTCGAACATGCAGTCTAAATTAACCAAAATTTTTCTCAACAACTTCCGAAGAACCTCATCCTCATTATCAAAGTGATTGTTTTATTGAATATCACCGGGTAAACGTGATCCGACCTAAGTGATCGGAAACCCTGTTGAACCGTTGCAAACCGGTTGATACTTGAAAATTTGAGATGGCTAAAAGAGACGCTCCAATTAGATTTTAAACATTGTATCAGCTAAGGTTTGTATACTAAATTACTTTTTGTTATAAATAAAAGCTTAAATAAAAAACCCCAAACAACATATCTCCAAACAACAAAGGAAACTTAATCATCACAACAGAAGCACTCACGCACTACTTAAATCAATTTTTTTTCAGTATCACGCATGCGATAAAAACTGTTTATTCTCGATAAATTCCAAACACTGCTGCTGTAGCAAAGAGATCATTGCCACAAAACGATGATGAGGCCACGCGATCTGTTTCAACATCCCAGAGGCACCGGCTTGCCACACGTACTCCTTGGTTATTCAACTGTCCTATGGTCACGACACAAACAAGTTTAAATCTCTCAAAACCAAGTACCTTGACTTTATCTTTGATTTCGTCTGCGATGCAGGGAAGCAGGCTCTTACATTTTTCAGGATCATATGGAAGCTCCTTAAGGTGGCTTTCCAGGACTCTGTCTATGGCATCCTTAACGTCGTTACAGCGAAATCGTTTGTCCGCATCAGGACGTAACTTGTATGTATTGGCAATCTTCGCTGCCAGTTGATGCGGAAGCTCGGTTTGGCCGGCTTGATGTGATCTGGAATACAGACTCATGGATTTTCGTCTGGTTGCTGCGTTGGCCTTGGAGGTGGCTGACAGCGTACGAATCTGTCTGGCGACGGGCTCTTGTATGTTCAGTGTTGCCGGTTTGTTCTGAACATCCGCCGCCACAGAGCTTCGTCGACTGGACACTTCACTAACAGGCATGTCAAAACGCACTTCCTGTCTTGAAAGATAAACCACTGGACCTGAACAATGAACAATTATTTCAGAGGATCGATCCAGTCTTATTTATCTCAGGTTTCACTGCTCACGTTTTGATGATTCAGTGACCGCTGAGTAAGTGAACCTTTACTTTGTTCGGCCTCATTTTAATTCACCTATTAATGTATTCATCATTTCCGCCCGGCTTTGTCTGGAACAATGGCGAGTGTTAATTTACTCCCACTTATTTTATCGCAATTACTTGTCACCTTCACCAATGGATTTCTCTCAGCTAATGAGATGTTAATTTGGTATACAGCTGTTAGCAAAGACACAAGTGCAGCTAACATATGAAAAATGCTGATCGCTGACTAGCGCACCAGTGTTCTACCAGAGAACAGATCCCATGTTACTCAATTACACTCACTTCAATCCTCTGAGTCTGAAATAACGATATAATCTCCTTAACGCTTAAATGATATACTCATGGATATTTTAGCATGTCTAATTGCTTGGATGATTAGGCATAGCGTGCGTGCTTAACTTGTATCTGTCATGTGATCAGAGTTCATAGTCCAGTTTTGGAGAGTAGGCTTTCACGCTAGTAAGGAAACATTTAAAAGTAACTTGTTGGATATCTACCACCCTATAAGATACTTGCCACATCGTTCCGAGTCATTCGTCTACAGTCTCAATTGAAAACGCTAAAAAAGGTAAAAAAGGACTGAGGCAATTAATAAAATTCAACACCGACTGATGCTTGAGCTTGGGGTAGCCATCTTACAAGTTTTTAGGGGACAAAGGTTGCCTGAAAGGAGCAAACTAAGATGGCCACGTTCTATCATGGCTCTTATTTGTACAGAACTACATGCTTTGATAACAAACAAAACTTCCTGTTGTCACCTTTTGAATAGCTTTTATTTACAGACCAGTTTTTTTCGTCTTCGATCTCTGCATCTGGGACTTAAGACAAAAAAGGGAAAAAACCCGGGTACGTCGCTTTGCTAAAATAGACTAAGAAGATGATTCTATTCTATTCTATTACGATTCTTTTCGTAAGTTTTCCCGACAATTCGCCTGTACCCATCCTGGGTGAGGAAAGACGCTGTGAGTATATCTTATGTCTTATCCAAGAACTCGACCCCAGCGGAGATAGCGTGCTCGCTAAATGATTGCGCCACCGCGTGTCTCTGTTTGCTTAAAGAATTCAGGATATATTTCGGTCTTAAAACACAGAGTAAAAACTTCAAGGTAGAAGAATCCATGACTTTGAGGTTTAACATTTTCAATTCTGGCAGGGAATCACTCTGGCTCCAGCTAAATAATAATTTGACTCACCAAGGTACAAGAAGTTTTGAAAGAACCTTGAGAATATCAAAATAACTTTTTTATATATCAATTGAGTTGATAATATACATTGGCCATTGTAAAGACATTCTGAAGCTGACGTTTCGAGCGTTAGCCCTTTATCATTTTCTCTGACGGAAAGCTAACGCTTAAACGTCAGCTTTAGAAACTCTTCACGCTGGATAATTTTCATAATCAACTCACGGAATTAGTAAGAGCAAATCATCTTGTAAAACCTTCCACCAACACAGTTCCACATTTTCTTTACAATTAAAAACATGACCCCTTTTGCTTTTGAATATCAGATCTTTAAAAACTGAATAGTAATAATTATGTTAGTAATGAGCTGAACGCACATGTAGTTTTCCTCGTCGCCGTCTTCGGTTCAAGTCTCAAGCTGTTCTCCTCAATTGGCTAATTATAAGACACCATTAAGTGCAGACACACGGTAGTAAACTTGAGCTTTTATATGATGGAAAGTCTTCGTACGCGGGCCCTACGGAGCAACAATTTCATGCTGAACCTTTTATCTTCAGTTTCGGTGCAACATTGTGCGTTCGCACAGAGCACAATAAAAATCTCCTTCGCTTTTCCCATTAAATTAGTTCTTTCCTAATGGCGAGCAGCCACGGATTGTTTCCTTCTTTAAATCCATGCCGTAACAGAAGATAGACGAGGTCATTAGCATTCACAAAGGTAAGTGACCTCCTTCAAAAAAGGCAGTAAATTGTTTTTACAATCGTTGAGCTCAACAGGCTGTGAGAGTTTTTAAATACTAAATATGAAGGTATGCGGTTCTCTGTTCAGCTTATCTTGATTTGAATTATTACACTGCTCAGGTTAAAATCGTCACCACAATAAGAATATTGGCAGATTTAGAGAGTTGTGTGTATGATAATATGACGCAATGTGGATTCTAATCAAACTGACTGTTTGTGAACAATTCACCTTACCTTACATGAATGTCTCAGTGGGGTTAACCGTTAACCTAATCTCGTAACCAGATCCTACTAATTGTAACTGAAATTTACAACCGCTTGGCCGTGAAAGGTCCGGGTACGAGACTACTGTTGGCCGTAAACGGCTAAATTATCCGGCCGTTAGGTGTTAGAATAAAAAAGACTTTTAACCGCTAGTCGTAAAAGACAGTTAACCGTAAAAAAGAATTTCTGGTGCCAGAAATGGAAAGATATTAACCGTTAGCCATAAATTGGCCAAAATTTTAACCGCTAGTCGTAACAAAAAATAACCGCAAAAAGTTTTCTGTGACCAAAAGGAAAGATATTAACTGTGAGCCGTAAAAGCCATCACCCTATTGAGACCATCCTATGCTGACCCTGAACGATTCCCATAGTTGCCGCGTTCTGCTGCTGGTCACCTGTAGATAGAACGCACTTGAAAATTCCGGAAGATTTACTGGAGAAAACCAGACTAGTTCTGGTTTCCTTGCCTTATTGCCAACTCACGTAATTAGAAAACCAGCTCAACCCACAGAATCTCTCCTCTTTCTCTAGATCTCCAGATGTTGGACGCATGAGTCATACATTTCGAGCAGAATGGAAAGGTATCAAATGTCCTTAAATGATTTTTTTAGAAGATACCTTAGATAAAGGCAAATATGACCTAGACAAGTTCAACACACATTACTAACAGGTAGTGAAGTCCATACAGGAAGAAATGATCAGCGAAGGAAAATCCAGAATTTTCGATTACTCACTTATGCGCAATCAAATTGTTTATTCAACACTAGGTTTGTCCAACGTAAGAACTATTTTCAACTTTTTGGCTTACTTTTTCTTGATTTAGCTAAATAAATCTGGTTGCTTTAAAACTAACAGAATGCGAGAGGGAATTGATGACTGAATTTAAGCAAGTCGCACTTTGTCCTCAAAGTCCCCCATGGGTCAGGAAATACAATGCGGAAACTAATAGGACATTTGTTTTTCTACTTATTTTTGGGTTAAACTGTAAGCTAAGCGTTACACCACAAGACAACAAATCCAGGCAAGAAAGCCTCTCTTCGTTTATGGAAATAATTGCCTCTGTTCTGCGATAAAAGAGATTTGTAACGCCGTTTCACTGACATGATACTCAGCGTCATTAATAACTTTGGGGCGAAATTTTCCACCAAATGAATGCAGAATCTGTCGCCATTTGAAGTAAATTTCGTGACTCTAACTTTTGATTTTCAAATTGGTCTACGAACTATATCATTACATGAATTCTATCGCAATCGTTTCAGGTCTTTCAACGGTTACAGCGTGCAAACCTGAAACGGTTTTGGTAGAAGAGGCAACTTTGGGAAAGCAGCTGTGAGGCAAGTGAAAATATGGAGAAGTAAGTAAGAAGCAGCTTGCTTTTGAATTGTTTATCCTAACATCGCTTTGATGTATTCTGCTTCGCAATCAAGTGAAAGTCTTTTCTTTCGACGAATTTAGTCAGGGGCATTGATCAGTTCTAAAAATCCATCCGAATTAAAAAATCGGCGACCGAATATCGGTGACTGTACAACTATAGTTTTCGACTCTTAAGCTTCGGGTCGTTGATCATGATCATGAATATCTTAGCAGTGTGGGAGGGATTATCGTAATTCTATTATATAGGGTGTGCCGGTAATTTTTCATATCGATTCAGAGAGGCTCCATGAAATACCTCGGTTGTTGACATCCTCGTACGGTGGAGCGCACGTAATTAAACTCGACCAAATGTTCACATCACCGATACGATAAATATAACTGGGATCAAAAAGCAGAACAAAAACAAACGGTGTTAACTAAACAAGGATTCGCACGTCAGCTCATAAAGGCAAGCAGCTTGTTTTGTAATTTTTCTTGAAGAACAGTCGACAATTCAGAGTTTGAAACAATGAGTGCTTCTACAGCAGTTAGAAGAAGATCAGTGACACTCGGTTCTTTGGAGCCATTTCTAAGAAAGCAAAAGAGAGATCGTCTGCGTACAACGAGCATCAATTCTATCGCCTCCGGAATTGCGAGCTCAGTGGAACGACAACGCTCCTCGACATGGCATGGCGCAGAAGTAGAATCAAGCGGCCTGAGTTTGGGTAGTTCTTCAAAGCTTGCCCTCCCATCAAACACACCACATGACATCGCTGATTTGAAAGATTTCCAGGATGAACTGGAATCGCAAGAAGTCATCAAGCACATTATAAAAGAAGAGTTGGACAACTCTCTGATGGATTGCGACTACGATAGCCAGCGATGCGTTTCTCAGTGTGCAAATATTAGCCAAGCAGTTGAGTTGAGAGTCAAGGAAATTACTCCCCCGGAAACCAAACTGGTGGCTGTGGTGTACATCGGTGAGATTCGGGATCAGGGTCTTGAAATAACCAGCCAGTGCTTATGGGATCCTGAAACTGACAATTTTGTAACTGCAAGCTTCAAAAGTAAAACATTGTTTGCCGTCTGTACTGTGTTTACGGTTCACTTCTAAAGTATGTAATACTGCGGCATGCCTTTATGGGATTGAGATTTTACAGAGTCCTGATGTAGTTTCAGAGCGAGGAGCTTACAAAAGAAACCTTGATATTCAAGGTTCACAAGACGAGGCCGGTCATCAAAATAAACATCTATGAACAATCTTCCAAAACTTTGCATGTATATGTTGCATGCGACCGCCGGCCTTGAAATAAGAGAATGAACATAATTGTTTATAATTATTTCCGAAAATCATTATTTTCACTGATGTTAATCAGAACAATTACGCAGCATTTTGTTCTTTCAGATTTCCTCACTCGTTCTTCTGACATTCGGGTATTTAGAGGCTTGTAACAGACTCGTAACTGCTTGTTACGTCGTCTTCTCCATGTTAATCAGCGAAAAAGTTACGGTTCATGTCAATATCTATTTTACAAATGACTGGTATAAACGGATTGCCGCCGGCATGACTGCATGGCTGTTAAGCGACTTTAACCCTCGATATCGTAATTCGCTTCGACAATCTTGACAAGGAAAAACTTAGACAATCCAGATGAAAATATTTGAATCACAAATTGTATTCATATTTCCAACACATGTGAAAGATACTGAATAAAAAATAAACAAAATTTAAGACAACCAAACGTTGTTGTGCAACCCACAAATCTAGTGTCCTTCACAACACAATAGCTACCTAATGTTTTGTCTTTGCATAAGCAAATCTTTAGGGTACTTTGTTTACCATAATGAATCATTTAAAGCTTCACTTGCCATGAAATGGCAAAAACTGACGGGAATCAAGAACGAAAAATGCTGAAGCTTATGAACTAAGTGTCCCTAGCGATGATTTTTCAATTACTATGAGTCAGACACCAATAAACAATAGTCTTAATGAGCTTCAGTCTAAATTTAAAAAAGCTAATGCTGAAAAGCATTAGGATGAATCTACTAGCTTTCTATTCCAAATGTCACAATCTGATTGGCGACCCCCCTTGCTATCTATTCCGCGATGGATATTGTGTAAAAAGACCACCCTAAAAGTGTGTAGTTGTAAACAAATTAAAACAAAAGCATGAGCCCGCCTCGTCATTAAGTTTTGAACGAGTAATATATTTAAACTCAAACAATAAGATTATTTGCTCCGCCAATTTCTATGCATAATGATTGCTTCAGGCTTCCCCCTAATTAACTATCACGCGATAGCAACTGATCGAGCTCTTCATCTAGGTCCCGTCCACAAGTATCCGCATACTTCAAAAACGGAATGTTTTTTCTTTCATTTCAGCCTCCACATGTAAATTACTCTCTGTCACCAGAAACGGAGGTTTTCGAAAAAGCCAGGTTTTCGTTTTTCTGCGAACGATCGAAAAGCGGATTTTTGAATACGGTAATGTCATCCCACAAGTCCAGTTCATCCCGGTCGGTGTTACTTTGGTATTTGGGCTTCTTTAAAGCCTAATGGAATACATACAGTTGCAGTTTAGTTTGATAAATTTTCAAGCTGACATTAAAAGGAAGCGATTAAATGTGCTGATGTCGCTTTCTGCGCCAGTGTCGAGGACAAGCGCGATAAAAATGATTCTTACAGAAGGCCAGCTACACCAAGGTGGTTTCTAGGTCAGACCAGAAACAACGTTGATTTCTACATGACTGGAATTATCAAAAAAGATCGAAAGATGTAACAAACACCGTAAAAGAAGAGGAGCTGACTGTTGCATGCAGGCTCATACATTACTAACACTGTGCATGCATCATCGTGTTTCATCGTTTTTGAGTTTCGTTTAGACGGGCGAAATCGATTTTGAATACGCTACGTGTCTATGAGTGCTTGTTTTGAAAACGGAGTGAAAATTCTCTCTTTTCAAATATATTTGGAAAAGTTTGAACGGAGCCCTGGTTGTTAAATATTTTGCGAGAGCATCGTACAAATCAAAGGAATACATAGTTTGTTCTTGTTTTCTTTCTCGCCAAGTTGCAATTGAAGGTTAGTCTTGCGAAAAGACACCACTTTTGGAATTACCTCATTAGGCTTAATCAAAGACTCCTTGAAGTTCTAATCCTTTGCCAACCCCTTCCAATATTTCGAGACGTACCATTATAAATAACCATATGATTATTGACCGAAAAAGCACTAAAAGTAAAACTACGCGTAATAGCAACCGACATAAAATGAACTTTCAAGAAAACCCCCTTTTTATTAGAAAGCCGGATAAATGGACCGCCAAAAAGTAAAAATACAGAAATTGAAGAATTTGAATGATCACCCATATGATGTTGAAAATTCAGCCTGCGTCCACAAAAGTAACAAAATATAACTGAATAATATGATTCACGCGGTCAAACCAGGAGCGAAATAGCTCAAAAGTTATTAGCGTAACAAAAATAGAGGTCAAATCCAATGAAATTTGTAAAACCTCAAAACATGGTAAATCAGCTGAGTGAAATCAGTAAGACCTCCAAACATGGTAAATCGGCTACCAATTATGTTTAAAATGTGGCTAAATGGTAGCCAAACAGATACCGGAAAATCAACTTGAGGATAGGGATTGAAATTACTTTCTCGGCGCGACCATAGTTATCGTTTGGACTGTTGTTGTCGTCGATTTTAAGACTTTAAAGCACTTTTCTTTCCAGTTGAGTATTCTCGGCACATTCCCTCTTCGTTTATGAAGTATACAAATATGTATTTTGGGAAAGTATGGGATGAAAAGATGCAAAACCCACCTTGGTCAATAAAGCGTATGGCCTAACGCGAGAGACGCCATTTTCATGATAGGAAAAAATTATGCCTTTATAATCTGCTCCCAGATATATAAACAGAAGACAATAGCACGAATATAGGGACAAAGGCAAACTAAGTAGGGTAAGTTTTAAAGTAGAAATTAGTTGTCTTACAGTGACGTCATACCATGCGTCGTCAACACGTGTTAACATGGCGCGTTCACTGCTCTTCTTGAGCTCCCGTTTTATTTTAATTTTATTACTATGTTATAGCCTTAGTCCTATAAGTATATGGCAAAATCAAATTCCAAGTGGTGAATCTCTCTTTCTGTCACTAAAATTGGACAGTAGAGTTTTTCCAAGTCGCAATAACGGTCCTCGAAAGGCGAATGGTGCTGTACTGCCGCCATGTTTAAAGGCCAAAGCTTCTCTTTTCGTTTTGGAAGTTGGATTGTCTACTCTATTTCTACTTATGTTAGCTGGAGACGTCTCTACTAATCCAGGGCCACAAACTGTACGTCCTGGGAGCCAAGGTATTGGTGAAAACTCAAGCTTTGTTTCGCTTACAAGCGATGAAGAGTCAGCTAGCATGGACGATACTGTTGAGTTTCATAATGACTCAGATGATTCTTCGCAAAATGATTTATCGCCTGATGGCTTTGACTACTTTAACCTACATCTTGGTCATAAAGGCATACGCTTTGGTTCTTGGAATGTCAACAGGCTTACGACTACAAAACTAGAACAAATAAAATTGTTCCTTCTTAATGAAGATGGTCGACCACGTTTGGATATTTTATCAATCAATGAGACGTTTTTGAAACCGCTCCTCCCAGATTGTCTATACTCAGTCCCTGGTTTCACAGTGCACCGAAAGGATCGGATGGGCCTGAAAAATGGTGGTGGGGTTCTAATTTATGTGAATGACGATCTGAAACATCGAAGGAGAGTCGACATTGAGCATAATAATAATATAGAAGCATTGTGGTTGGAAGTCTTTCCATTCAAATCTAACCGTCCCATTTTATTCGCCGGCATTTACAGACCTCCTTCAACTAATTTATCAGAGGATGAGGCCATCGAAAATATGTTAGAATTAGTTTATCTATTAAATTTAGAAACCATCATTACTGGCGATATCAACATTAATTTTATTTCTCCGGCGTACAAGAAACATCCCTTGGGACGTGCCTTTTCTAACATGAATTTCAAACAGCTCATTACTGAAGTTACTCGACCATCAAGCGGAACCTGTCTTGACTTTGTATTGTCAAATTTTCCTGAAAGAATTAAGTCTATTGTCGTCAAAAACAATGGGCTGTCAGATCATTTGCCTGTATTTGGAGTTCGTTTATATGAGGATAACGCCAAGCGTCAAAATAAATCTTTAACGATTAAATATCGTAATACGAAGCATTTTGACAAATCCGCCTTCGTTTCCGACCTCAAAGAAGTTCCTTGGAATACTGCATTTGTCTTTGACGATTTAACTGATATCTTAAATGCATGGATGGGTCTCTTCATTAACATCTTGGATGCCCACTGTCCGTGGCGAGTAAAGAAAGTAGCCAAACAAAATCAAGCTCCATGGATGACTGTGAATATTTTACAAGCGCTTCGCAGAAGGGATTCTTTACTACGTAAAGCAAGGCAAAGTCGTTGTGTCACGGATTGGAACTGCTTCAAAATCGCGAGGAATAAAGTTGTAAACATGATTCGCAGTGCGAAATATAAATACTATAATACCTGTTTCAACAACAACAAGGGAAACTCTAAAAAGATGTGGAAAACCATAAAATCACTAATGGGCGATGTATCAAAATCAGTTGAGACGCCAAATGTTGTTTTGGCCGAAAAGTTTAATGATCACTTCACTTCAATTGCTGATTCACTGAGGAATCTACTACCTAATGTACCTTATTGCAATTCAAAGGTTGAAAACTTTGTTTGTTCAAGAAAAGATCCGGATGTTCTTTTCAATATTCCTCCTGTTACCAAAGATTTTGTGCTGGGTGCTCTGTTAGAACTTAAAACAAACAAAGCTATGGGTATTGACAAGATAAGTGCAAGATATCTGAAAATAGCAGGACCAGCTATTGCTTATTCAATTACTCAAATCTTGAATATTTCAATTAATTCTGGTGTATTCCCTGATTGTTGGAAGATAGCGAAAGTCATTCCGTTGTTTAAATCTGGGGACCGTGAGGATCCTGACAATTATCGACCCATTTCGATATTACCTGTTTTGTCAAAGATTCTGGAACGTCATATACACGATCATCTCTATAATTACTTATGTGAAAACAATCTATTGTACCCTTTACAGTCAGGTTTTCGGAAACACCATGGAACAGACACTGCTCTTATACGAGTCATAGACAATTTGTTATTTAATCTAGACAATGATCAAGTCAGCGGTCTTCTTTTAGTTGATTACAGGAAAGCTTTTGATATGGTTGACCGTGAAATTCTTTTGCAAAAGCTGAATGCCTATGGTTTAACTCCAGTTGCAAGTAAATGGTTTAGTTCATACTTGACTGATAGACATCAATTTATTGCTATTGATAATGTGACATCTGACTCTACTCTTGTGAGGCATGGTGTTCCACAGGGTAGTATCCTTGGCCCTTTACTTTTTGTCATTTATATCAATGATTTGCCTCTACATGTTAATGGTGCTGACCTGGATCTCTATGCTGATGACACCACACTGACATTATCGGCAGATATCTCAGCGGTTGATTCTCTACAAGATTCACTAGCTGCTTCTTTGAAGGAAATTGAATGCTGGACGCACACCAATAAACTTCCTCTCAATGAAAAAAAGACTAAAACACTACTGGTCACAGGCAAACGCCTTGGGAAGA